TTCTCTACAAAGCTCGCCAAGGACCATGTTGCTGCTTCAACCCAGAATGGCACCCAGCTGACGAACGGCACTAAGCCCGCCGAAGGAGCTCCAACTACTGATCAGCAAGAGTTTGAGATTGGAGTTGATCTCATTCTCAAGACTATTGAGCTTATCTCTGTTAGAATGTCTCATCTTGGCGACCAACGTCGTCCATTCCTGAGCGTCCTAGCACAGATTGTGGAGCGCTCACAAAATATCGAGCTCTGCAGCAAGATTTTGGGCATGGCAGAATCGTGGATCTTCCATTCCACTGAGTCATGGCCCACCCTGAAGGAGAAGACGGCTGTTCTGCATAAGATGCTGCTTTTCGAATCCCGACCTGATCAGACAATGCTAAAGAAATTCCTTGATCTTGTCATTCGAATTTACGAAGACTCAAAAATCACTCGGACTGAATTGACAGTCCGTCTGGAGCATGCTTTCCTGATCGGCGCAAGAGCTCAAGACGTGGAAATGCGAAACCGCTTCATGCAAATCTTCGATCGGAGTTTGACTCGCCTTGCGAGCTCGCGTCTCAGCTATGTCCTTACATGCCAGAACTGGGATACGCTCGCTGACTCCTTCTGGCTGGCCCAAGCATCCCATTTGGTGCTTGGATGTGTGGACATGACCACTACTGCCCGCCTGCACCCCGAGGACTTCACCCTCTTCCCCGTGTCATTCCTCTTTGGCAGCGGCGATAAAGATCCCAGGAAGGCCGATATCATGGTTGACAACCAGCTGGAGACTTTCGTCGCAGAGCGGAGACGATTCATGTCGGATATTGGCGATGTCAGAGTTCGCGATCTGATTGAGCCTTTATGTCAGCTTCAACATACCGATTCGAATGTTGCCTACCAGCTGTGGACTACTATCTTCCCTCTCTTCTGGTCCACATTGTCCAATAAAGACTGCATTGATCTAGAGAAGGACATGGTCACGTTGCTTACTCGTGAGTACCACCATAGACAACTCGACAAGCGGCCCAACGTCGTGCAAGCTCTTTTGGAGGGTACTGTGCGTGCCAGTCCCCGGTTCAAAATTCCTCCCCATGTTGTCAAGTATCTCAGCCGAACGTATGACGCATGGTACACTGCTGCTACCTACCTTGAACAAACTGCCATTAATCCCATCATTGACACGCCTACCGTACGGGAAAGCAACCTCGATGCTCTTGTGGAGGTATACGCAGGTCTTCAAGAGGACGACTTCTTCTACGGAACCTGGCGCCGCCGTTGCAAGTTTGTTGAAACTAACGCCGCGCTTTCGTACGAGCAACAAGGAATGTGGGACAAGTCTCAACAACTCTACGAGAATGCCCAAATCAAGGCCCGTTCCGGTGCCATGCCATTCTCACAGGGCGAATACTTTGTGTGGGAAGATCATTGGCTGATCTGCGCCCAGAAGCTCCAGCAGTGGGAGATTCTGAGCGATTTCGCCAAGCATGAGAATCTGAACGACCTCTTGTTGGAGGCTGCCTGGAGGAACATCGAGAACTGGCAGAGCGAGGGTAACCGCGAGCAGCTTGAGTCATTGATCAAGTCTGTATCCGATGCCCCAACTCCCAGACGCACGTTCTTCCAGGCCTTCATGGCCCTTCTCCAATACCACACGAAGAAGGACAATATCCAGGACTTCAACAGCGTTTGTGACGAGTCTATCCAGCTCTCCATTCGTAAGTGGCTTCAATTGCCAAAGCGCATCACCAACGCCCATATTCCCATCCTGCAACATTTCCAACTTCTGGTTGAGCTGCACGATGCTAGCCACATCTGTAGCAGCTTGGCTCAGACAAATGAAAGGAACTTGGATACCAAGTCTGCCGAGCTCAAGCTGCTTCTCGGAACTTGGAGAGATCGTTTGCCCAATCTCTGGGATGACATCAACACATGGCAAGATCTCGTCACCTGGCGTCAGCACATCTTCCAGCTCATCAACGGCACCTACCTCAGTCTCTTGCCCCCACAGACGAATAATGTGGCTAGCAACTCTTACGCCTACCGCGGATATCATGAAACAGCCTGGATCATCAACCGATTCGCCCATGTAGCTCGAAAGCACCAGATGCCAGAGGTCTGCATCAACCAACTCAGCCGTATCTATACCCTTCCGAACATTGAAATCCAAGAGGCCTTCCTCAAGCTTCGGGAGCAAGCGAAGTGTCACTACCAGAATCCGAAGGAGCTGAACAGCGGGTTGGATGTGATCAACAACACTAACCTCAACTACTTCGGGCCGCAGCAAAAGGCCGAATTCTACACGCTCAAGGGTATGTTCCTGGCAAAGCTTGATCATGTCAATGAGGCCAATGAGGCGTTTGGAGTTGCTCTTTACTATGATCTCCGCCTTGCTAAGGCCTGGTCTGAATGGGGACAATACAGTGACCAGCGCTTCAAGGCTGATCCGACTGACTACGAGCTGGCTAGCAATGCTGTTAGTTGCTATCTGGAGGCGGCTGGCCTTTACAAGAGTGCGAAATCCCGGAAACTGCTCAGCAGAATTCTCTGGCTTCTCAGCCTGGACAACGATGAAGGAAAGATCGCAAGTGCGTTTGAAAACTTCAAGGGAGACACCCCGGTGTGGTACTGGATCACTTTCATTCCTCAACTTCTCACCAGCTTGTCCCACCGGGAGGCGCGCCTCTGCAAGGCTGTCCTGGTCAAAATCGCCAAGTTGTACCCACAGGCTCTCTTCTTCCTGCTTCGCACGAACAGAGAGGACATGCTCAGCATCAAGAAACAGCATGACCAGAAGCAGGAGAAGTTGAATCGGGCTAGACAGCAGCAGCAAGGATCCTCGCCAAGTACGAAGCCAAATCCCGTTGCTGGTGCCGATAGCTCTCCTGCTCAGAAAGCACAGGCTGCAGCTGCATCGACCAATGCCTCGCCGTCGGTTCCGCCTGCGAACTCTCCCGCTACACAGAATCCGGCTCAGGCACAAAGCCAGTCTCCCGCACAGCCACAAAACCCCATGCAGGCATCCCCACAAGCTGGCCAAACTCCGGGCCAAGCGCAGCAAACTCATCTGCAAGTGCCAGGTCAGACTGGAACACCGAATCAGAACCAGGCTGCACTCGTGGATGGCGAGAAGGAACCTCTGAAGAAACCCTGGGAGTACTCGGACGAAATCATGTCTGGACTCAAGACGGCCTTCCCCTTGCTTGCTCTGTCTATGGAGACAATGGTGGACCAGATCCACAAGAACTTCAAGTGTCCCCCCGACGAGGATGCTTACCGACTCATCGTTGCTCTCTTGAACGATGGATTGGCCTATGTGGGTCGCATGCCTGGATCTTATGCGCAAGACTTCAAGTTGCCTGCCGCAACAGAAGCCAATATCACTCGATTCGCAGAGACAATTCTTCCAGCTCACATTCGCAAGTCCTTCGAGGCGGACTTTGTGACTAAGAAGCCCACCATGAACGAGTACATCCACAAGTTGCGGCGCTGGCGTGACAAGTTCGAGGAAAAGCTCGATCGCAGATCACAGCACACATTCCTCGAGAACTCTTCACCTCATCTGAGTGAGTTCCGCTTCCTCAAGTTTGATGAGGTCGAGGTTCCCGGCCAATACCTACTACACAAGGATAAGAACCAAGACTTTGTCCGCATCGACCGCTTCCTTCCCGATGTTGACCTCATCCGAGGCATTGGTGTCTGTCACCGTCGCTTGAAGATCCGCGGACACGACGGCAGTATGCAAGCATTTGCCGTTCAGCATCCCGCTGCCCGCCACTGCAGGCGCGAAGAACGCATTCTTCAACTGTTCCGGATCTTCAATGGTCTGCTTGCGAAACGCAAGGAGAGTCGCCGCCGCAACTTGTACTTCCACCTGCCGTTAATGGTTCCTCTAGCACCACACATTCGGTTGGTGCGCGACGATTCTTCGTATATCTCCATGCAGGGGATTTATGAGGATTACTGCCGCCGCAAGGGCATTAACAAGGATGACCCGGTGCTCTTCACAATGGATAAGATGCGGTCGTTGGCAGAAACGAAGCAGAACGTAAGTGTGCCGTACACCTTTCTCATATCAAAAGCTAACAATTCCCAGCGCACGGCCGATCAGCAACAGGTCCTTCGCACCGAAATCCTGACCGCGATTCAAGACAAATGGGTCCCGAGTACTGTGGTGTTAGAATACTGCCAGCAGACATACCCCAACTTCTCGGACTTCTGGCTCTTCCGTCGTCAATTCGCCTACCAGTATGCAGCGATTGCTTTCATGACCTACGTCATGCACATAGGCAACCGATACCCGAACAAAATCATGATATCTCGTTCAACAGGCGATATCTGGGGTGCCGAGTTGATCCCCACCATCAACCCAGCCAAGGCGTTCTTCTACAACCCCGAGCAAGTTCCCTTCCGCTTCACGCCGAACATTCAGACCCTTCTGGGTCCCATTGCGACGGAGGGTGTGTTCGCCTGTGCAATGATGGCAATCGCACGCTGCCTGACGGAGCCGCGACACGAGCTGGAGCAACAGCTCAGCGTCTTCGTCCGCGACGAGATGATGTTCTGGGCTACGGCTCATCACCGAGGTGTCCTGCCCCCTGGACAACTTCGCGATCTGGTCTACAACAACAGCGAAATCATCGTCAATCGAGCTGTCAGTCTTGCCAGCCCACCGGAGGGCAACTTGCCTGCCAATCAGACTACCATCGATCTGATCTCCAAGGCAGTCAACCCCCAGCACCTGGCGTCGTGCGATGCATTGTGGATGCCGTATCTTTGAGCAATGATTCTTGTCGGTTTGCTTGTTTCTGTCCTGCCAATTGGCGATGGGAACTTCCTGTATGGCTATTGTAATTTCTGAAGCGGTGGTTTCGTCTCTGGGTTTGTTTTTCTGAGCGTGGGCGCTTCGGCGAGGTGCGCAGCTTTACTTCACGTTACTATGATTGTGATACCGATTTCTTTCTTGTTTTATTACCTTCTACAATGTCTTTGATACTTCGGAATATTAGCTCTGATAGTTATTAATGGTTCGATTTGAATTGCTATCTGTCAATTTCCATCCCGTAACCTGATAACGCCTGATCCAGTGGTACAATGTTGGTTCCAGTGGTCAAATCATGATCCCGTAAATGCTCGCTTGAACTCCGTTCCCATGACAGAAAAAAATGGCGTTAATGCGTTGAACCTTATTCCTCGCTTGGATTCTCCTTGGGCTTCATCGTGGTACCGGGAGCCTTGAGACCGAGCGGACCGGCAGGGCGACGACGAGGGAGCTTGCGGCGCTTGAACCACTCAAAAGGATACGACTGAGGGAGGGGCGCTGCCAGCTCTGCTTCCAGCTTTGCCTTCTGTACGGCAAGCTTCTTGGCCCTGAACTCCTGGCGAAGAGCCTCTCTGTCCTCCTCCTCCTCCTTCGCGAGTCGAAGGGCCTCCTCGTCGATCTTTTCCTGAGCAGTAGCCACAGCAGCCTCGTCGCCACGAGTCTCGTTGCGCTCGATGCGGGCATTGCGGGTTCGGATTTCGTCGAGTGCATCGGCGATTTGCATCTCGCGCTTGGAGTCGAGCATCTTGTCTTCGAGTTCGGCCATCTTGTCGCGTTCGAGCTGCTCTTCCTTTGCGCCGTGCTGCTTCTCGAGTCGGTCGAGGGTCTGCTCCTCAGTCTCGTCGTTGTACTTCTCGTCTTTGTCATCGCGCCAGACTTCGAAGTTGCGCTTCGCACCACGCTCACACTGGTAGTCATTGTCTAGTAGGGAATGTTAGTTTCTCTAAGGCTAAGAACTAGCGGGATGATTTCAAACTTACTCTTGGGGTCGGTGCGGAAGGTGATCTCGCCGGAGCATCGGGTGCATCGGATGTAGAAGCGGAAAATTGCAATCGACAGGTACCTCTCTTCGAGAGTTTCCTTGCGCGCATTGAACTTGCGACCCTTGGGGATGTACTCGCCACAGTGAGTGCATTTCATCGAGAACGGTGTCATCAGACGACTAGCTGACACCTTCGGCTCGTTTTTCCCATCCTTGCGAGAGCGCTTGGAGGAGCGCTCGATCGCGGAGGGGTCAAAATCCGGCGGGTAGTACTTTGAGAGAACCTTACGCTCAGCCATGATGTCCTTGGCTGAAAGGGGAGGTCGTGGGGGAGATAGTAGAAGGAGAAAACAAACCTTGGATGGGTGGTCCTTGATAGGCCCCATGTTGCTTTACCACGTGATGCGATAACGTTATCGCGATAACGAATGCTCACAGGATCTGATCGCGATAAGGGAACGTTACCTAGGTACGAAACCTCAACGGTTGGAATTTAGTTAGTGTCAACATTGGAATGCCAACACAGGGAAGGTACGCCCTAGTCAGAAGGTACGCCCCAGTCGGAAGGTACACCCCAGATTAATACTACAATGTATGTACATATGTACATTAGGGGAGGAATATAACTATGTACATTAGTATACATAGACAGTCACGTGGGCTACCATATAGACTGATCTATACCCGGTACAAGATAGAACAAACACTATATGTAGTAATCTGTGCTTTAGGATTGAAGCTTCATATCTGCTATAAGTGTCAGGCTTTTAATATTTAATCAAATCATTTATTAAGCCATTGATATATGTTCTGCAAGCTGCTCCAGGCCAAACTCTGGTTAACCTTCTGCGCGGGTGGCATCACAAGTACGCACGGGCCACTGTTTGGTTCAAAATAGGACAAGGACCCGCTCATGCGAAAGTTGCCTACTTGCATTGCTTGGGTAGACATCTCCGGGTTAAAAGGAATCTCTATGTTTATTGTCTTTTTGAATCCATTCCTTGACGCGTCCAGTCTGTCAATATGGAAAGGTTCCTGCGCTCCTGGCGGCAGGACGCGTTGAACCGTGGCCAGCATGATTCCGCAATCTACATTGGGGACAAAGTCCTGGCGCTTACCAGTAAGGACTACAACCACCATGGATATACAACAATACAAGGGATACTGACTTGCTGGCAAAGACAGTGACTCCGACGCGTTTTGGCTAGCTCAAGTCCATTTTTCAAATAACAACTTCACGCGCGCCCTAGCCCTTCTCTCCCGCAAGGATCTCGTTTCTCGAAGCACTGCCTGCCGCTACCTTGCCGCCCACTGCTACATAAAACAGAATCAATTCGAACAAGCCCTCTCCATTCTCGGTGAACACAACCCCACCGACCTCATCCGCAATAACCACACCCGGCGCAAGATCCAACACCAAAGCCATGTTACACTGCGTAATGGGAAGAGCGCAACACCGCGGAGTGATCGAGCCGAGGAGCGAGAACGTGAAGATGCCAACAATGTACGATTTGAAGCCGCCATGTGTTATTTACGGGGACTCTGCTTCGCCAAGCAGAACGCATTTGATCGTGCCCGGGATTGTTACAAGGATGCCGTGCGGATTGACGTGCAGTGTTTTGAAGCATTTGACCAGCTCATGAAGAACTCTTTAATGTCTCCCACGGAAGAATTGGAATTCCTTGAATCACTAGACTTTGATTCCGTCTCATCCCCAGATCCTATGATGGCACAAGAGGCCGCCCACTTTACGAAGATGCTTTACACGACCCGTCTATCGAAATACTCCTCCCCTACCATACTCTCCGACGCGACTGAAACCCTATCCACGCATTATAATCTTGCAGAGAACCCCGATATCCTTTTATCCCGCGCCGAAGCTTTGTATACGCAATGTCGGTTTGCAGAAGCTCTGGAATTGACATCCTCTATCCTCTCCACATCTCAATCAACCGACCTGTCCTCCACAAATCCCAGCATTCCAGCCCAGAACAACCTTGGCCATGCTCCAGCCATTTATCCACTCCACTTGGCCTGTCTTTACGAGACCGGTGCCACAAATGCCCTGTTCTTACTCTCTCACATGCTCGCGGATCACTCCCCCGAGGAGCCATACACATACTTGGCAATCGGAGTGTACTATCTGTCGGTATCAAAGGTGGCCGAGGCGCGGCGCTTCTTCTCGAAGGCGTCACTACTAGATCCACATTCGGCTCCGGCTTGGATTGGATTTGCGCACACCTTTGCCGCAGAGGGTGAACACGACCAAGCCATCGCAGCGTACAGCACTGCTGCTCGACTTTTCCAGGGCAGCCATCTCCCCCAACTCTTCTTGGGAATGCAACATCTCGCCCTCAATAACATGTCTCTTGCGCATGAGTATCTATGTGCCGCTCACGCTATGTCGACTGGAGCTGCCCCGGGGTCTGTGCCTTCCCTCACGCCTAATCCCTCAGGTATCGTCTCAGCCGTCGGCGGGGACCCACTGGTTCTCAACGAGCTTGGAGTTGTCTTTTACCACCAGAATCATCTTAGCGGGGCCATCGAATTGTTTGGGCAAGCACTGGCGCTAGCTACTTCTCTCCACTGCGAACCCAGTGCCTGGGTGGCTACACGTGCGAATCTAGGCCATGCCTTCCGCCGCATGGGCCGTCTGGCCGAGTCCCTTCGTGAGTTTGATGAATGTCTCCGCGTGGGCGCAGGAGGGAGCAGCATGGGCTACTCGCCATTTTTGGGTGGTGGTACGGGCGGCTCAGCGGCGATCGCTACCGCATCTGGGGTTGGGGGCTACGAAGATCGCGGGCTGACAGGCTCTCTTCATACATCTCGTGGCCTTGTGTTACTGGAGTTGGGACGAACCACGGACGCGGTGACTGCCTTGCACGAGGCGGTGCGTGTACTTGGAGCGAGTGGCGGCGGCGATGCAGCTGGTGGTGCAGGTGTGGCCGGTACATTACTTTCACGTGCACTCGAGCTCTGGGCCTTAGAGGGGCGACAAAAGGACCGCACAGCTTTCGAGGAGAGTATGCGCGAAGCCAGCGCTGCCGCCTCCAAGCGCCGGGGGTCTAATCGGTCTCGTGAACATAAGGGCAAAGACCGAGTCCCCCGGAAGAGATGTCTCGACGACGTGGACGTCAGGAGCCCTTTGTGGAAGGATGGACGGAGGAGGCGGGCCATGTCGCCACGCCCCTGGCCGAAGATGAAAAGGTTGAAATGGATCTCGACGACGAAGCTGACGGGCTTTTGCGCCGAGCTCTCGGCCGTGTACGACACAGCCGACAACGTCGACCAGCAGTACCTTCTACCCCAGATATGGATGCTAGTGAGACGCCTGCTCCATCCAGCCGCAGTCGGGGGATACGACATGACCGGAGTCACTCTGGACAATGACGCAGCCTCTAAATCCTCCCCAGATGACATTTTGCGTTATTTTCCATGCATTGCAACGGGTGTTTCTGCCAGGGAAAATTGGCTGGGGGTTGGGCAATTGGTTTTTGTTAATGCATCTCATACTAGACAATCAAGCAGACATTGTTAGAGCCATTGCTTATACTATCTAGTTTAATCCATGGATGGACTGTACCTGGTAGTTCAAACAGAGCTCTCTCCACTTGAATTTAGCCTTTGATGGGGGGGCTGTGCTATTCTTCTATAGCGGTTCACCTATTAGCTATTAGGGGTACGTAGTGTAGATCAACAGAACAAAGTGTTATATAAGTGGGAATTTACGTTTAACGTTACTTCAATGTTAGGTATTACAGTATCTCGTATAAACCAATAGCCCCCAAATAGGATCAACAAGCTTCCCCCAGGACGCCCCCCCAGGACGCCCCCATAACCAAAAACAGGGTCCACGTTGATTTTGTGTCTTGGCAATTTTCTTATTCTTTTCCTGTCTCATCCCTCTCTTCTATGCATGTCGGAGGATTATTCCCATCCAATCAATTCTAATAATATCAAACCAATCAAAACACAATGCATCAATACATGTCTCCCATATCAAATTTATAAAATAAAAAAACGGAAACCCTAAAAAGAAATGATGACGCCGCTGCCCCCACTGGGGTCGGGCTGTGAGGCTCGCCCGCAAGAATTTGGAGGCGTTTTAGGGGCGATCGTCCATAGTTGCGCATCACTGCCCTTTCTAGGGGCATGTTTCAGGGCCTTGATCGGCCCCCCTTCCCTTCTCTTTAATGTTTCTTCTTTAGACACTCCTTTGACTCTTCAATACCTTCATTTATCTTTCATTTACCTTCATTTACCTTCGGGGCTTCAAGACACTTCCAGATCATGCCGTGCCAGTCTGGATCTTCACCATGACAGCCTCATTTCCTATTCGCCCGCGACGCGGCCTGTCGCTTCTGTGCGTCATAACCGCCTTGAGCTTCAGCGCCATAATCGTCATTTGGTTTGGCATGAACTCCGACCGAGAATACATTCACCCCGTTCTCACCCAGTTGATCCCCGCCGGACACTGCGCCTGCGAATCCTCCACCACCTTCCAATGCTCGACATGCCTCACCTGTCCAGAACCCGGTCTACAAACAGACAGCTCCCCCGCTTGGTCCTTTGAATATGCCCGCGACGGTCAAAACGAGACCCTCAACAAGAGCCAGTGCAAAGCTGCCTTCCCCGGGTTATTCGAGGATGTCGCGCGCGGCGGCAAATTCTGGTCTGCACACGGTCGCTTGTCCTCGGCTGAACTTGACGCTATCACGATACAACATGGTATGGCGCGCGCATTCATTTCTAATGGCCAATTATACGTGGTCACGGCGCGGTCCAAGGGCGAGGACCACCGACGGAAAATTATGGGGACGTTGAGCTCAATCCACCGTGCGCTGGCCGCCGACCCGGAACGAGCTTCTAGACCCGAGTTTGAATTTGTTTTCTCGGTGGAAGATAAGGTCGACGATGTGACCAATTCAGAATGGCCTGTTTGGGTGTTTTCGCGGACGCCTACTGAAGAAGGGGTTTGGCTCATGCCGGATTTTAGCTTCTGGGCCTGGGACAATCAAGACAATTACATGGGGCCATATGACCAGGTGGTGGAACGAATCAAACGAATGGACATCCGCTGGTCAGAGAAAACGCCACGGTTGGTCTGGCGAGGCAAGCCCAGTTTCGCGCCAAAATTGCGACGCGCGTTGATGGAGGCCGCTAGGGACAAATCGTGGGGCGATGTCAAGCAGGTTGATTGGAGCACGGGTTCCAACGTCCTCAGGATGGAAGATCATTGCCATTATATGTTTATTGCGCATGTTGAAGGTAAGTTGAATTTTTATGATCTATCGCGACTTTGGAGACACCCAGCTGACAACACACTCTATTTATAGGTCGCTCTTATTCGGCTTCATTAAAATACCGACAGGCATGCAATTCTGTCATTGTCGCACACAAACTCCAGTTCATCCAGCATCACCACTATCTGTTAGTCGCAGATGGTCCCAACCAAAACTACGTCGAAGTCGAGCGCGATTTCAGCGACCTATCTGAAAAGATTGAACCCCTGGTCAGCAACACCGAAGCCGCTAAGCGCATCGCCAACAACAGCGTGACGACCTTCCGTGAGCGATATCTGACCCCCGCCGCCGAAGCCTGTTACTGGAGGTCCCTGTTCGATGGCTACGCCGATGTGTGGAACGGGACCGTCGAGCAGTGGTCCCATCGCAGGGACCGCGAACGAGGCCTTCGATACGAATCATTTGTGCTTCTGGAGAGCGTGAAGATGTACGAATTCGACGCTGCTATCACTGAACATTGGCAGGCTATATTGTAAGGATACGCAGGATACGCAACCAGGATACGGCAGACTTCATACAACCTACAATAATGTGTTAATCCCTGACATCCTGCGACGAAGCCAGGATAGATGTGTCCAGTGATTTTTTTTAGAAGGCGTTTTGGGGTCGATTTTTCCCCCTTTCTATATGTGATACCACGAGAGCGAATTAGATTAGACAATTGGACATTCTAGCGGTCATTTGATCGTATTTTGATGTCAATCACCCGTTTCCTTGATTATTGAGTGCTTCCTTGGCTCATTCTAGCGCTTTATTCTTCCACGTGGATCACCAACCAATTTGCAAGTCGACTATCTATTAACCAGTTCGACACAGTCTCTTTGTTCAAGAAGACTCCAACTCAGTCAAAATAACCCGACAACCTAGCGGTGCTAGAATTCCACCCTATATAGATCAGCATACATCAAGTAAAACACACATAGGAAAAACATACTGGCGTCATCTTCAATTGATACTTAAGATCAACAACCCACCTAACCATCCCTAGCAAGACAAATACCAATATCTTCAACTATAACAACGTAAACCCCTACCTGAGACACTTCCGCCTATCAACGGTCATATGTATCGTTTCCACAAATTAAGCCTTTTCCCGTCTTTTTATGATGTCTGCCTAGAAAACTGAAGAAGGGGGCAGGCGTTTTGGAGTAGCTTTCCCCTGCATCTGGTGGAGCCCCACTTTCCTTTTCGAGCTTCCATCAACAACTCTGTTGTCCCTTCAAGTCTTTTACACTTCAAATTTTGCAATGGAACCTGCACAAAACCAGTTGGCTCGTGCCTTGGCATCTTAAAATTTTCAATTTCGGCATAGCAAATTCATCAATCCGCAGCGATCGGGTCTCCCTAGCCTATATACAATAGTGGAATTCATTTACTCAAGATGCCTTCGACCTTTTCCAACATCCATGATGAAGACGAGTTACATACAAGCTGAGACTGAATTAGGTCTCTGGCAGATTCGTTCGAAAGCTATACGACCTACTGATGAAAGCATTCAAGCCCCTCCGGAATATGTCTTCTATCAGATTCGCTGATATCCAAGCTATAACTCTCTAAGGCTCGGCATGGAGGATTCGATCGAGCTTGTCGCTGCCGAAGCGGATGGCCCGCTATCCAGAGAATCACGTCTCAAAACAGGATGCTTACCGTGGGACGGTAACAAATGTGTCATCACCCAGACTTCTCCTGACGCGCGAACGATCGACAAAAGCGGCCAGATACAGTGGAAGTTGCGCATGAAAACGTCTTGGACAGTTCCTGAGGCGTGCGAATGGTTTCCTATCCACATACAATTCCACAGTCTTTGTCAAAAGGACCGCTGAGGACCGCCGATACTTGCTTTCTGCTTTCGTTACCCATCAGTCATAGTGCCCTGCAACCATCGCTTCGCTAACTGTTGAAGCCAAGGCGGTTTGGCTAGCTGACTTGAATGGCACGCGTGTAATCATCAAATGCTGGAAACCTAAACTAGAAGAGTTGTGAGTTACGGCGCATACTTTCATTAGGTAGGCTTGACTAATCATTTATATATAGATTTGACTCGGAAGCCGCAGTTTACAATCGCATTTGGTCACAACAACCCTCCGGGACTCTTGTTTTGGACCCGGTCAACTCCTTACGACGCCAGCGGCCCCGCTACGTCTCGACTATACGACAGTCCATTACCATCAGCCCAGCAGTAGCTTTGACTACCTCAGACAATCCTTTTTGGCAGCCACGAGTCCGTTGCGATAGACTCCGTCGAGGTCATAAATTACTAAATTGAAGGCGATCTTCGACCTCCTCTGGCACGGACAGCCCGCAATGGCTAAGTGTTGGACGCCGTCCGAATTTCAAAGGTTTGGATTGACCCCCGAAGTCTACTATTTAAGCTAATACAGTGGTAAACTTCTAGCCATTTGAACGAGATGATCACCTACCAAATTCTCCGCGAGAAGCGCCCTAAGAGGTATTCTTTCTTCCCTTCACCCTATGCCGCAGGTGTGATCCGCTGTTCGTCTGTATTCTTATATGGCTACATCTTAGTCCTCGCTAAAGTGAGGGGAGAGCCGTTAGATAGGAGATGGGTGGATATATCTACCCTGTAGAAAGAGTTCGTCTATCAGCAAGTTTTGGCTGCTGTTAAGGTTCTTCGAGCTGTGGGAATTGTCTGGGTGGACCTGGTGCACATAATGTGCTTTAACACGAGGACGACAATGAGCCTTCTGTGTCTGTGGTAGACTTTGAATGCATCGAACTATGTAACGGGGAAGAAGTCATACACCAACCCGTGGACCAGAGATGACGCCCGTCTTTGGCCATGAGGCCGTGCAACAAAGAAATTCGCGACGATACCCAGGAGGCTAGGGGGAGGAGGCGAACGATGACAACGAGGCGGAGGACGACGGTGACGACGAGCCGGAGGATGGACGACGATGAATGAACGTGGCATGGTTTGCCGGATTGGGGGGAACGTTATTTGCTTTTACTTGCTAGTTATTTGCTATAACCCATCTTTCTTGGTTTGTCGCCAACCAGTCCCCCCTGAGCATAACATTGAAACCTCACCTGATCGGTTGGGACGGATCTCAAGCCACGTCTGGAGGGAGCAAGGCCTATAAGTTATTCTTAGCTCTGTTAGCTCTCTTAACTTCTTCAAACAATGACACAATCTTTCCGGGCCACGCCTCTGCGATATCTGGCATACACTCAATGAACTTGAACGAGCACATGTCAAGTCCCAATACCTCAATACAATTAACGCCCTTCGGCAAGTTGCAGTACGACTCGACGATGCTGGCATGCACAATATACTTTACTGCAGACAAAGCAAGACGGTGACTCTACTTGAGTTTGAGACTGCAGTGGAAGTAAAGCCTAACACCGTTATCCCAGCATATCATGAAAGGGGAGCAATTTTCGGATCAAACGCTATGCTGGGGCATGAGTGTGGAGGATATGTAATCGGTTGAGAGTTTTATTTCCCCCGAGTGTTAACCTGGCTTGTTTCTCGTTGTAGCATTACGATTGAACAAGTATTTTCGGGATTTAATGTATATATGCTATAAAGAGCTTGCTCCCGCTACGGTCGAAAAATATGAGTACTCGGTTCTAAACTAGGCACTATAGGCCGTTTTATTGTAGTTAACGGGCTGCCATTTACAATTAGTAGATGGAGATTTTCTCTTAGTGGAGAGGGAAACAGAAAGAAGAGAGCAATAAAATCTCCTATTGGCTATTAACAAAGAACTGGGGAAAAGAAGGAAGAGAGGAGGAGGTCTCAACAATATTGACTTTTCAAAAGTTATTTACAATGTTCTTGGCTGCATATAGACAGGGGTAGACTTTTGCCTCAGTCTTCACATCGACCAGTGTCAATATTTGCCTCAATTGGCTTCACAAATTCTGTGCGGAAAGCAATTTTGTGGCCAAAGTATAGTACCGCAAACAATATGAGACTGAGGTAGTTGATGAAAAAGTCCGTGACGCTGAATGTTGGGATAAAGGCAGTAAAGCCTTGGGTGATAATGATAAGGACATTGAAGAACAAGCCATACCAAGAGAAAAATGGCTGCCAGGTAGCCTTATAGGGAAGGGTGTCGCGTGATATGCCTCGCGCTTTCAATGCTCTCATAAATGCCAGGTGGATAATGTTAAGCGACGCCCAAGTGATAAAGCCAGCTAAGCCAGCAATTTGCATCAACCAGTTGAAAACAGTGGCTCCCGTATTCGACAAGTTGAGGAAGCCTAATAGACCGAAAAGAGCCGTGAAGCCAACACTAGCATATGGTACACCGTGCTTAGTTGTTTTGGCGAAAAAGCGAGGAGCAAAACCCTCGTTAGCCAGCCCGACTAGAATTCGGCTGCCACTATAAACATTTGAATTGGCAGCAGAAAGCACTACCGTAAGTAGAACCGCATTAATAATGCTTGGTAAGGCATTAACACCAGCTCGTCGTGCGGCGATAACGAAAGGTGACGAGTTTGAATCCGCACTGCTGCTATCCGAAGTAAGACGATCATCGTCAGACGGTACGACAATTCCGACAAAGAAGACCGTGAATATAAAGAAAAACACAATTCGGAAGAAGGTTTTCCGAATCGCGGAAGGCACATTCTTCCGTGGATTGGCGGTTTCACCTGCGGCAATACCGACAAGCTCAGTGCCTTGATAGGAAAATCCGGCCTTAATGAGAATAGCCCAGAATCCGACGAACTTGGCCAAAGCGTCTTGGTTTGGGTTCTCGATCAAATAAGGAATGAAGGGACCGGGGTGAACCCAGTATCTAAAACCTAGATAACCTTCTCGGCCAACTCCGGCATTCATGCAAATGGCGAATATCATGAATCCGACGACGGTGATTATCTTGATGCTTGAGAGCCAAAACTCAATTTCACCGTAACAGCTGACGGGAAACATATTTAGAATGATAATAACCACCCAGAAAACCGCGATAAAGACGGCCATCGGAATCCTTTCATCCCAAAACTGAATTATGAGGCCCGTAGCCGTCAACTCAAGGGCAAACGTCGAAGCCCACGAGAACCAATAAATCCAACCCATTGCAAAGCCCAGACTAGGATCAACAATGCGATTTGCGTATGTTGCAAAGGCTCCTGGAATAGGTAGGTAGGTAACGACCTCACCAAGGGCCGTCATAACCGAATAAACAATTGATCCGACGAAGATATAAGCAATCAAGGCACCCACTGGACCCGCAGTAGCAATTGCAGTTCCGGTACCGATGAAAAGGCCCGTTCCTATGGCACCACCTGTATAGAGATTTGTAAGAATTAATTCAAAAAAAAAGAAAATGCATTTAGGATAAGTAACTTACCCATCGCGATCATCTGCAAATGTCGGCTTTTGAGCCTCCGCTGCAACTCTGGTGGTTGATAAGACTCTCCATTGCTGTATTTTTCTTCGGTATCAAGATCTCGATCCTCTGCGAAATTTTCCGGATTTGATGCATTGAAGTCCTTCTTATCTGTTCCGGAAGCGTTATGTATACTGGCGACCTCGTCGGTGGTCATTTCTGGGTATTTCGGAAAGGCTGTGAGGCTGTGAGGCTGAAGAGTGGTGAAAGTTGAAATTGAGTCAATTCACAATCTCATGCTTCAGGAGACTTGACACATTTTAAGTCTTCAATCGCGTTGAACTTCCCGAAACGATTTCTCCATGGGGAAGATCAGCCTGGGGACCCCGCGTTTGCCGGGCCGGGACACTTTTCGGGTTCCACAACGAGACCCGGGGGAGCAAATGGAAGCCGACCATTTTGCGGGTCCGCTCAAGAAATTGCTAAGCTATTGTAATTCTATTAAGTGTAATCGGACAGAATTGAAGTTCCTTTACTTCCTAGGTGGCCCCCGAACAAACGAACCCACTAATTAAACCAATTGCATCGGTTATATAACGTAATTTGCCGATTGAAAGCGATATAAACCGGCCCGGTAGGTCCATCCCGCATTTTCCATTACCCCATGGTCACCTCAACCTACCTTTTGTTTACATCTTGCTGTTATGGTTCCCATACTCGTCAAATCTGTCTCTAGCGCCTAGGACCAAATTGAATCTGGAAACAAATTTGGAAAATCCTCCCCGGCTACAGCCCATATGTGCCTATGTGTACCGGATTTTCCCTGGCGGGTGGGGTTTTCCTATTTGAGCTGCCGCCGCTTTAATCAGGGCGCTCAGACTCACGCTCTCAGAGTTGATATCAGCACGAGCTCATAGTGATGAGCTAACATCAGTCACGTGAATAATGACTGAAACTATGTAGATGCTCATTGGACGCTCACTGATTACTCAATGGTACTCTGTGACCAATCAGTGGCCAACTCTGATCATTCAGACCACTGCAGACTATGCCTTTAATGGAACAGCCCCATAGGGTCGTTTATACTATGATGTTTAGTTCGATGATAGCATCGCACCTGCCCTCATTTTCTAAACCACCCTGTCTTATCAAGAAAGTACGTCATGATCACGGGGCGTAGGAAAAAGTGGAGGGCTTCATCTATTTTATGATACTACGGTCAAGAGTACTTTCTAGTTTCTTAGAGAGTGGCTCGTGTCACGATCTAAACATGAGTAGCTATTATCAAAACCAAACCTACTAATGATCAGTACAATTGCAACAAGACACGGTCGTTTTTTACGGTAAGAATAAGAACCCACGAGACTATCCCAAATAGATCAACCTCTTGAAACAACTAGGTACATGGTATATTCTTAAACATGTTCTTAACATCCTTTCTTCGTAGTCTGTGGGCTGCTTAGTACGAGCCTACTATTGCAATTAGAAAAAGGCCCCAAAGCCCGACGTATTAGCCGAGTAGGTAAACACTTGACCTGTCTTGCGGATTCGAATACCCAAACAAACGATCTACATCGCACATCTCGCTGGATTCCCATGCCTTTTTGACAATTAATAATTAACAAGTTCGTCAGAGTCACAAATAATCCAAGTAGTATCATTCCTCTAAATCGGCCAGTGGACATATAGGAGGGAGCAAAATTGAGATGGTACAAGATTTGTCGATGGTGCATGGACAGCATGCCAAAGACGCCGAATGGTGTTGGCGACATGAAATTACGGTGCGTATGTCCTCGCGATTCGCTGAGAGCTGGCGAGGAGAATTACCCTTCTCCCTTTCTAATCTGGAGGAGTTCCACGAATCTCGGCAGGTGGTAGGCAAAGCGTGAGGGAAGAAGTGACCAACGAAGGCCTGGCAAACAAGGCTTCAGCCTACCTCCACGAGGCTATCGTTCCTAGCCCCGGCAATATCTTTCAAGCGAACCCACAGCGGACCCTTTTCCCAGACGATATAGCTTCTGGCCTCATCCCAATGAGACGACTCGGGCTGCAGAGAGACATCAAAATGCCAAAGGATCTTGGCCAATACAGTTCGCATTTCCGCATATGCAAGACTAAAAGCAGCATTGAATAAGATACATTACTTCGAGGAAAGAGGAGCAGTAGCGAGCAAAAACTTACTTTCGACCAATACAGGCACGTGGCCCAAATGAGAATGGTTGCAGTGCTTCACGCCGGTCAGAAGCGAACTGGCTTGCGTCATTATTGCCTTCTAGCCACCGTTCTGGGAGGAACGAATCTGGCTCAACAAAGTTCGTGTGCCCACGGAAAGTAGAGTAATGTGGCACGGACACAGAAACCTGTACGGCTCTGTCAGTTCTTCATCAAAATATATGAACTAGAGGTGCTTGGCAGCAGACATACCCCTTCTGGGACGAATTTCCCATCAACCGCGGCGCCACCCCTTGGCACCAACCGAGGACCAAGGCCAGGTGCTGGTGGAAACAAACGCAAGCTTTCCTCAATGATGGCACCTACATAGGGCAGCTGGCTTGCAGCAAAGAAAGTGATATCGCTGTCTGCATGGAAAGACGTCCGCACCTCCTCAATAGCCCTTCGCCAGCACACTGGATGTTTCTGCAGGTAGTAAAGACAAGCAGACAGAACTGTCGCTGTAGTCTCGCTGCCGGCCTGTATAATGATTCCAGCATTTACCTCAATTTCCGGACGTTGCATACCGCGCTCATCGTTGTACCTGAGAATGTACGAGATGAAGTCAGGCCGAGTTGTTTCGGTTGCAAGGCGCTGTGTCACCTTGTCCTTGCTCATCTGGTAGTGTGCTATTCGCTTTTGGATCAACCGCTTCGGCATGATTTTGCGAATTTGTGCAGCCAGAAATGGATAAACAGACAATGCCCGCAGGAAGGCTCCAGTCTTGATGCTCTGAAAGATGGTAGCGACCCAAGGGTGATACTCGGAGCCCTCCAGGCACCCGAAGGGCTCGCCAAAGGCCAAATCTCCGATGATGTCAAAGGTCAGAAAGTTGAGCCACTCTTCCAAATTGACCTTCTCCCCACGATTGGCATTGCCTCGTAGCTGTTTGATAAAGAGGTCAATGTAGGACATAATCAATGGCTCTTGGTCCCGCAAAGCGCGCTCAGAAAATGCGTGGCTGAGGAGCCTTTTCTGTCGGGAATGGTCTGCCTCGTTGGCATTGATCATATGAGATTGGCCCGGTGCGGCTGGCATGTAAAATTCAGGATCTTTGCTGAATGGCAGCATCCCGGAATTCCGGTGACCGTAGATATCCTTCCAGGCCTGCGGGGACCTGTAGGTAAGGGCATTGGGGCGGATGCGCACCACCTCACCGTATTGGTCGTGAAGCTCTCGAAGTCGCCGATGAAGTTGCCCCGAGATTGTCCAAATGACGTACGGCAGGTTTGACACTGCGGCCAATCTAGGCCCCGGGCAGTGGGCAAGAGGGTGGAACCAGAGTCGGTAGAGTAGTCGCCAGATAATGGCAGTCAGTGCCTGAAGGGTTTTGGTCAGTAATTGATCTTGCCTTTTTTGAAGGGAGTCTGAGAAGGTTACATACTGTGCACAAGACTGTGCTCCAAAGACTTGACATTTTCCAATGGCAAAGCTCGCGCCGCGTTCTCAATGCAGATAGGACAACAACACGCAGGGCAAAGACATTTAGTTGGGAACTTAAGTCAGCAGGCACAATCTGCCCAACTTAATGGAGTTGTCAAATTCTGCTGTGATATGCAAGCGGCTGGTTGAGGTGAAGTTTTGGTGTGTCTGTTTATTATCTGTGGGGGAAGGATGTAAGTAAGGGTCGAAATGTAGCAAATTCCGCGATTTTGCGGGAAATCAGACGGCTCGTCTGACTGAGTATAAAGTCCACATTGGCCTTCACAACTTGATAATTCAAAAATCAACATTTACAAAAACTCTCAGTCTGATGATTCTTTGAAATCCTTCCCAAACTATAAATTTTGAAATTGAGGTGGGTTTTTTTTGCAAGAAATGATTACGATTCATATGTTGCTAATCTCAATGACAGGATCCAATCTCCCGCATTCAACCAGCAGACAACCCAGTATCTTCCAAACGAATATGAAATTCCAGCCTCTTCTACAGGGAAAAGTCGCTGTGGTCACCGGCGCCGGGTCCGGCATTGGAAAAGCCACAGCGCTCTGTCTCTCACAGGCCGGGGCCAGTGTGGTGATAGCCGAGCTGATCTCCGTGACCGGAGAGAAAACAGCGGCGTTCATCCAAGAGCAAACGGGGAACCCAGTTCTGTTTGTTCAGGTTGATGTGAGTCAGTCGGAAAGCATCAGAGCAATGGTCCAAGCCACAGTCGACAGATTTGGCCGTCTCGATATCGCCGTCAACAATGCCGGCATGCACCCCGACTGCACACCCATAGAGTCACTTGACGAAGACTACTGGCACCGACTACTGGCAACAAACCTCACCGGTGTGGTGCTGAGTATGAAGTGGGAGCTCCGCCAGATGATTGCCCAAGGCCAAGGGGGTAGTATCCTCAACATGGCCTCTGGCACAGTGTTCCGGGCCCAGACGAGGATGGCCGCCTATGTGGCAGCCAAACATGGCGTCATCGGGCTGACTCAGACCGCTGCCTTGGAAAATGGCTGTCACGGTATTCGTGTGAATGCCCTGGCTCCTGGTGGCGTCGCCACCGAGTTGACCATGGCCACGCTAGCGGCGATGGGTAGGACAGAAAAGCAAGAATCATCACGTACTAGTCTGCTGGAGCGCTTTGCCCAACCTCACGAGGTGGGCCAGGCGGTGGTCTGGATGGTGTCGGATGCAGCGACGTACATGACGGGATCGACGGTACCTCTCGATGCGGGCATGTCAGTAATGTAAGGGGGGCGTGAGGTTGGGCCAGGCGGTGGGTGGTCTGGATGGTGTTGGATGAGGAGATGTACATGACGGGAACGACGGTATCTCTCGATGCGGGAATGTCGGTGATGTAAGGGGGGTTTAGGGCTTGGATCGTGTAGGTCTCGATTTTGGAGCGGATTTCGCCACAGCTCAAGTTCCCTCTAGGGACGAGTCACAAGGGAAGGGCATATTCCTTTCTCATCCAGCAAACACTATTGCAGCGCTTTGCTGAGAACCGCCTATTCATTATCGTGACCGAACACGATCGTCGCCTTGAATGAAAATGAGCGGTGAAATCACCCACGGTTACATCAATCATCAGTGGAGGTCGTCCAATGCCTTCCTCATTACTGTCGCTGTGGTCAGTTTGTTTTCAGGTGGGCTTAATTGTCGCTATCTCTAAGCTATGATCTACCTAATAATTCCAACCAGAAAAATTTCTCTATGGATTCATCGTTCCAATTTTAAAGTACATGGTCGAGTTCCGCCTTGGACTTGATCCATCCAGCACACAAAACCTCACCACTGCCCTGCTTGCTGTGCATGGATTATGCTCTTTGATCTCTGCGCCCATCATCGCGCACTTCGCAGACAAAACACCAAACAGAAAGTACCTGCTACTATCTTCTCTGGTGGGATGCGCTCTAGGCACCTCTCTTGTTGCCTACACGCCGTCAGGTATGATAGTCCCGCCCAGGCCCCAGATCGCTGCCACATCTAACACAAGCAGTATGGGCACTCCTCCTCGGAAGAATCGTTCAAGGTGTTTCTGGGTCTGCGACATGGATTTCATCGTTTGCGATGCTGGTGGATAATATCGAGCCGGAGCGAAAAGGACAAACTTTAGCATTGGCTATGTCTTTTGTGACCAGTGGTGTCATTGGAGGTCCAGCAATCTCCGGCTTGTTGTTTCAGATAGCTGGTTATTGGGCAGCCTGGTCCGTTCCTTTTGCTCTTTTGAGCCTTGACTTTCTTGCCCGGCTAGCGATGGTTGACAGAAAGTCCGAGATGCCTCAGACTACAAAGTCAGTCAAGTCTTCGGAAACGCGGGGACCAGAGGACACAGCCGGGCTACTTTCAAGCCGGAAGAATGGTTACAAAACAATCGAACAAAATCCGGATGGGCTTTATAGAGAGAGGACAGACATCCTTGAGAGTCAGAATGCTCAAGGCTCGAGCTCTGTTGAGGTTGAAACCCCAGGATTCTACCGCACTTTGCTGTTTGATCCACGGATTTTAACCGGATTGGCGATCACTTTGGCGCAGTCCGTGATTGTCGCTGGCTTTGACACTACGCTCCCTCTTTACCTCCAGAACACATTTGGCTGGGGAAGTCTCCCCGTGGGAATGATGTTCCTTGGGATCCAAGGGCCACCCATCATTCTAGGTCCTCTCATTGGCGGCGTTCGAGATCACCTAGGGCTGCGATACCCTACTGCCCTAGGTTGGGCTATCGTTGCACCATTTCTCTGGTTACTTGCAGTTCCAGGGCGGTTCGACTTTCCCTGGGCTGCCCTAGATTCTAATGGTGAGGCCATTGTGATCGTCAGCATTGTTGGGGTTGGTTTCGGATTTCTATTAATCCGTGGAGCTGGAGCATTCCAGCTAATTGGTATGATGATCGGACCCTGTCTGTTTGAAATTCCTTGCTAATCATGGACTAGCTGTGACAAAAGAACTAGAAAACAAATCCCCAAATATTTTTGGTCCCAATGGAGCCAACTCCAAAATTGCCGCCATGATGGAAGTTTCATTCAATCTGGGCATGTTAATTGGGCCTCTTGTTTCTGGAAGCCTCTCTGAGATACTTGGCTATTACTATGTGAACTGTACCATGTGTAAGTTGAGCAGTCTTAGCCTAACAATAATCGGATAGCAGCTAATCTTAATTAGCGATTCTTGCTCTATTTGTTGCTGTCCTTTCCCTTATCTACCTCCAGCGGTAGATATCCTTGAATATCGGTGCAGCTCCCTTGAGATAATGGTACTATCGGACACTGATTCTGATAATGGGCAACTCGTCATATAATGAATTTAGCAGAATTAAATATAGTGGCTGAACCGTACAGTAATTATGTGGACCGGAGTATATAGCCGATAGTGTCCACCACGTAGCAGTTGAAGGGAAATAGAACAAAACAGACAAGTTCCAATCCACAACCATTAGCTGTGGACTGATAATGTAAAATTCCTCCACCCCTTTTCTCCTTGCTCTAGTTTACTAAATACATATACCACTTTGCAATATACGCATTTCCCCACCACACACACAACCAGGAGAACGGGTTAGCTCATTCTCACTCTGCATTCTCTCAATTGGTCTTCGAATATATTTCCAGCCGAAGTGTATTTCATATCATGGCAATACTATGGGTCTTTTCAATATGCCTCATAGGACTTGGGACCTACTGGCTGCTTCTGAGATTGACTCGGAGCAAAGGTCGCCTTCCCCCAGGACCCAAAGCTCTGCCTGTGATCGGAACACTAGAGCTGAGATCTATCTCCGCCGACTGCCCTCTTTGGCTTAAACTCAAGGAATGGCACAAAATATTTGGGCCACTTGTCACCGTCTACATGGGCAACCAGCCTGTTGTCTTCCTCGGATCCAGGTCCGTTATTTGCGATCTGTTCGAAAAGCGGGGCCGCATCTACAGTTCGCGCCCGCGGATGGTGATGGCGTCAGAGATCATGACCCACGGTGATCACGTTGTCTTCATGCCGTACGGTCCCCAGTGGCGCAAGCACCACCGCATCCAAGGCGCTCTACTGAACCAGCAGGCAGTGCGGCATTACCGCAAACTGCTCGATTTGGAGAGTCTTTTCACTTTGCGCGACATTCTTGCGAAGCCCGATAATATCGAGAAAGCATTCCGGCGATACCCGGGGAGCTTGATGAACACTCTGGCATACGGAGAGCCGACCGTGAGCCATTGTGACGCGCCGCAATTGAAGCAGGTTGAGAACATCGCGCGAGCTTTTGCGGACGCCGTTGGAGCAGGCCACTGGCTGGTCGACGCATTTCCCATCCTCAAGTGGTTTCCAAACTGCGTTGCTCCGTGGAATCGTTATGGAGAGCAGATTCATCAGCGGACTGTGCAGCTTTTCCGTGAGAAAACAACAGCTGCCGAGACTGCGCCTTCCTGGAACTGGGTGAAGCACGCAAAAGGAGAGTACAAAGATGAGATGTCTGACCATGAATTTCTCTACGTGATCGGCGTCCTCTACCAAGCCGGTGTCCATGTTACGGTTTCGACTTTACGCCACTTGCTGTTCATATGTTGTCGGTATTCGGTATCAGTAGCGACTGCACAGAGGGAACTCGACAGCGTCCTTGCACCGGACCAATTACCAACAACGGAGGATTTGAGAAGTTTGCCATACGTGTCAGCGTTCATCAAAGAGGTGCTGCGGTGGCGACCCTTGACACCAATCGGCATGCCTCATGCCTCGACGGAAGATGACAGCTACGGGGGATACCACTTACCCCGCGGTACCGTATTCATTCCAAACCACTGGGCCCTGGATATAGACGAGTTAGGAGGAGATTCCCAGGATTTTAGGCCGGAGCGATGGCTTCAATGTGGTGCACCCATGATCAATGCCTTTGGCTTTGGTCGTCGTGTTTGTCCTGGGCAGCACTTGGCTCAAGATGCCGTTTCACTCCTCGTCTCCCGTTTGCTGTGGGCATTCTCTTTTCAATCTCCTGATGAATTAAGTTCATGGGGTTTTGAGATTGATGCATCCATATTGGTGCCTAAGCCGTTCCGTGCCAATGTCACCATTCGGGATGAACGACGAAAAGATACTATTAATCATGGTTGGAGAGATTCAGACAAAGACTTCAACAGTATACTGGAGCAGATCGGCCGGGAAATGTCTTAACAATACGACTGGCCGGGGTTTCGGATACTGAATGTTGATATATTCATGACTACGAGTGTGTACAATTCTACGTGCCACCTTTTTCAATAAAAGACGGAAAATCTCTTCTTTGAGAATAACTTTTAATATCAATCGATGTAATACTTCACAGACCGAAAACTTTCAGACATGCTTCAAAGCTCAAAATTCAAAGTCGGCCTTCAAATCAGCAGGATTCAAGGTGGGGTTCTGAATGATTGCGTTGAAGACAAATTCAAGACAATCAAGGAATTTGGATGCCTTTTCCTTACTCAAAACGTTTTCATCGAATCTTGTTTTGATACTGACCGTATTAGATGTGAGCCAGCACTCCAGACACAGACTCCACAGACCTGGAGCATGACCGTATTCTGTGGTGGCTTCTTTGAATAGCCCATGAAAAGTATCTGTTCCCTCGGCCTGAATAATCAGGACTGTCTGGTAGTCACAAGCAGCTTTCGCCTCTGCGCTCAGCCCGCGGAGAAGCTCCTTATCAATACCCTCGAAACCAGTTCTCTCAGCGGCTTCGCTTTGGATGCGCCCCAGATTAGACCCCAAAGAACTCTTCATATCTACACGAAAACAAATCGGCAGTAGTGAGGCTGAAGGTACTGCCATATCGGAAATTCCAGGGATTGGAGCTGCACGCCGGGCCAGCAGGTCCCCGTATACGACTTTGTCGATATGGAGGTTTCGGGCAAAAGTAACGGCAAGTGCAAGGCGTATTTTGTTGCTTGGTGTAAATTTATCTCGGGGTGGAAAGTGTAGCTCTCGCTGAAGTTGTGCGGTTTCAAGAGGAGTGTATCCCGGAGGTGGCACCGGCGGGAAGTGCTCGCCCTTGAAACCAGCAAAGGAGCTGCTCCAAAATTGTTTGCTTCGCTCATCTAGCCTTGAAGACCATTGCACGAAAGGGCTGAAAGACAGGCGCGGGAGAGTCTGTCCCTGATAAGCGCGCTCTATGTCTCTGAATACCAAAGGGAAGGAATAGCCGTCGATCAGGAGATGATGTATTGACATGACGAAGATGTTCTCATGAAAATATGCCTGAACCAAAGGGACACCAAATCCAAAGAGATCAACGACCAAATCGGTTGTTGGTTTCCTGAGATCTGTTTCCAGATCAAGCACAATGGGGTCCCTAGTTACGGCTTGATAATAGCATCCCCAGTCAGCTTCTATAATGCGAGTTCGGAAAAGAGGATTGGAGGAGACCGAAATATCCCAAGCGCAGATAAACTTTGCTTGATCCACATCTGCAGGAAGTTGGCATCGGAGTCGAAGGGTGAGATTGCATTGGCCCTTGATCATGTAGGGTATAGACACGAGTTGATGTGCGGTGCAGGGGTACAGGTCTTCAAGAGAGCTCAATGGAACTTGACATTGTTCGAGAGCCTTGCGAATCACAAAGCCCCTTCTATCAGTCTGATTTGGAAGAAGGCAAAATGGCTCAATGTGCTGGTATACGGAAGCGACTGTCTCGTATTTCATTTTCGTTACGAGCTGTGCCAGTGATTTGGCCCCCAAGATATCGGCAACCGACACACAAATACCATGGCTTCTGGCCTGGTCAACGAGTTTCATGGCAAGTAGAGAGTCACCGCCAAGCTGGAGCCATCCAATGTCATCACGTTGACTTTGAAGAGGTATACCCAGTACCTTCCTGCAGAGCTTTATCAGTGTCCCTTCCGTGGCCACGGTTAAACCCCCGTGATGCTCGGTGCAGTTGTCGGTTGATCCTTTTAATTGTGCCGCGAGTAGCTTCTCCGCTTCTTGTCGCAGTGCCTTTCGGTCGGTCTTACCAGTTCTCATCATTGGGATACGATGGACCCGAAGAAAGTTGCCAGGTACCATGTATGGCGGTAAATGCTGCCTCAGGTAGCCTCCTGCCTTTTTTGTCACCGTTTGAAACTCAGTGTCTTTGGAAGCCTCAAGATAGAGATGAGCATTCCATGATAGTGGCAGTTGTATGAATGCGATCAAAGAAGCCGCGCCTTGCGTGGAAAAAGAAACAACTTCGACCACTATGTCATCAGCTTCTTGAAGGGCTTCTCGTAGATGAAATTCCACTTCCCCGAGCTCTATTCGTTGCCCCGAAACCTTGACTTGAGTGTCTTTCCGCCCGAGAAATTGGAGTGACCCATCCAGATTGTAGCGCACGATGTCCCCGGTCCGATACAATTGAGTATTAATAGAGCGGGAAGAAGGGACCCAAGGAGCGCCGTTCAAGAAGGGAGCCATGCTGGGGGCTGAATAATTGAGATATCCACGACTCAAGCACGGTCCTTCCAGAATCAACTCGCCCTCTTGCCCGTCGGAACATTGACAAGTGTTGCCATTACGATCAACTACCCAGCACACAGCATTGTGGGAATACCCAATGTTGGCCGAATCAGATGGGGATGCCGTAAAATCCCGTATTGTTGCAGCATGAGCAAACTCCGCTGGGCCATATAAGCCTAGGAGATGAACATGAGGAGACCATCTATCAAGGTCTGTGCGGGTGATTGCTTCTCCCGCCAGAGCAAGAACCTTAAGGCCGGGCAGTTGCTCAGGGTCTAATATCCGAGCGACTGAAGGTGTGAGTGTGACCCAATTTACGGAGAACTGGAGAAAGGCGTTTGCCAGAGCGGATAGGCGAGACGCCTCAGAGGGGACGCATAAGCATGCACCCGTTGCAAGGGTAAACAGATGATCATAAACGCTCAGATCAAAAGCATAGGCTGCAAATTGCAGTACGCGTGAATCTCGTCGTAGAAAAAGCGGTCCATGGTTCTTTGTAATGCTTGTCGCCATTGCAGAATGAGGCATAACAATACCTTTCGGTTTTCCCGTAGACCCCGAAGTGAAAACGACGTAACAAGCACTTTCTGGCATTGCAAGGTTGCTGAAAACGATAGACTCCGTTTGATCACGGCATCCCGTCACGCTGGCCAAGCGACCATCAACAATGACCGTAGCTCCCAAGGATACCAGGCTCCTAGCTAGATCGGCTCTCGAAGGGGATGTTAGCACAATCGATGCATTGACAGCCAGGCATATTTCCTTCAAACGGTTCAGTGGAAACGCAAGATCGAGAAGAACAAATGCACCACCAGCCTTCAAGACCGCAAGAATAGCCACCGCTGTCCACATCGATTTGTCGAAGCAGAGTGGCACTATCACTTCAGGTTTAACGCCAAGCTCCATCAAGCGAATTGCCAGTCGGGAAGACTTTTGCTCGAGCTCTCCGTAGGTCAGGTTGCCATCCCAGGCATTGATAGCTGATGATGCCGGATAGGCTTCACATTGCTGCTGAACAAGCTGATGTACACAGATATTGTGAGACGCCAGCAGCCTGACACTGGAAGACAAGCTCTGAGTATCATCTTCATGGTTGGATTTGCTTGGGAAGGTTGGGTAATCATCCATAACGGCAGATATCCCGATGACTTGTGAGGGGGTAGTCCAAATTGCTGAAATTGGTGTTAGAAATTGAGAGTAGCCAAAGCGAGCTCGCCTGGTGAGGGCTTGTTTTATTGAGACAGGTATCGATCCCTGTATTGATTTTCAGATAGTGTGGAGCCTGCATAAATCTAGTCCCGCGCCAGACGCCACAAGAAAGACTTATTGTAAGGAACAAACAATGTCTTTCCTATTGTTACCAAATTTCTGATCACTGGCTTTTTCGTGTCCCTTCAAAACACCCCTTGTCGCATTCAGCTCGTATTCGCTTAAATTCCCTTGGTAAGGTATCGTTACTACGGGCTACCGCATGTCTCAGCCCATTCTTGCGAACATACATACATATTGCTCTCTCTTTTGGGCTAGTTGGACGACCGAGAGGCTTGAACGCCCTTAACTGGTAACAATCCCTCTAGTCCAACGATGGTAAGAGGTCTCGTAGACGATCACACAATGCATCCGTTCCCTCGAACCGGACCCCATACAAACCAACACTTCGTGCCGCGTCCACGTTCTCAATCTTATCATCAACAAAAATCGTCCGCTCCGGCGAAAGTTCACCCCTTTCAATAACCAATTTGAAAAAGTCCGGATTTGGTTTCCTCGTTCCCTCAAAGCCCGAGGCAAATACCTGGTTGAATAAATCCATGACTTGGGGATGCTGGCATTGTAGATAGTCGATTTCACTCCGCGGAATGTTTGACATTGCGTAGACGGCCATTCCGGTAGTGCGCTTTAGCTCACGAATGAAGTCCACCAGCTGGTGGTTGGCTTGGAGCGATGCACGCGCATTTTTAAACGCTGCCTTGATGTCGGCCTCGTCTATTTCCAATCTCTGACCCATAGTCTCGCAGAACTCCTCGGTTTCGATTTGGCCAGTCTCATATTGAGCATAGATATCGGACTTCATGATGGACTTTAACGTCGCCCCAACCTCACCAGTGGGTTTGCTTGACCACTCGAAGATGACGTTGCCCAGGTCTAGTATAATGGCTTGCCATGATGATTGTAGCATTTTCAACCTAGGCTCTAGCTTCTCTGCCTTGAGATGAGCCATGGAGACTTTCGGGAAGTGTAGGCTCGGGTGATGTGACGCTTGTTGGTAGGATGACACAAACTGCTGCTGAGTCCAAAATGGGCCCCAGAAGAGTCGATCGCAGTCTCTGGAATGCATAACTCCATGCAGATCCACCTGATGGGCCAGTGGGGCTGCACTAGATGATGGGTCACGATGCAAGGGAAAGCGCAGGTGGGTAACGTATCGCGATTTACCGTTTGCAGTACTTGAATTTCCCTGGTAATTAGGGCCCAGGAGAGTTTCACTAAGCAAGGTCAGCTAGGAGGCATTCGGTGAGGCCTACTTTGTAAGATTGGCTACATTTACCTTGAAGAAGGGTCGTTTTGCTAAGTAGACCCCTCAATTGGGCGAGTGTGGGAAATTTCGCAGCAAACCCTTCTCGGAACATCGCAATGGAAATCACAGAGAATCCTCGAACAGCGTGGCACCAACCCAGGGTCGCCATTAACAGCCAAACAGGATTTGCTTTCGCGAAAGACTTGATTTATTTGGTGTGTGTTGTTTACCTGAATATGAGGGACTCATATTGAGTGTTTTGACCAGATCTTCGCGTACTATGTCGTCCGGTCTCTATACCTTCTCTACTGGAGTCCGCTGGCCAAGTATCCAGGGCCGAGGCTATGCGCCATCTCCAGATTGCCGTGGGTGTGGTACGAGGTGAGCGGAGGGATGGCCAAATGGATTCACAACCTCCATCTCATTCACGGCGACATCGTGAGAGTGGCACCAGACGAGCTGAGCTTTGCGAAAGGCGCCGCTTGGAACGATATCTATGGCCCGCCGACGGAGGACCGCAAAGCCACTGAAAAGGAAGCGAGGCACTACGTGGCACCAGGAGGGGGTAGCAATAGCAGTATCGTCGGCGCTTCTAACACAGATCACCCTCGTCTTCGACGTGCTCTCCTCCATCCTTTCTCCGAGCGCGCGTTGAATGAGACTGAGCCACTCATTCGTCGACATCTGGAAACCCTCGTCAACATTCTCCAGGCTGCCCCGCCAATGGACAAGTTTGATATGGTGACCATGTACAATCATGCTGCTTTTGACATTATGTCCGACTACGCCTTTGATGAGCCCCTCCAAATGCAAACGACCTCTCAGAATCACTCATGGGTGGACACCACATTCGGTGCTCTGTGGGAGGTTTCTCTGCTTCGCATGGCCTTCTACTATCCGTGGACTTCGGTGATTGTCCCGCTGTTTGTACCCAGATCCCTGCAGTCGAGCTTTGAAAAGAATTACCAGCATTGCGTGGAGAAGGTCAACAAAAGTCTAGCCGTGGGCCCATCTCCCACAGGTCTGCTCGGGCGGATAATGGGTCTGAAAGAGGAGCTTCGTCTCACTCCCTCGGAGCTGCATGTCAATTTGCAGACTTTGATGGTAGCAGGCACGGAGACGTCTGCTGCCCTTCTCTCAAGCGTGACATACTACCTGCTACGTAACCCCCTGGCGATGCGACGGCTTCAGAAAGAACTGAGGTTCAACTTTCACACCGCTGTAGACATCAGTCAGACCGCTCTAAAACAGATGCCTTATCTCCACGGCTGTATTGAAGAGACATTGCGTCTACAGCCACCAGTCCCACTTGGTGTTCCTCGAGCCATTCCAAAGGGCGGGGGGGTTATCTGCGGCGAAGTTCTTCCAGAAAAGGTAGCTACTTTTGTTCCCATGCATATATATCAATATCGCACTGACCACAATGGCCTTAAGACCGTTATATATGTCAGTCCGATAGCTATTGGTCGCCACCCATCCCGATTCAAAGACTGCGAGTCTTTCATCCCAGAACGCTGGCTTGGGGGCAACGAGTACGCCGCCGAGGACAAGTCTGCACTCCAGCCATTTTCTTTTGGTCCACGAAACTGCCTGGGGAAAAGGTAAGAATTCCACGCAAGAGACAATGTAACAGACACAAAGCTAATTCATCGCAATACCCAGTTTCGCTTATCACAAGGCACGTATGACATTGGCAATGGTGTTTTGGCATTTTGATCTCTCATTATGCGAGGAGAGTATCGACTGGGCAGAAAACCTGCGGCTCTGGAGTGTCTGGGAGAGACAACCATTGATGGTCAAGGTGAAAACCCGACCAATGTGAGGCACTGGTTATTCATTGTGGTTATTTACGATGGGGTTCGTGGCAGGTTGTCCATGCTCAGTCCCGATTCATCCCCGTTGCTGAAGATATGAGAAACCAAGAATTAAAAGAAAGAGCTAAGAAATCCAAGTTTGTTCTATCGAAAGAGAAGTCTCCACGAGGCCCAGATCAAACATGCATAGGCTGCAATGTGAGTCACCCTGAAGGCATACCGCATCACCATAAGAAGATGAGAAGGATGCATGCTCTCTTCCAGTGCACGAGCGTCATTAAGATGTGGGAACGGAGTATCAGGAATAGGCTGGTCGAGGAATTCGCAAAGAGGACCCCAGCCGTCCTTGACATTCCAGTACATAAGCCTGTCCTTTGGAGTAGAGCTGGAGATGGCACTATAATGCTCCTCATAGCACTGACGACTGTTATGAGAAAAGTCGCCCTTGAATAGAACCTGCCATGCCTTTCTAAAAGTTGGCAAGGAAAGGCGGTCTTCCATGAACAGGGCCTTGTTTAGAACTTCGAAAAAGATCGGAGATGTGGATGAGAAATAATCATTGAAGCGCCTTGCAGATCTGGCGACAATTAGCATGAACCAAAGACGTGAGTCCAATATCGCAACATTGTCACTCACTTCTCCCATCCAGCAAAGTCCCTAACGGGTAAGATGATCTTTGCTTCCGGGTAGGCCTCCACCAGCTCGGGCCCAAAGCAGATCGCCGGCATATCTGAGACTACCTAGAGCAGAGTCAACGGAATCAATTCTACGCAGACCCATATAAATCGTACCTGACAGTGTCCCAAAAGTTGATCGAATTCTTTTCTCGTGAAGTTCGTGCCTCTCCCATCGTACTTGGCATGTAAAGCCTCCATCCACATATCACAGTCCCGCGGGTTGAGGAAGAATGCGTCCTCTCCATGATAAACATTGAAGTATCCTAGCATCTCTAATGCACTTTTGAGGGCTATGATCTTTAGTCAATTATTATACATGAGCTCTGGAAGATTACAGTACCTACAAGTCGAGCCTGTACGCGGCATCCCAAGAACTAGGGCCTTCATGGGAACTCGTCGAGAGCATTTGCGACGGTCAATATCTGTTACCATTCCAGCTTCATCTTTCAATTGTCGGATGGCAGCGAACATATTGTTGAGTTTTCGTAGAATGAGTGAACAATCACAGAGATAGAAAGACAGCAAAGCGGAGGTCAGGAATGAGTTGCGAGTAGTGACACTAGGCGGTAAGGAGTCAGGAGAGCTGCCCATACCAAACGAATACATTTGTAGCCTAAAGGACGTGTACGCTTATTTTCAGCCCCACTGTAAGGGTGTCAGTGTCAGACACTCTGTACGAGAAATGTGGGACGATGCGTCCTTACATGAACATGCCGATGCGGGACTTTTGACTTTATTAGCGTCAGGGAATGTACGGGTACGTATCTTGGTATCTGAAACTATATCTTTCATGAACTTTAGAGCCTAAACAATAGTTTTTGCATAGTTTTCAAGGTAAGGATTTAACCGGAGGCTATTCCCTTCCCTTCGTGTTATAGCACTAGAATAGCACCGATTTAGGAAAATAAAACTGGTACTACATGACTTCTCACAGAGATACCAATAACAAAGTAGAATTTAGTCAATTTCGGTTTGATCTTGTGGTCGAGAAACTAAGGAAATACCGGATGTACCTTAAGCGAAACCCATACAAAGGGTACATTTCAATTAGACTATGGTTTTAATTAGACTGTGGAAAAAACCCATCACCGGCAGCGTGTTAGGTTTCTTGGCAAGGACCGAGTATATTGACTTTCCTTTGGCGGAGCTCCCAGAGGTAATACCTAGTAAATGTTGGTCGCGGAGTTCAATTCCTTTTCCGCCGCATAGAATGCATCTTCCACAATGCCCTTGTGCTGCCCATCACGTACTTTCCAAACGACTGGAAACTCGAGAGGCTTTAGGAAGGCCCCTATGGCAGTGGCTCCGGAAAGAGCGTCTTTGTGTAGCTCAAGATCAGCAGAACTGTGAAAATCGAAGGCCCACAGTAGGCTTGGTATCATCGTTTCTAGGGTCATCATTGCTAGATGTCGCCCCGGGCATGATCTCCGACCATACCCAAAGGCACCTAGCGGAAGGTCGGGATTTTTGATGTAACGTTCAGGGCGAAAGACAGAAGGTTCAGGGTAAAGATCCTCATCTTGGTGAGCTGACCAATGGTTGAAGAGGACGGTGGAGCCTTTGGGAATGTGATAACCCATATAGGTGTCGTCGGCAGTGGTGTAATGAGGCAAGCCTTGGAGGATTGGCCGCCAGCGCAAGACTTCTTTGACGAAGCCTTGGACGTACGGCATTTCAGGCAAATCGTCCAAAGTTGGGAGCCGAGATCGCCCAACGACATCGTCCAGCTCGGTTCTCGCACGTTCAACTGCATCTGGGTAAAGGATACACGCCAGGACAAAGAAATGAAGCGAGGTGGCAGTAGAGTCCACTCCTGCTTCAAACAAGACGCCAATCAGACTGCGAATCTCAGTCACCGTGAGGTTGCCCGTATTTTCGCTGGTCATAACAAGCTTAGTCCAGCTCCACGAGTCCGCGTCAATTGCATGCGCGGTGTTTTTCTGGAACCATTTCTGAGTGCGCTCGTGGAATTTGTCACCAAACCTTTTCCATGGCGCCAAAAAGGTAGGCAGACGGTTCAATATAGGAAAGATGTCGACAATCCATGTCGAGTTGGTCAATGCCTGAGAAAAGCTGTCTGCCAGGTCCAAGATCTCTCGAAAGTCGGCATCGTTTTGTTCTGGGTCTTTCCCGTAAGCAAGAGTGTAGATGATGTTGAATTTGAGCCGGTTGAAGCATGACCCCATATCATCTGCGTTCAATAAACGAAAGAGAGCCCGTCGACTCTCAATCTGCACTAACTTCCGATATTTTTGCGACATTCGGGGATTCAAAAGTGACACATGAATGCGGTTGTGGATTTTCCACTTGTCTCCGTAGGGAAGAGTTGACGTCTGCATGTTCTTGGTCATGACATCTCTCGCCATGGTCATATCGGGTCGGGAGCTGTATCGGGCACCCTTCTTGCCAAAAAGATCCTTTGTGGTTGGTATAGTCCCCAAAACAATCACATTACTCCAGCCAAGCTTTAAGCGAATAACTGGTCCATACTGCTGATGCCAACGTGCAAACTTCTTGCGCATATCCACCTGATCAATTTGATGGAGGTTCCCAATAAGCGGAAGTCCGCGTGGGCCAGGGGGCAATTGTTCGCCGACATCACTGTGAAAGAAAATGACCAGCACCGCAGCGACAAGGACGGCTGTGAGCAGAATCACGGGCATTTTCCCACAGGTAGTGAGGGGAAAAGAGTGTGTTGAAATCGGCTTTTTATTGCCTATGAGAATGGGAGAATAATTGGACAATAACCGTGTCAAGTTGACCAAAACCGGGCGTCCGGTTTTGGTGCGGATGAGCTGAATACAAAATCGCACCTGAATACAAAATCCTCATTCATTTTCCAAACGTACGCATATCTATCACCTCATCGATAATAATACCATCTGCCCGGAGGGGACTAAACTGATGCCTATAGACTGGGCTAGAAGACTTTTCCCTAGCTAGTCCTAGTAGTGCAGAAACCAAGGTTTTCTTAGCTGCCCTCGTCGCCCGCTTGCGAGTAGCCTCTCTTTTTTTATCTGTTTTTTTCCCCAATCCGACGTTTTCCATCATAAGAAGTCAAAATTCCATCTTTGCCGACCTCACACGGGGTTGGATTCGCTTGTAGAAGTTGATTTGCAGCTAGTTTAATCTCATTAAGCGTAGGAGAGATATCGACAGCATCCCTATACTCCATCCAGCGAATCAAAACCTGCTCCTGATGATCATTCAAAGCCTTGTTGAAGCTTTTATGACCGTTCTTAGATTGCCGACGGGTGAAACGGTTGTACAGACGAGCGTAGGGAACGTTAAACTGGCGCGCTAGCGAGGAAATATTGGGAGGTTTTTTTTTTAGATAGGGCGATTTGGCAGGCCTCAATAATGCGTTCTTCTACCTGATCAGTAGATTTAGGAATATTGGGCAGGAGTTTTGGAAGATAAAAAAAGATAATTTTGTATTCAGTTGAGGCTCACCTACACCGCCGGATGCGGTGTAGGTTTGCTTGGCACGATTACAATAACGATCCTTTTCGCCCTAGATCCCTATCTACGAAGGTCTCGAGATGCCGACATTCAGTACTGGCTGGCTTATGGGCTTCCAAAACCGAGAATCGATCCACATATACAAAAGTCATGGTAAAGAAGGCAGTGTATTAGAGAGAGCGTCGGAAGCAATGCTCTCATTTTGTCAAGCTCTTGATATATACAGTCCAAAGGATATATTCAATTGCGATGAAACTGCTCTTTTCTGGAAGCGAGTCCCCGACCGAAGCCTTTCCAACCGAAGTATGCCTGGCAAGAAGCAAAAAAATGCGAGAATATCAACCTTATTCGTTGCAATTCCGATGGTTCTGAGAAGTTGATACCATGGTTTGTTGGTCCAACTAAAAAGCCACGAGCTTTTACCGCTGCTAAAATCAGGATCGACAATCTCAACCTTCGATGGAGATCTAATGGGAAATCCCGGATGACTAGCTTGATCTTCGAGGAATGGCTTCGATGGTTTGACGCCCATATGGTCAATAGAAAAGTGGTGCTTCTATTGGATATTTTTTTCGGCCCATGAAGCTACAGGTAAAACTATTAAAATAGTCTTTCTCCACTTCAAAATACCCTAATTATATGGCTTCCACAAAAACTCGATTTCAGCCTCTTGATGAGGGTTTTAATAATACGTGGAAGGCATATTGGAAGCGCCGATGGGTCTGGTTTTTAATGAATGAATTTGATGAAGGCTGAGACCCAATGGCTTCTATGAATGTATTGAGAGCTATTCAGTGGGGTGTTCAGGCCTAGGAGCTCGATGTTTCAGCTACTACCATTAGGAACTGTTATCAAAAAGCACTTCTTAAGAAGTACGTTGAGCATCATGATATACAGCCTCTGATTGATGAGATTGCATCTGGTCTAATAGCGCTACAGCCCTGGGTTGTCTCAATTAGTTCGTTATAACCACGGTTTACTGTAAGTAGACGACAGACAGGAGACAAACTCCAGTATACACAGAGCAGGCAAAAGGAGTCCCGCTGATAGCCATCACCAATTTTGAGAGCACCAATAAACAAGGTTGAAAGGATGAGCGAAAAGATAATAGTCTGGCTTGAGGATGCTGCCACCAACGTGCCGCAAAACTGAAGTGAGAATGTTGCATCGTAATGCTATCACGGTGCTTGACGGCTCACAAGTTGATGTAACATCGTCAGCCATATCCACAAACCTGACCATCGACGCAAGGAATCTTACTCATTCTGGTGCATCTTGAGTGGATACGAAGGTTCACTTACCATCGACTAGATTACGCAGCCGGATATCCAATCAAGGTATCGGTAAGGGTGGAAGGAAGAATGTATATGTGTAATTACTGACTCTGCAGATGATCCCTTCTTGCCATGTCCCATCTAAGATTTTCCAGGTTGTTTACTTTGGTCAACAATATGTAGCTGAGCACTCCAGTCTGCTTCCATTCGCGAGCAGAGCGTATTTCCAGCCTTCCAAACCAGTTTTTCCTGGAAGATCCGTCGCCCCTCATGCCACCATACAAGGCCGTGATTTTCGACATGGGTGATGTCCTCTTTCGCTGGAACCCAAAGGCTGATACTCAAGTATCCGTTCAAATGCTCCGGTCAATAACAAAGTGCGATCTATGGAATGAATTCGAGCGCGGAAATATCGACACCAAAGAATGCTATCAGCAACTGGGAGAAATGTTCTCAATATGTCCATCGGAAATTGCCGCGACCTTTTCGCAGACAACAGGCTCCTTGACACCGAACGATGAGATGACTGTCCTTTTGCAAGATCTTAAACGCCAAACAAACATATCCATCTACATGATGACCAACATTCCGAGACCGGACTTCTATCAACTCCGAGCAACTGAGTACGTGTGGGATTGCTTTGATGGGATTTTTGCCTCGGGGTTCGAGGGAATGCGGAAACCAGATCTATGTTTTTATCAACATGTACTGGAAAAAATTGGCATTTTGGCTGTGGAAGCAATTTTTGTCGATGACAAGGGTGAGAATGTTTCAGCTGCACGGGAGCTTGGCATGGAGGCGATCCAATGCGTGAATGTTGGGGAGACCTGCAACAATCTGCGAGCGATGATCCATGCCAAGATGGCCTCTCCACTCTAGTCCTCCAATATCGGCCGATCTCATGGGGAGCTATTGAAAGATGGTGAACCCTGTGTAAAGAAGTGCCTCGATATGAGCATATAATCACAATATATTATATCACATCCTTTTTGTTTTTGATTTTCCCGCAAACCTAGAGTTTGCCTCCGCTCATTGTATACTAGCCCGGGAGATTCCTTCAATTATCCCTAGCAGTCAGATTGACCAACAATGGGGGCTGGTGGAAGGAGACAAATGAGACTGGATCTGCCAGATAGCTCCTCTGACTGCTGGGATCCAATTTCATCTGGAACCTCCAGAGGGTCCGAGCCAGAACGAGTTTTATGCTGTCGTATGCAAATCTCCATGGTGTTAGTTATGGAATAGAATCTTCGCTTAGAAAACTTACTTCTTCCCTATGCAACTACGAGGTCCGACGGAGAATGGCTGAAATACATCTTTTGCATCCCCGTCAAACCGCGAGTTACCCAGCCAGCGATCAGGGATGAATTCATCGGGTGTCGAGAAATTGACCTCGCTGCGATACGCACTCCAGTGGCTGATATTGACAACAGTCTATTAATGTTAGATTTCTGGAACTTCTCCTTCCAGCTCTTAGACTTACACCATCCGGAACAGAATATCCATCAATAACGGTAGCTCCGGCCATAGTTTGTCGAGGAAATCCGTTTGTGATCGGCGGGAACAGGCGTAGTGTTTCCTCGATGATGGCTTGTAGGTAGCGTAGCCTATTGAGTGACAAGACATCGATTTCACTCTCGTCCCGGAAATTGGCGTGCAACTCCTTGTTTAGCTCTGTCAATACTTCTGGACTTTGCAATAGCAAATACGTGGCAGATGTTAGAGCCACTGCGGTTGTTTCACTACCTGCCAGGATCAGAATACTGGCTTGTTGCTCCAGCTCCTCTGCGCTAATAGTGCCCTTCTTCTGGGCCTCGATCAAAGGGTGCATGAAGTCTGGCCGTTCTGTGCCCCTTTGGATGCGCCGGCGCACTTTCCCGAGTGCCATTTCCTCGTGTGTTTTTCTGTTCTCTGCAAGTGACGAAGGGATTATAGCAGCGAAAAGCCGATTTAGGGGACGAAATCGGTGTATAACTTGGAGTAATGTTGACATATAGAAATGGTCTAGGACAAAGCTTACCCACTCATGGTAGGTGGATGTTGCTAGACAACCAAATGACTCTCCAAATGCGAGGTCGCCAATTAGATCGAACGTAATAAAGTTGTACCAAAGACGCAAGTCGATTGGCATTCCCTCCAGTGACCGACTTTGTAATTGATTTAAAAAAAGCTCCACGTTCTTTTGTAGAATAGGCTCTTGCATAGCCAACGCTCGTGGTGCAAATGCCGGGTTCATAGCTCGCCGCATTCGAGCATGGTTTTGATCATCCGCCATCGTTAAGGTTTTCTCATCAACCAGCATATCGTTGAAGAAGGTCTTGTCACGAGGAAGGGGCGGCTTTCCTTGGGATCTTGCATAGATATCGCTCCATGCCGTGGCAGAAATAAACGATAATTCATTTGGGCTGATTCGAACCACAGCTCCATATCGCCGATGCGCCGCTTGAGTGAAATGATGGAAATCTCCTCTCAACTGAGCTAGTGCTACAGGAATGGGAGATGCTGCGTAGAACTTTGGTCCTGGGAATTGTGCGAGAGGGTGCAGATACACATTATAAAAGACCTTGGTAAATATGGCAAACGCAATCTGAAGGGCGGTTAGCGATTCTAAGTGGCTCTAAAAGTCGTCCTCAATACTTACAACAACGAGAAGAACACGTCCATTGGCCCAGCCAAACGCTTGAGAAGAGCCACTGTCCATGGAGGCTTGGAACTGGGTAGATAATGGTGTCGCGGATTGGGTGATATGGGTTGTCTCGGAGTTTCCTTGAAGGTGGAGGGCAAGTCGGAGAGACTCTGAGCTGATCCAACTGATACTCTACTTTTATACTGGGATCAGATATCCTTGCAGGATGCATCGCGATCGCCAAAAGCAAGGTGATACCATGGTGGAGTGGGATGGGAAGTATTGGGAAAAGGGAAAGCCACGCCACAAGGGAACGAGATAGCCTCACTACTTCGCCAATTGGGTTATTCAGTTCCTGAGCTAGGTGCACTAGAGCGGAGCAATAATCCCTTTACTCGGGTAAAATTACTTGATTTCTTTTTTTCTGTCTTTTTGCTTTTCTCGGTCTATTCACACAGGAGTCTGCCGTACTTGCAGTTGCCACCAAATTCTAATTAAACATTCGTCGTGTACGAAGAATGATAGACTGTAACATTGGTATTTATATAATTTTAAGAATCACGCTTCCGTAAATCCCAGCTTGTAAGCGAGACATTGACATCATGGTTGAAACGAGCAAGCGGGTGCCCTACAAAGGAGTTCTGATTGAATTGAAGAACACCGTCTTGTGCTCCTCGATGGAAAACATTCAGTTGCCCGCAAATACCTTTAAGTCTATCTTGTATTGTGGAGCCACCGTGGAATACCAATGTGGCCGCACCACCGAAGAACAATACTTTGCCCGGTTGGCATCAGACTTTGGCCACCCACGGGAAGAGATAGAGATGGCCGTATTGGCTGCGCGGAAGTCTTTACGTGTGAATGAGGCAGTTTTGGAGTCATTGGCTTCAATGAAAGCTCGATTTGATGGCCGATTCAAACTCTATGCCGTAACCAACCTATCCCAAGAGGACTACGCGTCAGTCAAGTGTCTTGGGATTGATTGGTCTTTATTCGAACAAGTATTTGTGTCGAGTGAGATGGGCATGCAAAAGCCCGAATTGCGATTCTACCAACGTGTTCTGGAACAGATAAGTCTGCCAGCTGAGCAAGTCATCTTGGTGGATGACGACACGGATAATATAGTGGCGGCAATGTCCATGGGGTTGCAAGGTGTCCTCTCTTTGGAAGATTCGTTTCCCCGCATTATTCTCAACCTCGTCGAGGTTGACCCTGTTGGACGAGGCACACAGTTTCTCCACCAGCACGCCAAACGCTTTCCTTCTTTCACGCATACCGGCATACCCGTGAGGGAGAACTTTGCGCAATTGCTCATCCTTGAGCTCACTGGTGACCGGTACTCCAGACCTGTGATAAAATTATATGAACGTCACTGACTGCCATTAGATCGTTGGTTGATATTGAGACCCATCTGACCACATGGAACTATTTCATTGGTATGAACAAGCTCATTCTCTACATGGGTATCCCTTCGCTCTCAAGCTGATGAGAGTAGGTCCTCCTGTTCTCACCCAGACCAAGTTCCCTGATGACATGGACACGACATCACTGGGAATCACTATTCTCAATCGCCCTCCTCACGTGGCCAACCTTGTCATGGACAAGATGCTTCAGTATCGATCCCCTGATGGTCTCATGCAGGTAGGAGATTGCCTGGGGATAAGAAGCTCTGAAGTCCGTGCAAAGCTAATATCCCTGTATCAGACATTCTTCACCGACTTCAAAAACCGAGTTGACCCAGTCGTGTGCTGCAACATTCTGAGTCTCTTCTACCAATACGGTCGGGGCTATCAGCTCTCTGAGACACTCAATTGGGTTCACCAGGTCCTCCAAAAGCGGGCCTACATTCACGGTACCTCGTTCTACCCTGTTCCTGAGGCCTTTTTCTTCTTCCTCTCTCGCCTGCTGCTGCGTCTCAAGAATCGTCGCGCCCGGGTATATAGCCGAATGCGACGCCTGCTCATTGAGCGACTAGAAGAGCGCATCGGGGTGCCGGTTGATGCAGCCAGTCTGGCAATGCGCCTAATTGTCTGCCACCAGGTCGGGATTCGCGATGTTCGAGAACTCAAGCAGTTATTATCGATGCAAGAAACAGATGGTGGATGGGAGATGGGAACCTTGTATCACTATGCATCGAAGAAATTGCGGTTGGGTAACAGAGGTGCTTCTACTGCGCTGGCACTTGATGCTATTCGTCGTTGTCAACCTTGGTTGAGCTAGTGCAACTAAATATATTATGCCTCACCAGTATGATTTACTTCGATACTGTGAACATTTTTAGTTTAAATCATCCATGGCACAATGTCAAAAATAGAGTTTGAGAAACAATCAAAAGAGAACAAAATTGTGAAACTGATTTCGATCCGCCCTGTATCACGCTTGACACATTTGATCCCAGGTTTTTTTTAAAAAAAAGATTCCAAGCACTCTCTGGCGTAAGCGACTACAAAGACAAGTTGCCTGGTGGGACATCCATGATATTGATTGGTGATAAATTCAGCGTCACGGAGAGCCAGGAGCTCCGAACCCTGAACTAGACAGGATTAGGTTGTTCCATTATTCATTATGCATCCTCTAACTGAAAGAAAACCCCCCATTCACGGAATACATAGACGCTTTGCTTCCAAAGTCTATCTTGTAAAGGAAAAGGGTATACGGTATAACCTTCGAGAACGGAGCTTTTGACTGCCGACTGATCACCACAAACCACGAGCTATGGCAATGGAACATAATCGCTGGCGCAAGATCTTGACCAATGGTATAAATACCCTTGATGTTTTCTTTGGAACAACTGCAGCAACCACCGTTACAGTTATCTCGGACAACACAGTAACTACAACCTCCCCTGCTGTGACAGTTGACACCGCGTATGCCACCAGCAATGGCGCCATATTCCAATATGTTGCTGCACCGACGCTTACCAGCTTGTCACCTACTGGTGGGGCCATTGCGGGCGGCAATAATGTGACTTGGTTCCCAAGAGTTGGAGGTCTTTGTTTGTGGAAGCAAGGGATATTTGGTGTTTTGGTCTTAAGAATGATGTTTCCCGTTTTCCGCGCAACGTTCAACAGCAGGTCGATCTTTAGTAGCAGGCTAAGATTATCGCGGATGCTAAAAACTTCAGTGAGAATATAATGAGTATTCTTCCTAAGAGGCGAGGAGCAAGCTTTCACATCACAGTAGCTGAGGCGAAGGTGGCAGCAAGGAACTGGCGAATTAGAGAGAGTGTGGTACATTTTTCCCTTGACAGGCAATGCGCGGAAATTTCCGTCACAGAAGGTATGGTGAAGGGGATGGTGGAGGGTTGCCCGTGTTGGGTTGGGGGGGGGGGGGAATTCTCCTTAGTTGACGACAGCAAATCCCTATCACGAGACTTTGATGAACGAAGGTGACGCAAATCATGTTATTATTAATCGGCGGATAGGACTCTGAGACGACGATTGCACTTGTTCGAGCCGGCTTCTCTTGATCTCTCCAGTTCCGGTCTTTGGCGAAAAACTCTTCGTACTGAGAGTTCATTCGAACCTGCCAATGGTATTTTCTGCATGTTGCACAATTCTGCTCTGATCCCAAGAGTTTTCAGGACAATGGGCATTCTTGTATCTTTCGAAGGCTTTGTGAATAGAGACATTGGAAATGGGCGAGGGTTGCATTAGCCGTGGAAGCTGTTTTAGTGAAAACTGTCCCTTGACGATCAGGAATCGTGATGTGCTGTGAGCACACAAGAAAGAGAAATACCATGCTTTGGAGCAGAATAAGTGGCCCGACGCTTTTCTGTCACAACTCGGAAACTTTTCAAATAGCGAAGACATAAATTCTGTTGTCGTATTATCGTTGCTAAGCAATGCCAGAACGGCAATAAGGTGAGAGAAATGGAGTCAAAGATATACCCAAAAAAAGGGAACAAGGAACCCCAGGAACCAAATAAATGCTGGACCTTTCGAAGCATTATCAATTCGTCATCACAGTGCTCTTTAAGTCATTGTCTGGTCCACACAGTATTTCAAAAAATCTCTGGGTTGCCAGAGGTTCATGAATGGGCCACTTACACATTCTACTTTCCCGGGCCCACAGTTCACGTAAACCTCGAGTCCGGGATCTCCGCGGCCCGAAAACCAAAGTATGTTCAGTGGATTTGCCTGAAACTACGCAAATCAGATCGCTCATATGATGATCAGTGAGTGGATCAGATTGCTCATGTGACTATCACATGATGCTTAACTAGCTTATGTAATTATCTGAGAGGGGGTCAGAGTGTTCAGGGGCGTGCTCAATTTTACTCTGAGATCAAAAAGCGGCAAGAGGTGAGCACTAAAATGGAAGGGGAAAGGCTTCGATTGCCAGGCATTATCCGGTACATATGCGATTCGGACAAAGATTGAGTTCTTTCGTTCTTCGAAAATTTCCACAAGCTTATCCACCCATTGGGTTTTAGGTCGGATGCTCCGACCCAAAATGGGTTCTGCCGAAGTTTAATATGTTGACAGAAATCTCGCGGTATGACAACGCATGGACAAAATCAGATATATTGAAATCTTCTAACTAACTAAAATGACAAAACCCGCGGTTTTCAACAATCTGTGCGGACATAGATGACTAACTGTAATATGCACTTTTGTATGGTATGGTTGGTACCTGGTGTCACATGATATTCAGGGTAAAATACCCTTTTTCCACCATGTATTCAATCTTAGCATTCGACATATGTGTATTTCCAAGGCTATAGGAGTTTACTGACGTAGTTCTCGTTTCAATTATTATGAACTCTCTACATATATGTGAACTTATATATGATACCACGAGAGCGATTATCTTAGACAATTGGACATTCTAACGGTCATTTCATCGTATTTGGCTGTTAATCACCGGTTCCTTTGATTATAGGGTGCTTCCTTGCCTCATTCTAGCGCTTTATTCCACGTCGATCACCAACCCATCTGATATCGAGCATCCATGAACCAATACGACTCAAGTCTCTTAATCACGAAGACTCCAAGTTGGTCAAAATAACTCGACACCCCAGCGGTGCCAGAATTCCACCCTATACGGATCAGCATACATCAAGTAAAACACACATAGGAAAAACATACCGGCGTCATCTTCAATTGATACTTAGGATCAACAACCCACCTAACCCTCCCCAATAAAACAAACAACAAAATCTTCACTTGCAACAACGCAAATCCCTGTCCAAGACACTTCCGCTTATGCGCATTAAACGGAATATACGTTCCGCGAACCGTCTCCCTCCGAAACCGCCCCTGCATCTCCTCAACACTCTCTCCCCACCTCTCCGCCCGAAACTCACGCGCATCCAAACCCCATACATCAGGGTTACTATGCACCGCCCACGCATTCCATCCCAGAAACGTCCCCTTCGCAATGGGAAGTTCCCCACCCAGCAGCGCCGGCTGCAAGGCGACCCGGTTAATGAGCTGACACACAGGTGGGAACAGACGAAGTAGTTCCAAAACCACGGCTGTGAGGTACGGGAGACTATTAATGGTTTCCTGTGATGGATTCTGGTGGGTCTTGGCGGTTTCTAGGATCTCCTCCCGTAGTCGATCCTGAATATCGACTCGAGTGCCCAGCTGCCAGAACATAGACGTGACGAGTTGCTGGGCGTTTTCGTGTGCGGTTAGGAATGTTATCTTGAGGTTATCGCGGAATTGTTTCTCGGTTATCCGGCCTGATGTATATGCTTCGCCCAGCATGTGCGAGACCATTTCTTCGGATTGGGTTGCTTTGCTTTGCGTGCGCTTGTGGAGCATTGTCATTATCATTGTGTAGAGGCGGTTGTCGAATTCACGCATTATATTGTAGGCGCGTTTGCGAGATGGTAGAAGCCAGGGGAAGTGATCGAGATCGGGGAAGCTGAAGTACATTGGTTTGAAGAGGGTTGCTTTGATAATGGATTGGAGGGCTTCGATTCGGACGGCGCCGTTTGGTTGGCCCAAGCTCTGCCAGAGGCTTGGTTAGTTTTCTGCTGCAGCATTGGAGATTGGATGTTCGTTGCAGAGGCACGAAGGCGAGGACGAGGTTGATACTTCATACCTTCAGATCCAAGTCTAGGAAGTTCTCGCCCATCACATCCACGGCCCATTTCTGTACATCTGCCATAACCAGAATGCCTCTATTTGGTCCAGTCTCCTTTTGCAAATCGATCAGAACATCCACCAACTTCCTCGACTGTTTCAGCAAAGACGTCGTCTCAAAAACCTTCTTCTGCAACCCGGCCTTCATAATACTGGTATAAAGCTTCCAATTCTCGCCATGGGCATTGATAATGTTATCACCGACAAGCGTCGCAATAACAGCATGCGGAATCTTAATCTGGCTCCCGGCTTTCGCATATATTTGTTCATTGCGGAACATGTCGGTCAACCAATCCGGTCGTGAAACGAGAACACTCCATCTTCCAGCGAACCAGACTAACACGGCGCCGTGTTTCTCTAGTGGAGCTCTGAACCATCGTTTGTAGATCTCGTCTTGGCCCATTGAGGACCAGAGGCCGAGGATCGAGACATAGATTGGTATTTTGGGGAGGGTTGGGAGGTTTCGTGGGACGTGGAGGTACCAGGTTAGGAAGAGGAGGGGTGGGAGGAGGAGGGTTAGGAGTGTGGAGAGAAGTATGGAGGGTAAGGCTAAGGCCATGTTGGGGATATGTTTGGTGGATTTGGTGAAAAACGTAATTGAAGAGATTAGAAAAGGGATCTGCTACTCTCTTGCTAGTACTATATAGCGAGTTGGGTGTCTACTTGGCGCTCCGTGCCCTAATGCACCTGGTGTCAGCGGAAGTCAACACACTTACGCTGATGTCACACTGTCCAGCGTGACTTTTTTTTTGGTTAAGTTTCTGCTGTTTTTCGTTGCTAGGTGGCTCTAGTTCTAAGGTAGGGTTTGGTATATTGGGTTTGAAATGTGGTGGTCGTTCGTTTGGTATTTCTGTCCGGAGAGATATATATATTGCGAAGTGCCGAACGTAAAATACGCTAAAATCTTATTGACACTTTTTATCATCAAGATAAAGGAGACCCAAGTTTCCCCTGGAAGAACTATAGAAAGTTGTAATTCCATTAAATAGTGGTGACATCCCCCCACAAATGAAAGTCGAAGGTTATAGGATGTCTCGGTTGGAGAAAACTGAGGGGTGTGGGCATGTGGCCTAGTGGTCTCTTTGACTGGGCGATTTCTTATTGGAAATCATGTCCTCATTCTGAATCGGAGTGCCATCTCGTCTCTGTCGGAGTGACGCTCGATCTCTGTAGATTCGCCTCTGGGCGACGGCAACATTTTATACCGACTCTTGCCCCCCATAGCTGCTGGTGGCATTTGATTATATCCTTGAATACAGGTTATGTAATGTTTAGAAAGAGTTCCAACCTAATTAAATTGTTATAGTAAATCAGTGTAGACTAGAGCTTACTTCTATATTGTGTCCGTTGGGGTTGAATGGCAAGCTCAATCTTTGGATCATAATTCAGGGGAGAAAGCTACCTCATTTCTTAATGGGGATCAAGTTCTTCAAAGACAGAGTTGAGATGTATACTAAAAACATAATGATATCAAGAGTTGGAAATAAATATGATATGAACACATCATTCTCAGCGCTGTGACTACAGCCACACATGCATCAAAGCTCTGTGCAAAGTTCTGTAAGATAGGGGCCGTCTAGATTCCTGCTAAAAGTGTAGCAGAGAGCGAGAATCCATAAAATACAGTGGCTATCATGGCAATAGCATTCAAATGGATGGCCATTGCGTGATTTCGCGCGAATGTGCGGTTAGCCCGATGCACCTTTGACCCATCGGAGTCAGCATCAGTATTCTCGCTTTCTGAGGGTAAATTAGACGTTAGCCTTATAATTAAATGAGGCATATTGAGGTAAACCCACCTTGCAGTGCCCTCCTGACCAATGTTGCAGTGGTCGTCCGAGGCCCATAGATGAACCAATTCAGACATCCTGTCAAGCCAGCGACAGCAAGAGGAGCTACGCTCCATGGGTCTTGAACCAGTGAAAAAATGCTGTACGGTGGGTGTGTTGCTGCAGTCAGCGCTGTGAGTCCGACCTGCGTTCCGAAGTAAATGGGGAATAGGCGCTTTTGGAGGACGATGAACTCCTTCATTGGTAAAGCTTGGTAGCATATTTTCGTATTTACAAAGCTCTGTATGTGGTTAGTCACGCGCTCGCTTGTCTCTTCGAGGGACAAAACACGTACCTGATAGAGCTCTGTTCCGAGGAGAGCGCCATAGGAGAGAAGGTGATATGGGAGGAGGTTGCCCACTATCTTGAGAAAAGACTCCATTCTGTCAATCTACTCTGATGCTAGAATAAGACTTGTTGTGACTGGGAGAGGGAAAGATGGCAGAGTTGGAGAGAGTGGTGGTACTAACTTGGGGTGGCCCGGCTGCCTACGGAATCCTTGGCTGCTTACTGGCTGAGATGTCGACCAACAAAGTCAAGGCTGATGGACGTTAGTTTTCATTGTCTTTGCTTAGATGGTCGCCTAAAACACGCAAGTTGATTGGTTTTAGTCGTATTATGCGGAAATTGGCTTATTTCCTATATATTCTGATATAATTCGAATTCTATATGCTGAATTGCTTCATATTACACTTATATATGGGCTGCACGCATCTATTTCTATTTCTAGACCTTCAGAACGCAGCTAAAGGACTCAAAAAACTAGCGGGATAAAACATCTCTGCATCACGCCGTTACACAAAGAGATTTGCGTTCCAGAATCCAATCCAGCGACAAACCAACCCGGATCTTCCGCCAGTCCCTACGGCTGGATCTCACATGCATATACCCCGGGAGAATGGACGAGCAGTCACAGTGGCACCACATAGCAGTACCCTAGGTTCATGAAAGAAATTCACTAATATTCTGATCTGTTGGACCGACAATGGGAAATCAGCCCATCTATGACGACACGGCATGAATGACTCCTTTGCGAGGTATCGGTGCCATCCTCGGACTATTGAACGAATTTGAGAATAATTGAGAAGATATCGTGAATTTGAGAAGGTAATGTGACCTCTCTAAAGCCTAGAGTAAAAAATGGTATAAGATAACTAACGGTTTGCGTTAAACCCGGAGTATATTCAGCGTGAGCTCATTGTTCTTGCAGGATCGAGGGGACATGGCCCGACGTGTCTTATTTTTAGACTTCAGATTGGACGTTGTACTAGGTGTGCTAGCCTCGCAACTGGTAGCCTGGCACCGTAGCCCTGGCCTCCTTGTCCTTCTATGAACTGTTAATGAGTGTGGCCTGGAGACCGATAGAACCCAATAGGAGATCGTCTATCTGATTTATTCTCAGCTTGAACACAAGATCATGGCAATTGCCCTTGCCACGTGGGTCCGTGTAATCAAGTAGGATAAAGGCTGAACTCGGAGATGTCCGAGTCTACAAGATGGTACTTTGACGCCAACATGTGATTTGAAGTATAAGTAGGCGGGGATAATTACCCAAAGTACCAGGGGCAAGTAGGTTACCACTGAGGGAAAGGTAGCACGGTCTTGCCACGTCAAGGGGTCTAAAACAAGGTTGTTGGGCTCCGACACGCGAGTCTTTGAGGCCATCGAGGTGGATCAGAGCTGAGAGTTTCATGGGGTTTGTCGCATCCCAGACTGTTGGAACAAAGGAATGAGAGGATTCAGGGCAGCGCTATGTCCATGCACATGTCCAGGCCGGGGATAGCCTCTGATTACACCACCTCGTGCGACCATCCTGAAACCTTTTCCCAGAATGCCCAAGTCTGCACAAGAGCTTTGTCCCTAAAGAGTAGGCAAGCTGAGAAAGGCAGGTAGTTTTGACATGGCTAGACCAAGCAGCATCACGCAGCTGAAAAGGCGGAGGTTGAACCAGTGGCTTTCAGACCGAATCACTGATCACCGAAGATCCGTTGTACAGACTGCGTCACACAGTGAGATCAGGCGTGATTTTTCCTCGTGGGCGCACGGCCTGTATAAAGCACAGAAAGGCTGACGGCGATGGGTCTTTTGCTTCTGAGTTCCCCACTAAGCACTTCTTGCCAGACTTGAAACCTCCGCAGAAGAAATTTATGAGATATGCAACATCCTCGAGTACGATAATATCTGTCAAGGCTATATCACAACAAACTATGCAAGATGAAGATGGAAGATCAGTCTACGAGTCCCAAGGACGAGGATATCCTCAGCCAAACGCAAGATCCGTTGGAGAGAAGGAGATTGCAGAACCGCCTTTCTCAACGAAACCACCGTAAGATATTGGCCCGAACAGCGAAGACAGGTTTTAAACTGACACAATCCAGGTCGCAAGATCAGAGAGCGCATTGCAAAGCTTCAAGAGCGCGTCATTGCCAACGAACTCAGAGCTGCAGCTGCTCTCAACGGATGGGATCAGGCATATAACCCTTCACTGTTCCCAAGGTCGCACTCACCTTCCTCGGAGAATGAGCTCGTGCTCACCTCGAGAGATGTCTCCCCTTTAATCCCAGACCAATGTACTTCATTCATGCCGTCATATCCCCCGTTCTCACAATCATGGCCAAACGACTTCAACACATTCCCACACCACGTGTATCCTGGAGACCTATCCCAATTTACTGGAGCCAGTGAAGCAAGTCCAATATCTCCTATAACAAGCACTCCAGCACAACCAAACCATAGCATGTCACCACCCGGTTCTGGTCTCGGTGGGGATACATACCGGGAAATGATACGCAGCACGGAAACGTTGGTACCAGACTTCTTGTCTACATCAGCGCCCAATCAGCCGCTGTACTACGTTGCGACTGGTCAGTACTCCAACTACATGGTATAGAAGTTATCGTCTGAACCAAGAAACTGACAAAAAGCAGAAGAAGCATTACCACAAATCATCCAGGTCATCAACACCATGTCTCCCCAATACAAAGTGATTGTTCTGGTTCCCCCGGAGTCTCCAGCATCGGCGGCCATGGCTTCATTCCCTTCGCCAAGCTCTCCCTACAGTGCTGGTAATAATGGGTCAGATCATGGTCCTACAGGACAGCAGCCTAACGCGCAAAATCTGGCCTGTCTATGTTATCCTCGTGATATCCACTCTGGACTTCCTGCACACTCTGCTTCAAGACCATGGATGGGCGGTGAATCATATGTTCAAACGTGTCCTTTGCACCAGACGGCGAATTCAGCTTCCCCAAGGGGAGCTTTTCCTGTTAGAATGATGTGAGTCTGTTGTGGCCGTGTACAAAGATAGAGGTGGTAGAGTTGGGACAGACAGTGGATATACACAAAGAGCGGACATGAACCAGTTGTGCGTATATTATAATTTCTACTATGTAGAGAACAGTGTTTCTACTTTCTACCGACACTGAGTATTGATAGAATGGATCTCAGGGAAAAGCGGGCTGGAAGAGAGAAAGTATTAGGTTGACTTGATCATATAAATGAGGATACTGTGATGTATACTTATGATCCTAACTGGATTGAATTGAGAGACGTCTTCTAAGGAATATAATAAGGTAAAATAGGAGATTATTGAACACAATCTTTATGTTTCACGAGTCCACGCAAGACCAAAAGGGCAAAAGGGAATAATCAAGGTTTAGTGGAAGTACGACTGACCAAGCACGGAAGATATTCAAAGATACCAGACTCGAAATCTATTGGATATTGCATTGAAGACTTGCGTAATTGCTTCAAGGTACTCGGCAATTTCACACCAAACATAAGCCAAATATGCTCGAAAGAAAAACGAGCGACCAAGCGCAGACAGAAAGAATGACAGAAAACGAAGCTCACAAGTTCAAAAGCCAAGACATATGAGCATCTCAGTCACAGTGAATGCGCCATAGCTCCCGATCACAGTCACTGATATATCCAGTACGAGTATGCAGCATGGCAGTGTTATCACTAACCAGCAGATCACCTTTCTCCCAACCAAAGCGAAGACAAACTCTATAGTCGTATGTGATGCGATCCACAACCTTGACCAGATCATTATCGTCATTCTCGATTGAAACATCACAGGTCGAGAATTTGGTCTTGCTCGAGTCCCAAGGCTGGTGCCAACGTAGACAAGGCAGCCCAGAGATAGGATGTTTCACGATCAAGGGCAGGTTCTTGAGTTTCGCATCCCAGAACCCATCGTTATCCATAGCCCAGGTAACCTTTTCAAGACGCTCGGCAGACCACGGGGGCGGCAGGTACCGGAAAAACAGTCGGGAGCTCGCAAACAAGGTGTACCCATTGCCCTTCGGCGCAGTAGCAGGACAAGTGAAGAATTGATAGCCTGGTGGATGTTGGACTTTCTTCTTCTCGCCCGTTCCTGAGTCGGTGATCTCATCGAACTTGAACATCCCGTCAAAATGCATCGGCATAGCCTCGTTCGAGGTCACGTTGTTGCCCATCTTGTCCGAGCGGCCGTTGTCCCGGACCTTTTGGATTATGCCGAAGCTCCACGGGAGAATTGTGCCAAGCTCTTCTCCTTTCTTGACATAGAGATCTTCCTCTAGAGTCTCGGAAAATCCGCGTATGACAATTGGCGACATGCCGTTCGATAACTGGCGGACCTTTTTCATGGGGATGGAGCGGATTGACGGCGGCGGATTGACATTGTCGATATCGGCGGGGCGGATGATGAGTCCGCAGGGATAGAGATGCTCGAACTTGACGGATAAGCCGTCCTCGGCCCAGTCGAAGAGACTTGATCTTTCACGGAAATAATATGGTTGTCCGTTCTTATAGATGAGGTCATGCGTGTCGCGTACGTCTTCAGCGTGGACCGTGCGGTATGAACCGTCCAGTCCGACAGCCACAGAAGAGTGCCAAGGTGTGAACCCTAGTGTGCCTCGAATCTGTGGAGCAAGCGAGATGGACAGCTTTTTCTCGCCCGCGGACTCGTGGATGGACAGTCGTACGTAGTCTTTGCGGTTGGCTTTAATGGCCGCCGCGAACATCTTGCCCCGAATGATCATCTGCCGTGCCGTCTCGGCAATCTGAGCTTGCCGAGCGCGTTTTGACATGGACTTGTCCTTCTCCTCCAGATGGGCTAGATCCTTGGTCAAAAACTTGATGTAGCCGCGGTATGTCAGGCATGTATCATTGTCGGTTTTGATAGCCTCCGTGGCGTCGAAGCTCGGGTCTGCAAAGGTGTACATCAGTTCGCGGCGGAGACAACTAGCGTGAGCCAGATAGAATGCCTTTGCAGACTCTGGAGTTGAGGATGGGAACCATGGATGCTCGAGAAGTTCGAAAAGACGAATGAATTTGACATGATGAAGCTCTTTCTCGATGGCTATTTTTCGCAGGGTCTCTCCATAGTCCCAAACGGTTTCATCAGGGACACCCAGAATATCTAATACATGTCAGTATTGAATAGTTATGAATATCGATCTTGGATTTATTTACCGTTGTATACGAGTCCATCCGAACTGATGTAGACATCGGCACCAGGGGCGTATACTTCACCAATGTTCTGGCAAAGTCCATTCAAATGGGCCAACGCCAATTCTTCGCCAAAGTCGGGCATAGTGCCAAGCACCTTACTGCGCGCATTGGGTGACTTGAAAGGAAATGCGGGCAAGATCATGCGGATTGGCTCTTGTCTGACAATCTGCTCCAGGACAATTGGAACAAACGACTCAAAGCCCTTCCACGAAATACCCGCCTTCTCAAAGTCAACACCATAACTTTCGATTATCTTCAATACCTCCATAGCCATCAATTCATTTTCAGATAGATCATTCGAGTCTTCAGAGGTGATGGGTCTGTTGATCCCATTTTGTTCGTGTTGGTTGGTGCCATTACCGTTTGAGGTAATGACCACCGGATCAGCGCTGTCATATCCAGGTGGCATAATCTCCACGGTCTCCATGTTGACTTTCTGATTGGACATTCCATTATCGAAGGGAGGGGTTCCATTCTCAGTGAACTTAGAGTGGTATGTAGTGGGAACAATTTCCGCACCCGGTGCCAAGGCGACCATTGTGACTCGAAGTGGAATGTATGTTGCCAAGGGAGATACTCTGAGCCAGGCACTATTATACCCAGAAAAGGTATGAGAGAAAAGCCTGATTGGAAAGTAACTGTATTGGTCTCACTTGAGTCCTGAGGAAACAGACAAGATGTGTTGTTTTATCCAGAACCAGATGGTGCTATATAACCAGCATCAGCCAGAACACTGACCTCGGGACAGGAAATCTGGGAAGTTCAAACCTCCGTTCCGATGACTGTAACTCCTGATGCGGACTAAGAAGTCAAGTCTTAGGTTCAACCTAGGGCATCCCAGGCTCGAATGGCCATCACCCTGTACAACTTGGGAGTATGTCTTCCTACTCTACTTGACCCCGTGAATAAGGTCATGGTGGTAGAAACTCCCTAAAGTGCCTTAGCCAACTTAGTAAAAGGCTTGAGTTTGAATTCTGAGTAGGTTGAATGCTGAGTCTGAGAAGCTTAAACCCAGAAAGCTTCACTTATCCTTTCAGTAGTGTCAGCAAAGCTCGCGTAGAACCGAAGGATGAGGTGGCTAGAGGGATATTCCTAGAGTAAATGTAAAAAAGCCTCCATTATCCATTTTTTCTGATGACTAGGGATGCATCCAAGTTTCAGATCCATTGGACAAGCGAAATGATTGTGCCTATATGTGTCAATGAGGCTACAAGGCTAGTCTCGGGGCCCCCAGCAACCCGCTGCCAATGCTAGGAAGCGATGACAAGCCTATCTGGGTAATCCTATGCAGATTCGAGACACATGTAACCTATTGTGACATAGTTAGACCGCTAGAACCTGAGCGGCAACGTCCATCTGATCCACAGGGTAGTGGCAACGGAAAGGATTCCAACACGGTAATTTGGTCGTTGATTAACCGTGAGAGGATGTAAGATCATGAGCCCAACAGTAAGATAGACTTCCCCGAGGTGAAGCTATTGAGGGATGTTGATTTGCAGGAATTATACCGCCCCGTGACATTTACATTGGGTTTACACGATCAGAAAACAGTACAGCCAGGGAAGGATATATTGTCTAATTGGACAGAGCCAAGCACACGTGTTGTGATACCTAATCTGCTGTGCTCCCACTCCACGCTGGTGCTTGATCAGCATTATAAAATCCGTTACCGCTGAGCCTGTAGCTCACTCTTTGATCTCACGCCAATCATACTCCATAACCCGAGTGATAAATGCCGCCATGTCAGGTGTTGCCAATTGACTAACAAGGTAGCATGTGGCGTCTAAACCTGAGCTTACCCCTCCCGCCGTGAGGAGTCGAACACCGCCTCCCTTCAACAGACCCCCATCAAGGTATCTCTTGTGCAGTACAGTCGTAGTAGGCTCACCCGGAGCATTAGAACGAGCACATATATCTCGAAGTCTGTCAAGGGCATGGTGGTGGGTAGTCACAGTCATTCCACCGAGTACACCCGCGGCCCCAAGGAGAAAAGCGCCGGTGCAAACCGACAGCAAAATCCGGGTACTTGATAATGCATCTGCAGGTAGCGCTGTAAATTTGCGAATCAAGTCCAGCTCTAGTGCGTTGTTTTCAATTAATGGCTGCAAAACTGACGGGGGACCACCTGGGATTACCAGGATATGAAATTCTGAAATCTGATCGACCGCATCTGGTAAAAGCAGGTCTGGGTGAACTGTAAGCGAATTCGCAGCACGAATGGCGGGGCTGCAAGCGACAGTTTTGATTTCGAACATTCTGTCGGGGCTCTCTGGGTTTCGGTTGTGCGAGACATGGGATAGAACTTCGATTGGTCCTGCGAAGTCGAGGATGTCTGCACCGGGAAACAGGAGGACCCCGACTTTGTAGTACTTGTTGGAGGATTCAGAAGACATAATTGAGACGAGAAATTGCGATCTGGTCTTGCAAGACGTACCGAGGTAGATGTCTTTTGGCGGAGGAGTGGGAAGGATAAATAAAAGCAGTAGTGAGATTGCTGGAGCTGATTCTGGGTTTCGCTTGAAAGAGATTAGAAAAGGCTGAGGTGCATTTTACCTCGGGGCGTTTCTGACTCTGCTGACTCCGGCGAAAATAACTGCCCGACTTTGTGCTACCCTGGTCTCCGCATTCGCCGATTCGACGGTTGGAGATTCTCGCAGGGTGTCCAATAATATCGGCTGTTCATAGTGCGCTTGGGAATTAAGCTGTCTCGGATGTTAGTGCAGGGAACCCGGGGATGAAATGTCTCACATTCCAAGGTTGACTGATCCCATGGGTTACCCAGGGAGATAAGATTGGGTAAATTGATACATATGTAGGAATTAAACAAACACCATCTGGATAGAATCATGAATTAGAAGAGGATGGGAAGAGAGAGATATCTATGTGGGGAAGGTGGAGTGCCCAAGGCCGTAAACAGTCCATTTGGATAAACACCATTTCGCACCTTCTTAGCGACAGTACTCTCTTAATGTCATGGATTCTCAGTTTTAAGTGGTCGTTAATAGATCGTAGTCTTGTGGTCATATCTTCAACCAGTCTTGGTATATACCTAGATCCTGGAACACCAGCATCCCCCTGCGGGACGCAACGACTTGAGAGATACTTCATCGTCATTCTTGATATTTTTCCTGGATATCACTTACTATGGAGAGTGGCCCTCGAGGAACCTGGAGCTGATGTCTTTGGCTTTTGCAAATCAGCTGGCCAGATACACCTATATACCTGAGTCATATCAGTCACTGCAGAAAGAAGCTGAGACAGGAATAGTGTGCTGCAACGGCCATGACGTAGCAAACAACAATCTTGGAGCCATGGAAGCGTGTCGGATTCATCTATAGTCTCCTTTATAGTTAGAAACCAAAGTCCCAATCTCGTCAACTTAGGGCTAATATTAGTCATGATATAATTCCCCGGGGCCGCGGGCCAGAGCGTCAGTTCTCCGGGCATGTGGGCTCTGACAGCTCCCCGCCATTCAGACAGTGGGGAATCATGGAGTTAAATGCGAATCCGGAGTAGAAGGGAAAAGAGGACACTTCTTATAAGCTAAATCTTGAGTGTCGCGGTAGTAATTGTGACCAGTTTTCGCCGACGGACGTCCCGTTCAGGAGAGCGACGGCTAAACAATATCTTAACCGTAATGCATGAGTCAACTAGAGAACGAAGCAATTTACTCCAAGCATTACAGAAAGATGACGTCTTTGCGTAAGTATCGGGCTACAGTAAGCATATTAGATCTGAAGTATCGCGATCCAAGATTCTGTAAAAGAAAATATACACATACTAAATGTTCAACGGCGCATATCGCACTGGAGAACCCATTCGTAAAAACAGCCTCCCTTCCAATAAAGCTAAGGAAATAAATTTGCAAAAATAACCACAATCATAAGATGGACCCAAAAGAGACTCCGGCGCCGCGCTGAAGAAAAACAATTGGAAACTAAACGCTTTTCGAGGGCCAGATCGCCTCCATCCACTAGCCCCACAGAGGTGGATGGATATACTCCGCTGCGCGATCCAGTATATTGGGCATTGTCCATTCACCACTACCAGAGCTTTCTGGCGTAGGAGGCGGAAGAGAACCAACGCTGGGGGTCATGTTTGCTTGCCCAGGAACAAATGTCCCCATGGAAGCGGAGGCCGGGTTGAGGTTAGAATTATTACTGGAGTACACGGGCGTACCATTGCGTCCCATTGGAGGACGCGTAGATGGGTTCCCAACTGCAGCGAGGAGTTTTTGCAAAGCACGGTGTGTTTTTGCTAGCGACTTGGCCCATTGCGTTTGTGTATCAGGGGGTATCCCAACCGGAGAAGTTGGGTCCAACGCAGGAGCGATGGGGCCTGGGACGTTCGTGGTGCCCGTGATTGGGTCGTAAGTGCCGAGGGGTTGGGGCGGCGAGGTCATGCTGGCCACAGTGGGGGCCTCGTTGGAATCATAGGCACGTTCCGTGCTTGCTCTTTGAGCGATAATGCCCTCGAGTGAATGGAGAAGATTCCACACATTCGGGTCCGCTTTCGCCTCATCGATGACAGCAAGGAGGAATGCGGAGCTGATCGCCCGCTGCAGTAAGATCCAGGAACGAGCTGCGTGGGAGCTGACGTTGTGCATTTCAATGTAAGCTTCAACAGTCGTCATCAGATTCATCACGCAATTTTCGCGCATGCTGGCTGCGTTAGCGTCATTCAAATCAGTCATGGGTTTGAGCGCTGGCCGGCAGAGCTCAGAGGCGAAATAAGAAGAATGCAATTTCAACACAACTCGCTCCAGATGTTGCGTAGGTGTGGAACAGTTGATTGGGTCTCGTAGGTATGGCTTTGCCTCTACCATGATCTTCTGGATGCGGTCCTTATAGGTTTGTATACTGTCCAAACTTATCTGCGCGTGTGGGCTCAGCATGCGAATGCGGACAACCTCTAGTGCAAGAGAAATGACACGCGAGAGTGTTTCAAAATAAGATAGGTCACCAGGTTTGGCGCCATCCCTATAGGCGATATCTGGCTGGCTCACTGCAGTGGTGGAAGGCCGATCGTAAGAAAGCGAAAAATGGCTGTCTTGCCACGCCATGGACCACCTATTCATGTCAGGGCCACGTACTAATGGGGTATGAAGGAAAAAGTATCTTACCAAACATGTCGTCGGCGGTATCGCTCAGCTGACGGAAATTGGCTTGACTCCACATGGAGACCGAGCGCCAAGCCCATGCGAAGAGTCATGCCAAGCAAAACATAAGAAATTCCAGGATTCATATTGTATGACAAAACGTTTCCAATCACCAGGAGAGTTTGAATTGCCTCAATGGTGGGCTGGGAGAGGAAATTTGTCATGCGGAGGCACTGGTAGGAGCAGCACACTATTTGAAGTGTTAGTCAAGTCAAAGACTCGAATAGTATCCTTGGTGTGGATCACATACCATAAACTTGCGAGGTCAATTCCCTTTCTTTGCTCCCATAATCGGATGACTGGCATCCAGAGGCAAGGATGGCGAACAGTAGTCCAAGGTACGCAATGCTTACTCCGAAAGGCTTTTGTGCATGGTCTGCATCGGCCATGTACTCGCCACCGATAGAGGTTCTTGTCGCCAGTAGAAGCTCGAGAGTGTTCTCAAACTCAAAGATGTCCTCTAAAACAGGATAGATGGCTCCCGAAATGTCCTTATAGTAGTAGAATAACCTATAGCGAGAAAGCAAAGTTAGCGCAAACAATCTCAATGAAAAGTTCGATTCAAAAAGTCTACTCACTCTCTGCATTGTTGATCAGGGGGAAGGGCGCTGCAGACGGCAGTGATATCGAATGTTGACATATCGGACGACCATAGATCAACAAATGGATAGGTCGCAGACTCATTGTCCAAACCGAGCTTGGGCAGTATTCCTCCTTCCAAAAGTGCTTGAAGCTGATCAGACCCGGACTGATTGTTGAGAATATAAGCCAGAACAGAGCGCGATCCCAAATGGACAGTGCCTTTGCCTAAAGTATTTGCAGCATGGATGCCCTCGCGTTCCGGCGAGGCACACTTGGACCGGGAACTCGCATCAGCACTCTGCACGCTTCCGGTGTCCATGGAGGTTGGGAGGCCGTCTTCCGCCCTCTCCAACCCAACGCGAAGGGAGGAAATAGTAGACTCCATTTCCTGCAATCTATTGCGCACATTATCCCATTCTTCGCGGGCGATTGAAACACGGCCACTACTTGTAGCAGGCGCGCTCGGCCGGCTCAAGATTGGCTCATGTTTCACTTCCGCCGGTGTTTCATCGTACGCATATGTTGTTGAATATTCAGGAACGGGTGCCATTGACGCACTAGGGACAGAGCTCTCATGGAAGGCTTGCGATCGTTTCTTGGAAGGGCGTTCGTAGGAGCAAAGATCTGCATGATCGCGCTTAACGCACCCGTCACACGGCAGATTGCGATCGCATTTAACCTTGCGCGCATGGCATGGATAGCAGGCTTTGGGCTCGCGAGCCTTGCGCTTCGTGCGGATGATCGCGTCTACCTGAGCCTGCGGCAAATCGGAGACAGCTCTGTTGGGCGCTGCGGCCATGTCGGAGGCAACGGAGGGCGAGAATGAAGTTGATGTTGGGTAAGGCGACGTCATTCTGGCTTAAAAAAATGTCTTCGGTATAATATACCCTTGCTCGTCTTGTGAAGTTGTCGTGCGTCGGCCTATACAGTAGTGTTTCATTCGGGTCATTGGCAGCATAGAGGTGGAGGATCGGAAGCGGTTTAGGAGTTGGAGGGTGATTTCAACACAATGGCGACAGGTACAGTTCCATAAATTTATTAGCTAGACCAGAGCAGCATGTTAGGCAATGAAAGCTCGATTTGAAATTGCACGCGATTTGTTCGAGGGAGCTGGGATTAAGCGCCGGGACAATGCTACAGCGGCACGTGATGTGGGGCGTCCCAATGCGGAATAAAGCCCTACGTCAGTATTGTATACTATGTATAATTTGTAAAGGCATCAGATATTTCACAGTAGAAAGAAATTGATTGTTCATCACTTGTAGGAATTTGCTAAGAAGAAGGATTGCTTTTAATGGGTATGTAGTCTTTGTTTGAGCCACTTGCTTGATGCATTAGGAACACTTACATATATCTACTTATGTAGTTACATAGTACCTCAATATAGAGACATTGCTTGCTCTTTGACAGTCAGTATAATTCCCCCTCTCCTTCTTCCACACAACTATACACGCTGTACAATTCAAGGGCTGTCACTTATCGTCAACACTTAAGATCGTGGATGGCCTGAGCATCCATAGGTCTCCGGGATTTCCTTGGTGTTAATCGAGACCATAAAATAGAACAGCATCAATCATCAGTGAGCCTGGGGCAAGCAATATTTATCTCGAACTACGCCTATATATCAATTCGTTCTAAGCGAGCAATGGGGGATAACAAACAGGTTTCTGGCTGAGTTCGAGGAGAGAATTTGGTGCATACAATGATAAACATCCAAGTTTTCTCCATGGTTTGCTATTATTTATGTAATCCTCTCTTCCAATTCCCTTTCTTTCACTCTTCACTCTTCCTGCTCTTTTCTCACACAACTCTCCTCCTTCTTCCACTCTTTTTCAATCAAGTCCTCTCGGGTTCGTCGTTGATATCCAGTTCTTCTCTTTATTGGCGCTCACCACTCTCGCCTTCTTTGGACTTCAGTTAAAGCTCAAATTGCGACACAATTCGCCAATATGCTCATATTGAGGTCTTGGAGCCATGCTAGCCAAATCTTCTGCAGCATCCATTGTCGCTAACTTGTGTTGCCGGGTCACAATTGTGACCCAATCTGCCAAACCTGCAAGATCCATTGTGCACCTCGAACAGGATGTCTAGACTTATGCGAGGCAGCACAACTCCCTGTTGTGGTTGTTGCGATGGAAAGCCGGCTCCTCCTAACATTGACAAGCCATCAACCCCCCTTCACCGGTTGTGTACAGCCTCGATGGGCCACCAATCCTCATGGTAGGATCCCAGCGCCACATATATCATGCTCACACTCACTAATACTGTCCTTGGGCTCTAATATTGTTTTCCCGGAATTGAAGCCCATCATGTGTACCCTCTCCAAGTTTATAATATCCGACCAAACCTTACCCATCGATTTCGCCAGCAGGACAGTGTTCAAAGCCGTCGGGGGCCAAGACATCTTCTTTGACTTGGTGCATAATACGATATGATACGATACGATACGATTCTCATTAAAATGCCGACAAGGATATAGCCATGGAAGAGTCAACTATGTAGCCATTTTCAGCGGGGATTTCCAGGTTCCTATCAACAGAACTTATCGCTTAATGAGAACACCGTAGGTGATCTTGAGTATTTCGATCATACTAGACCCTTATGCTCCGATGCATTATTGGTCTGTTAAGGTGTTCTTGAATGCTTGGCTAATCGTGCCAAGCACCCAACGCAGCCTTTACTGTGTTGACGATCTTTCAAATAAAACTGCAGATGCCTTAGTTTGACGTTATTACAGACTCGAGCTATGGCTCTATTTCATCAAATCGCACAGGAAGCCGGAATTGATCTTGGGGGATATCCGAGGAGATTATGATGTCGCCATTCTTTTTCTCGTAGCTGGTTGAAAATTAAAACAAAAATGGAAATGGAAACAAAGGAGTATTTCAAGAGTATCAGAGAGCGTCGATATAACAATTATCATTTGTCTTATGGTGCCGCCCGGGGCATCTTTCCATGTAAGACGGGTGGAGGGTCTACATTAGCCCCAGGACGTCCGCGTGGCATCATCGAGGCCCGGCCGCCTGGATCTAGATCGATTCTTGCGGGAACCAGAGCTGGAAGGCTTCGAGCATGACCTGTGTCAGGTAAAGCGGCCATGATTTCAGGGTAGGTATTCGCAATCCACAACATGTCATTGTCGCGCGGAGCTGACGCTGTGTATAGCAGTTGCCGTAGCCACGGGCCATCCAATCTGTGATCTCCTTCGCCACACCAACCTCGAAGTACCTGACATTGGACTCTGGCCCATCTCGTCATCCGCCTTCTATCAGTATCTAGTATCGTAACTTCAAGTTCAACCACGGGGGTAGTTATTCTGCGACCATCGGCCATAGTCGTTGAATTTAGCCCCATGACTGTGGGTTCGACGGTCGATCTTCCCATGATATTTTGAAGATCGCCCTCATATACTGACATCATGCATGCCCCGGTATCGTGTAAGAACTCAAGCTCTGCGTACCACCTCGTACCAGGGATGCGAATGGCAATCTCATACTAAGAGCAAATCAGAATTGATCAAACGGGGATCTTCGGAGGGCATACAGCGCGAACAAAGAATCCATCGGGAGGGGGTACTCCATTTAAACCAATGGCCACTAGTGAGTGTGTAGGCCCGGGTCCAACTAGCTATTCGTGAACCCTTTGTATCATTATGACTGTCTATAAAACGGACTTCAAGGGCAACTCACTCCTTCCATCCAAAATCCGGTTTTACCAGAATGGTGCGTATTGAGGACCTCAAATTCATCCCAACTGAACGGCCTTGGCTGACACAATTGTACACCTTCAAACCAATAAGTGACCAATCCTATGTTCCAATGAAGCATTCCCCCGCGGTAGGCCTGCAGCAATGCCCGCACATTAGGGAGCTGATTGAAGTTGTCCGAGCTTTGTAGCTCAACTTCCATGTTCCTCAAAATTTCCAAGCGCCTAAGGACATCCAAACTATGGTTCCCAGGTTCTGATTCGGTCAATGCACTGTGGGATATTCGATCAGCAACTTCTCTGTTAACAGCACTAAATTCTCTTACATTCGCTTGGCCTGAGAGATTTTCAATCCCTTTAGCCGGTGTACAAATATGTGAGGCATGATATTCTCTTTGATTCTCACGTGGCACCTTTCAATTTGTGCGTCAACATCACTGTGCCATATTCGTTAGTATGTGGTCAAATGAGTGGTAGACCACCCTAGATCCACGGCATTCTCAACTTACTTTTGGTCAAGATCCGGTTCAGCCATGCTCCAGCCTGGAGGCAATTTCTCAGGATCTATCATGGGACTGGATTGTCGTGGCCATGGCTTCCTTTTCGCCCCTGCGGGTGCGGCGGGCGATTTGAATCGACCAACGTACGATGTAGTAAGATCCGGAAGCAATGTGTCAATTGCAAAATTTTCGTCTCTTGGAACGTCGCTGATCAGATCATTTGCAGATGGCACATACTCGGCTTCTACTTCGCTGGCCTGTCCTTGTGCGGCTCGGCGTTGCTTTGCCTTTGCTGTCTCGTCCGATGTCTTTCGGCGTTTCCTTCCTCGCGGTGGTGACTCCTGTGACATGAATTCCGTCGGTGATTTAGATTGTGATTTTGCCTTCCTGGGCGGCATGATTCTGGTGGGCGTTTCTTCAACTACACGGCCCTTTCTCTTTGATGTAGTCACTGTCGTAGTAGTAGTCCCCATATTGAATAAGGAGAGCTTAATGTAGCCAGATCGTGGGAAATGCTTAGCGATAATATAAGATAATGATTTGATGTTTGAGAAATAGCGAAAATTGAGAGAAGGGTGTGTTTTTCTTATAGCTCAAATGCAACATGATGAATATGTAGGAACAAAGACAGACTTTGACAAGTCTTCGAATCAGGGGTCGAGGGGCTATACAAAGAGAAATATATGCGCATAGTAGCATTAATACAGTGGGTACTGTCATTCCCGGGTTTGCCTTCGACGGAACTTGATCAGTTGGGGCATATCAAAGAAAATATTCGGAGCTCGAACTAGCCGGAAAATATGGCTTTCGCAGCATGAAAGAAATGAAGATGATCCTTGCTTGAGCAGACTTATGTCTCTGATTCTTCGCTTTGAATCCCAGGGAACCTCTTTGTGAGAAATTTTCTGACAAGAAAACGGGGCTTGTTTGAACGATCCGATCCTTTGATGCTATTTTTGTTCGCTTAGCATAGAGTTTAATGATCGAAGCCTTTATATTCAAAAAAAAAAAATCATTTCTTGCTTTTACAGGTGTAAATTGTGATCATTTTGCCAAGAAAAACAAAACTCGTAAACTGTAAGAAGTCTGCGTATGATATTGGGAATATAGTAGATGGCCGTAAAGTAAGCTTGAAATTTGAGGGCAGCAGCCATTTTCTGATCTTCCCTTGAACCCTAGGATAATAAAACCCATCGGGAACATCATGATGATCGAGACTTGAAACTAGTTAGGGATCATATGGCAGGACCTGCTGCGGCCTTCCTGTGGTTATCCAGGCCATCATCTCCCCGGGTGTTCCACCAGGTCAATGGGTGAGTAGTGGGGGATCAATGTTAATGAATAGTTTTTCATAATGACGAGTGAGAGGAAAATGTATGATTGAATCGAACTCGACAGTTCATATCCTCGCAATAAATTCCAGAATGCAACATCTATATCTTGTGGCCAAAGGCCAAAATTAGTGGAGACCTGAGGCCCTAGGCGGGACGGAATATTCCCAGCCCCGGCTGACCAATTGAGAGTGACGTACCGCCCGGGCAGCTGCCAGTGTTTAGGTCTGTCATCCAACTCAGCTCCATTGACACTCGCATTGTTTTCCTTCCCTGTACCTAAGACAAACACACTGTTTTTGCGAACAGATCCGCCTTGAATTCTTTAATTCTTCACTCGGTCTCCTCTCCCAACTTCGATCACCAAAACCCGCCAACCAAGCTCAACCATGGAGGGTAACCCCGCGGAGCACGATGAGGCTGTGTCTCAATTCTGTGCTATGACTGGAACTCAGGCTTCAGAGGTAAGCTTCTTGCACGAACTATAAGTAATACGGTTGCTTATTTTGAGTGCATAATTGTCTAGGCTCAGGAATATCTTGGTGCCAATGGTTGGGACATCGAAGCTGCCGTCACAGAGTTCTTTGCGGAGCAAGATGAAGCCTTGCAGGATACCAGTGCTGGTGACGAGCGACAACTAGGCACAGAGCCTAGCTCTGGAGCTTCCGGGGGCGGTAGAACTCTCGGGGGAGGTGCCGTACCAGCTTCATCCTCTGCCGCAGCTGAGTCCTCATCATCCGCCCGAAGCGCTGTGCCCAAGAAGAAGTTTGCGACACTTGGAGACTTTGCTTCCGGAGGAGGTGGCGGCGGTGGTGATTCATCCGATGGCGATGACAGCGACGACCATGATTTCTTTGCAGGTGGTGAAAAGTCCGGACTAGCTGTGCAGAACCCGGATGATTTGAAAAAGAAGATTCTGGAAAAGGCCCGCAGGTACGTTCTTTAGAGATTGCTAGGAATACTGAACCCGACTAACATTGAAACGTTAACAGGGCCCAGCCTCCTCCTTCCGACGCCCCCGAGCCAAGGGAATCACATTTCACCGGCACTGCCCGCACACTCGGTGGTGACGATGCACCAAGTCAGGTGATTGAAAACCCCTCGGCGCCTACTCAACAGCGTGCCCAGCGTGTTCAAAGGACTCTTCATTTCTGGACTGATGGATTTTCCGTTGATGATGGTGAACTGTTTCGATCGGACGACCCCCGCAATGCAGAGATCCTGGACGGTATCCGCCAAGGCCGCGCTCCTCTCTCCATTATGAATGTTCAACCTGGGCAGGAGGTCGATGTGGAACTCAAGCAACATGAGGAGAAGTACACCAAGCCCAAGCCCAAGTACAAGCCTTTCTCGGGTTCTGGGCAGCGCCTCGGTAGCCCGACGCCCGGTGTGCGGAGCCCGGCCTCCACACCTTCGTCCTCCACAACTGGATCATCTGCCCAGGAGCCAGCGAAACCCAACGTGGACGAGTCGCAACCTACAGTTACCCTACAAATCCGCCTAGGTGACGGCACGCGGTTAACGTCTCGGTTCAACACCACCGCCACCATTGGCGATGTCTATGCGTTCGTTGCTGCTTCTACCCCGGATGGTGCAAACCGCGCATGGGTCTTGATGACGACTTTCCCCAGCACGGAGCTCAAGGACTGGGATGCCGTTCTCGGCGAAATGCCCGATTTCAAACGTGGAGGCGTCGTTGTCCAAAAGTGGCAGTAAAATGCACTACTAATATTCTCTCTCATCTTGAGACTTTCCTTTTCAGAGTGGTTCCAAAAGCGAATACCAGCAGGGCAGTGGGTTTGTATGGTTGAACGTTACATGACATATCTGATACCGAAGGAGGACCTTCATATTTACTACGTAGAGCAATGGCATTCGCCCAACAAGCTCCAAATTCAAAATAAGTGGCCAATCAGACCTTTCATATTCCAAGGTTGTCATACCGGCGTTGTAGACCGAAGGTTAGTCAGAAGGCGATTGATAAGCGCCCGAATATCGGCCTCCCCACTCTTCCAAGGTTGAAATCCGTCATTACGCTTTTAGTTGTTGCAACCTTTCTTTTCTCCAAATTAAGCATACACTATACAAGTATGCCTCTAACTGGAGTGAAGAATGTTGTGCTGGTACGTGCGCTTCAATCCCTTGCGAGTCCGCGGCGCGAAAAAAGAAAGCCATGCCCCTCATAGCTTATCGATAACGAGGCACTGCTGGAAGCCATGAGCTAGAACATTTAAGCACGATTTCTTGCACAAGACTAACAAGATATTCTTGAATATTAGGTCCTTTCCGGCAAAGGAGGTGTGGGCAAATCCTCCGTCACACTGCAACTCGCCCTCGCGCTGTCGCTCCAAGGCAAATCTGTCGGAATCCTCGACATCGACCTGACAGGTCCCTCAATGCCACGCCTAGTCGGACTGGAAGATGCAAAGATAACACAAGCGCCAGGCGGATGGATGCCAGTACCAGTCCACGGTGCTGGATCCGCAGCTGAAGCCGACGCCTCAGCGCCCTCGACACAACCCCAACGCGGTTCTCTCCGCTGCATGTCACTTGGCTTCCTCCTCCGCGATCGCGGCGACGCAGTCATCTGGCGTGGACCAAAGAAAACGGCCATGATCCGCCAATTCCTCTCAGATGTCTTCTGGGGCCCGACAGATTACCTGCTCATCGATACGCCTCCCGGAACGAGCGACGAGCACATTGCGCTGGCTGAGCAGCTGCTCACGCTCTCAACCACAGACGCAGCAGCGGCTGCGCAAGCAGGCTTGCCTCGACTTGCTGGTGCGGTCCTTGTTACGACGCCGCAGGCTGTGGCGACCTCGGACGTGCGTAAAGAAGCGAACTTCTGCGTTAAGACTAATATTCCTGTGCTTGGGGTTATCGAGAATATGTCCGGGTATGCCTGCCCCTGCTGTGGGGAGGTTAGCAATTTGTTCTCCAGTGGAGGAGGACAGGTGATGGCCCAGGAATTAAGCCTTCCATTTATGGGCAGCGTGCCTATTGATGTGAAATTCGGAGAACTGGTTGAAGGAAAGATGGAGGCTGGGGATAGTGATGAGGAAGATGACGATGAGGAGACTCCAAAGAGTCAACCGCAAGATACTCCCGCTGCGCCTGATGATCGGCCGCTTGTTGAACGATACCGGGATACCTGGTCTTATCCTCGATTTGAGGGATTTGCGCAGACCCTTATAAGCGGCATTGAGGGCCCGACTACCGTATAACAGTGTTCATGGTGAAAAAGTGTGTTTGATTGCTTGTTTTCTAGCGACATCCATCTTTCCTGCTCTTATTTGCATTGCGACATAGAAGGTGTTGGCAATTTTTGAATGTCAAACCATACAATCGATGAATCAGTCTACACCTTGAGCCCGAGCGCGTAGTACTTTTTCCATCGGGGACTAATATTTTTCTTGCAAGAGATGCGGTTCCCCCTGATCCCAAGTCCCAAGTCGCCAAGCTCGTTAAACCTGTTCACTTCCTATAGAGAAGCGAGACCGCCATCAAAGCCGGCTTATCTACGTGCGCCTCTCCCAAAAGTAGGCATTCGGCAACTGAGCCAAGGTGAAAGTGACTTTTAATTAGCGAAAGATAAAATGTAAAGAAGCGTACAACCACACGTCTCCGTGGTATTTTAGCATGTGAACCTTCCTGTCTCCTGTTTGACTATTCTAGATCTTAATTGACAGAGCCAATGCCGGTAGCGAAAAGTCTTCTGAAAAACCAGACTGCCGCACAGCTGCCCAGAAATTTGCAATGAGTAGTGACATGATGCCAAGGGCCGGCTGTGCGTCCGCCGAGAAACCCAGACCTCCCAAGTTTCTCGGCGCCCACGTTGAACCCACAACAAGCTATGTTAAACGTGCAATCGTAGCCCAGCACCCAGGAACGTGCAGATGTACCCAATATGACTGGCGAGATGATGCATAGAGAGTATATCATCACCACAAGACGTGCTTTGTCCGCTCTTGGCGTCCGCTCCCAAGGCTTGGCGCCAACTCCCGCTCTTCTTCGGTCATCGGACAAAGTCGCCTTGAGCTCAACCAATGAGTGTTGAATTTCAAGTGCACGCTGTCAATGATATCTGTATTACGGGCTAAGCGTGAAATCAGCATGGAGCTCCATATGGATCGGGCCAAGTTCAGGAAATGGTTTTATCATATGCCGCACTTGGCAATGGCCGTGGCGAGTTTGCAGCTCGTATAAGGGCACCATAAAACCTGGACATTTGTAGAGTGCCAGAATCAATTCATTTTCTCGTCCTCCAGATTTCATTTGTTGCGTGGTCAAACACAACCCTTCGTCGCCATGATACCACTGGCGACCGCGAAGTATGACTGGATCCTAGCAATCACCTCCATCGCCTTTGTTTTCAGTGCCTTCGGAAACGGTGCTAACGATGTCGCCAACTCGTATGCCACCTCTGTCGCGGCCCGGACACTCAACATGGCCACGGCCGGTGTCCTGGCTATGTTCACCGAGTTCATCGGCGCAGTAGCCATGGGCAGCCGAGTCACCGATACAATCAAGAACGGCATCATCGACATCGGCCGCTTCGAGGGTAAGCCCGGTGGGCTCATGTTGGCCATGGGCTGTGCCGAGATTGGCAGCGCTACGTGGTTGATGTTGGCCACTGGAATGGGCTGGCCTGTCTCGACGACGCAGACGATCGTCGGTGCCCTCGTTGGTGTTGGTTTTGCGAGCCAGGCTGATATCAACTGGGCTTGGACAAAAGGCAGTGTCTCCCAGGTTGCTGCATCTTGGGGTATTGCCCCTCTCGTGGCAGGTGGATTCTCAGCGATAATCTTCGGTACTCTCAAGTACAGTGTCCTTGAACGTCAAGATCCCTTCAAGTGTGGCATGCGTATGATTCCAATCTACCTTGCCTTCACTGGAGCCATCCTCGCCCTCTTCATCACAATCGAAGCCCCTACAGCACCCTCATTAGAAGAGTTTGGTGCTGGCAAGGCAGCCGGTATCATCGTTGGTGTGTTCGTCGGCTGTCTCATCATTGCCTATGTCTTCTTCATGCCATATTTCACCCGCCGTCTCATCCAAAAAGATACCCGCATCAGGTTCTATCACCTCCCTCTAGGCCCCTTGCTGCTGAGGGAAAACCCACCCCTATACTTCCCAGGAAAGGGCCACGAGGTCGTGATAAACTACTATGAAGATGCTTACGGCGAAGTGCGAGCCGGCCAAGAAGATGCAGCCAAGGAAAACGTCACATCAAATGCAGACTCTGTCATGCCCACACCGGAGATTGCAGCAATGTCCAAACCGGCACAAGTAGGGGATGACGAGGAGAAGATCGCGCCGGAAACCAAGCCACGGAAGAAGCATCTCGAACCCACTGAACGTTTCATCGACCCCGTCCGGGAGCTATCCTGGACAAATCCCCGGAAGGCCTACGGTTACCTCAAATACGTTTTCCTTCAGGGCGTGACGCGTGATGTGGTTTCACACGATTCGCCCGAGCTGCGCGCAATCCACGCACGTGCCCACCGGTATGACGACCGTGTCGAACATCTTTGGACATACTGCCAGGTTGTGTCGGCTATGATGATGTCGATTGCACACGGCTCGAATGATGTGGCCAACGCTGTTGGGCCCTGGGCTGCCGTGTACAGTACTTACAACGCTGGCGTTGTCGAGACGAAGGCACCCACCCCCATCTGGTTCTTGGTTATTGCTGGTCTCCTGCTCGGCATTGGATTCTGGTTCTTCGGATACCATATTGTTCGTGCGCTGGGAAACAAGATCACGCAAATGTCGCCGACGCGTGGCTTCAGTGTTGAGCTTGGAGCAGCTATCGCAGTGCTTTTGGCCTCAAGACTTGGCCTGCCCGTTTCCACGACGCAGTGCTTGACTGGTGCCTCTATGGGAGTCGCTCTCATGAACTATGATCTTGGCGCCGTCAACTGGAAGCAACTTGGCTTTATCTTTGGTGGCTGGGTCTTGACTTTGCCTTGTGCGGGATTGGTTTCGGGACTTTTGTGTCTGATGGCGCTGAATGCTCCTCATCTGTAAACATAGACATATTGGCTTCTATTCTTGGGATAGTCTTGTTCATCATTCCTGGCATTCTTAGATTTTTTGGCCATGAACAGGACATGCTGAAATAAAGATCTATCTCAATCTAAGTTATTATTAAAGCGGAGAGACTGTATCCAAAACTAAAAATAAATCCAAGTAAAATGCGAGAAAGAAAAGACCATTTTATCGCCGGACATGTTCAAGTTTGTGCATAGGCGTTGTGAAATCTTAAATCGTCACGATCCAGTCGAACGACGGGTATCCTTCTAAACACACGACAGAGTATGATCCTCTATTTGGTGCGCTTGTAAATCTTGCCAAGGAAAGCCTCGAAGACCTCCTTCTTCAGACCCTTAGACTCATCGACGGCCGCAATCTTCTCGCGCAGCTCGCCAACAACCTTCTCCTCGTAATCCTTGTACACCTTCTCCAGTTGAAGCTCGTTGAAAAGGGCCTTGACCTTGGCCTCTTCAGCAGCGTCCTTGCGGCCGTAGGAAGCATCCAGGAGCTGGCGCTGCTCGGGAGTGCAGCGCTGGATGGCCTGGTTAACGAGCCAAGAGCACTTGTTGTCCTGAATATCGGTACCAATCTTGCCAATGAAGGATGGGTCACCGAAGTTGTCGAGGTAGTCGTCCTGGATCTGGAAGTATTGGCCCAGAGGAATGAGGATGTCGTGGACCTGCTTGAGGTTTTCCTCGGTGGCCAGCTGCAGGTACATAAGGGCCAGAGCGACAGGCAGGTAGAAGCTGTAGTAAGCTGTCTTGTAGGTGACGATGAACATGTACTTCTCCATGGAGAAGTTGTCGAGGTTGACGTTGTCCTCGGGGGCGGTGATCAGGTCACAAAGCTGACCCAGCTCGGTCTGCCAGGTGGTCTCGTGGAAGAGCTCGACGATATCAATGTAGGCGGGGTGCGAGCGGAAGCGCTGCTTAAGGATGAGGTAGATACTGGCCTCCAGCATGAAGGCGTCGTTGATGGCGATATGGCCGACACCCTCGTGGCGGTACCAGCAGGGCTGGCCACGGCGGGTGATGGAGGAGTCCATCATGTCGTCGCTGACCAGGAAGAAAGCCTGGAGCAACTCAGTCATCCAACCTAGGATGCTGAGGTGCTCGAATTGCTCCTCGGTCAGGGGCTGCTTCAGGAGAGCAAGGCCGGTATCAGGGACTGAGAGGCCACGGTTGAGCTTACCGCCGGGAACATTGACATTAAGAGACTATGGAGCAAAATCGATGGTGTCAGTCATGATCTTTCCTCAAGAATTATGGATCAAGAGGGGTCGCTTACGTTCTCGAACCACTCGAGCGCATTGTCAGGGAGGTTGTAGCGCTTTGCGTGGGCAAGAATATCCTGGGCCAACGAAGGGAAGATAGCCTCGAAGTCGGCGCGCTTGGTAGTAGAAGCCATAATGACCAAGTGTGTGGTAAAAACGTCAATGATCGGACAGGAAGGACGGACACGTTCCCAACAATAAAAGGACCATCTCCCCGCGGAGGGACCGTTTGTTGGGTTTGTCATGTTTGTTTTGTTTGTTCTCCTGTTGCTGTTTCTCCAGGCGCAACCCCAGGACGACGTGGATTCTTCAAGGCCATTGAACGATCTTCCCTTGTTTTAGAATCTGCAAGCAGTTATAGCTTGCTAGGGTATCTCTGTACTCTTCTTCACGTTCTTTCCAGTTACGCGGGTTGCTGTCTCATCCGTATCAACAACTCGACAAGGGCCAAGGCAATTTATTTACACCACCGGGCCTTTGCAAAGTTGGGATTGAACCGTTGTGTGGCGAACCTCTTTCAACTAAAATAAGCATGATATCGAATTGTCGCAAAACGTCTTGATACACTGAAAGCTCCGTCGGCGCCACAAAGCTGTGTTTGAAGGTTCCCCGGAACACCTCCGCCTACCTTGCGACAAAGACATTCGTCATGGAAGGACCTACAGATGATGGAATCCGGGAGCTCATGTACCAGCTGGAAAATGCTGCAATCAAATGCTCTGAGCGATGCCTTTATCAATCATCAAAATGGTACGACTAATAAGCTTCATTCAAACAGGTCTGACGTGCTAATGATGTTGATGAACTCAGGGCCGCTGAAATGCTTGATTCCCTCCGGCCTTTAGATCACGAAGACACTGATCTCGAGTCTCCGATGGAGATTTCAGATCCTCCTCCCCCAGCAACAAATCCTTACCTCAAAGTGCGCGACCCTGTAGAAGCTGCCCTTGAAACGCAAGAGTCCTACAAATACCTGCTGGCCAAATCTTACTTCGATACCCGTGAATATGACCGATGTGCGGCCGTATTCCTCCCTCCGACAACACCCCCCGTTCCTTTGTCGATCACCTCGCCCAACTCCAAGCCGAGGCCATCGCGGACTTCACACAAGGGCAAGGACAAAGCTTCGCCGTTTCAAAGCTCAAAGACCCAGAAAACCCAAATACAGCAAAATCCATATCCCAAACTCAGTCAGAAATCACTCTTCCTTGCCCTGTACGCAAAATATTTAGCCGGAGAGAAGCGCAAGGAGGAGGAAACAGAGATGGTGCTAGGTCCAGCAGATGGTGGGATGGCGGTCAATCGGGAGTTGTCGGGTCTTGCTAGAGGTTTGGATGGATGGCTATCTGAACGAACCGCACAGGGGCTGGATGATCGTGGTCAGGGGTGGTTGGAGTATCTCTATGCTGTGGTCTTGTTAAAAGGACGAAATGAGGAGCTGGCGAAGAAATGGCTGATCCGCTGTGTGCATCAAAACCCATACCATTGGGGTGCTTGGCAGGAACTGAACGATCTCTTGGGCAGCACAGAAGACGTGAGTTATTCTTATCGAAATCTCCTTACGTCGGTACTAATTTTGTTAGTTGAAACAAATTCTCGAGCTTCTGCCACAAAACGTCATGAGCTTAATATTCTACGTCTACTGCAGCCAGGAGCTGTACCAGGCCACAGAAGACACATACAGGTCACTCTCCGAGCTACAGTCAATGTTCCCAGAAAGTGCATTCCTTAAAACACAACATGCGTTATTGTTATATCACTCGAAAGGTAAACTGCCCCAGCTCCACCGCAAGACGTGGTTGATGCGTGATCTAATATCATTCAGACTTCGAAGAAGCATCTCATATTTTCGAAGGCATTCTCGCCACATCACCCCACCGCTTAGACAGTCTAGATCACTATTCGAACATTCTTTACGTGATGGACCAACGACCTCAACTTGCGTTCGTCGCTCAAGTCGCAACCGCCACCGACAAATTCCGCCCAGAAACCTGCTGTGTCGTGGGTAACTACTACTCATTGAAATCAGAGCATGAGAAGGCAGTAATGTACTTCCGACGTGCACTCACCCTCGACCGGAACTTCTTATCTGCATGGACCCTTATGGGCCATGAATACATCGAGATGAAGAATACTCACACCGCCATCGAGTCGTACCGTCGAGCTGTTGATGTCAATCGCAAAGACTACCGCGCCTGGTACGGTCTCGGACAGGCCTACGAAGTCTTAGATATGTCTTTCTACGCCCTGTTTTACTACCAGCGCGCCGCAGCACTACGTCCATACGATCCAAAGATGTGGCAGGCCGTCGGATCCTGCTACGCAAAGATGGGCCGAGTGGAACAGAGTATTCAAGCTCTGAAGCGTGCATTGGTGGCTGGATCATTACAGCCAGATGATGGCGGGCAACCGGGCACCGGCGCAAACTCTGGCTCTGGGAGTCGCAAGATCCTTGACCCAGAAACACTGCACCAAATCGCGACACTGTACGAACGTCTCGGCGACGAAGAGGAGGCCGCTGCATATATGGAACTCACTCTGCAGCAGGAATCTGGCGCCCCTGCCAATGAAAGCCCAGATGATGACGACTCCTCTACCTCGGAGAATGGCGCTCAAAGTGATCCCGAGATTGAGCATTCAGGAGATGAAGACCCCGATCTGCTGCAACGACGTCGCCGTCATCGCAAGCCTCGCGTAAAAGCTGAATCATTTGCTATGCAGAACGATGACTCCATTGTCAGTGAGACGTGGAACGGTACCGGTGTTACAGCAACTACATCTAAGGCACGGTTGTGGTTGGCACAATATGCGTCACGGAACGGTGATCTTGACCGTGCGGACCAGCTAGCAAGCGAGTTGTGCCAGGATGGAATTGAAGTGGAGGAGGCCAAGGCGTTGATGAGGGACGTACGGGCAAGAAGAGAGGATGCAACCTAATTACATCGATTAAATGAGATATGTATGGATTATCATGATAGCGAAACATCCATGGATTTTACTGGTCTTTACGAATAATAGCTTCGGTTGTAATGCTCATTTTCACTTCGAGGAAACAAGACCAGCATTAGGGGTGGCTGTGCCTGTATGAATAGTGTTCACGTTTAGTATAACTGTCATTCGTAAGAGGAAAAGGGGTATCAATTATATACAACATGAGCTAGAGGTTCGATCGAGATATACTCGCCCAACACAGCAATGGCTGTTTCATCAAAGGTCATCTCAATCCATGAGATTCTTGGTCCACAGCGCGGAGGCTCTGTTGTCTCCTTTGTCAGGCCATAACAACGGTGATCCGATTCAGAGCCGGTTTTCTCTCTTCCGATGGATATCCCATCAGATCTCTTGCTGAGACTCCACGAAAGACAGCCATAGAAATTATCACGTCCAATATCTGTCCAAGTATCACGCAGGCAGAAACGAAGGTCATCGGGGCGTAGATCACGTTCCAACATGCTCGAACCCAAAAAGAATATGCTTCCCATGGAGGGGAGTGTACTTGTTCCAGTATGGACGAAACTGGAAAGCGTTGTTGCGAGACGGTGCATTTCTTTTCCTAGCTGAGTTGCTTTGGGGTCAAACAGGACAATGCCAAATCCTGTCCCCTGTGATGCGGCACAAGGGTTTGATTGTTGGAGGGAAGAAGCAGATTCATCAGAGCAGAGACACCGAACAAATTCATCCAAATCGCAAGATTCACGATCATTGCCGGGCTTTTCATCGATTTGAGGAAGTGCAAAGCTTCCCAGTGAGGTTTCAGGTGTCCATATCGGGATAGTTGTTAAAGGAGATTGGGGTGACATCTTGCGTTGCTGCGTGGATAATGTAGGCACCAATAGCTTGTCCGAAAGCCCTTCCTGCGCTTCATGTAATTCCTGAGGGTGTTTTTCGTGTGCGGAGATGGAACTGGCTGCCCACTTGGGACGTAAAAAGCCTGAAGATTCCTGGGATGCGATCTTTCCATCCTTCTGGCTGGAATGTTGACGAGACGACAGGTTCTCGTTGTCCACAAGTATGCTAGTCTCAAGAACAGGATTATTATCTTCTGTGGGAAGTATTGTCTCATCGATGTAGACTAGAGGGGACAGTGGATGGTCATTGCATGATCGACCATGGCTGTCTTTTCCTATTGAATCTTCATAAAGCCCTTCCATCAATGGACACGCGTCCATAAAGCTTTCTCCAGAAGTAGTGGTGGCCTGAGGAACCTGGGATGGCGTGGAATTCGTCTCCTCGTCCGTGTCTGAACAAGTCGCTTCTGGGCTTGGAGATCGCACAATATATTGATCAAGTCCACTCCCAACCTTCAGTCGTTTTGACCATTTCTCGCGTTCTTCCAGTTCATCCGCAGGCACAGCCCGGGCCTGTTCTGCCGCAATCAGCAGTTCATGGAAAGAGGTACACTCTTCCAGCGTTCGGTCTGAGTGTATCTTCAAAATCCGAGGAAATCGAAGTGTGAAGTATCTCGCGCCAGACGGTTTTTCGAATCCACTGCCCAGCATCTCGACGACGAAAGGGACCTTGAACAAGGTGGTTGCAATGGGAAGCGCTTTGTGCCCGTAATCGATGTGAAAGCCTTCGAAGGTTTCAGGTTGACATGCATAAAACTGGCCGATTTGATTGAGGGTTTGCATGGTCTGAATGCTCATGCAACGTCGGTTAATCACATCAATGATTCGGAAACGTGGCAATACGTTGCCCTCTTTGACATCCTCTGGGTTCAGAAGACAGCCAACAAAAAAGTGAGTCCATTTCAGCCCTTTTATTTGCCCCAGATCAGGAGCGTCCCGTGTGTTGTAGCTACCTCCGATCAACGCAAGGTCTAATGTGTCTCCAAGACCGGGTATATAATCTTTCTTGAGTTTGATCCATCGACCAAACATATGATCCACACCAGTGCAGTATATCGGAAAATAAGGCTCGTCAGAAGCCTTCAAGACAAATCCCTCCCAACGTTTAGTAATTGCTTTCTCGAAACTCTTTTCGAGCCGATGGTAGCTATCAACTCGGTTGAAGTCCAGAACTTCCTGATATGCGAGCTCCGCTCGGCCTGGGATGATCTTCACCACTTTCTGTAAGAGTAGTCGTCTTTCCCGATGAGGCTTGGCAAGGCATACGTCGTTATCAAGGAGAAGAATGTCAAAGAACATGATCATCAAGTGCTCGTACGGTTGTGGTCTGTATAAATCAGTAAAAGACCCATAATGTAAAAGGAATCGTCATTTACGGAGAATCATTATCGACGCCAATCATGGCGCCTGATCGTGGAAGAAACCTCCGAATTTTGTTGAAGTCCATCGGTTCACAACTCTGGTCATTCCACACAAGCAGTTCTCCCTCGACAATACAACGGTGCGCAAATTTACAATCAGGCAATCCAGTGCGGAGCGATTCTTCTATCACAGGTATGATCTTATCTTTATCTGCGGTTGAGTCCTTGCCACTTTTGGAGAAGATCTGAATGGGGCTATACTTGTTAGAGAGGTCGACGTGGATCTGACAATATTCACCATCGTATTTCCGTTCAATGCTCATTCGACGACCATTGGCCATTTGATGACAATGTTTGATACTCCGGGCTTTGTAGTAATCGGGTCGTCCCACCTTGATACCAGGACGAGGGCGCATATGTTGTAGAGCAATGGTGCTTAGACTTTTGGCTGCTTGGGGATCCGGGTTTGGAGGGAAGTGGTTTATTGGGTCGGAAGCGAGCATCTCCAACGCCCCTTCGAAAGAGTTCTGAAGCTGGAGGAGTTGCGGCAGAAGAAAGTGGAATTTCTTCAGAGTATACTGTTCTGGGAACACGATGGGAGAGTAGCTTTTGAGAATCATGCGAGTGAGCCATTTGGCGTCGCGGCTACTTGATCGGCGGTACAGTTTTGATAAAGTCTCTTCAACGTCCACAGCCGTACGAGTCCGACGGACCAGAGGGCCAGAGAAGCGGCAACGTGATGCAATCATAGCCATGGCGCTATCGATTTCCTCTACCGACAACTCCTGGCCGGCCGGAATGTAATTCTCGGCTTGCCGCATGACAACCTCAACACACCCCCCGAGATCAAACCCACCAGGACTTTGCCATCTATTGAGTTCGGAAAGTCGCGACGATCCCAAGCCCAAACAGCGCCCGATGGCTCTAGATAGCTGCAGGGCTTGCAGCCAGTATACTCGGTCCGTTCGTTTTTCGGGGAACATGCACGAAAGCAACGCCACACGGTCTGTCTCGGCATGATGAATTGTCCGTTCATGTCGAGAAAACCACTGGGCGACTGTTTTAATGTCCGGATTCTGGTTCCTGGCTCCCGTGGATGCCTTGGCCGTTTTGCTATCGTCCAGGTTGGACAGCAGATCACACAAATGAGTGAATTTGAAGCCCATGGCCCATGTCCACGCGAGTCACCCAGTAACTCAGCATAAAACAGTGGAATAATTTGAGGTGTAGTGAAGTCGGTCAACACGCGAGGCTCCCGGGGTCGAGACTTCCCCGTCCGAACGCGAAAAGAGGAAAGAACGATGACACGTGAGCACGTGACCACTTTAACCCCATTTGTAGAACTATTCGAAGTAAATTGGGGTGACAATGAAAAGGATTCACCTAAATTCATTTCGGGGGATTTTTAGACTAAAGTATCCAAACACAAAATCTTCCCACAGACACGGAAGTAGGAAATAGAAGGCCAGCATATTTGATATCAACTAACGAACGATTATAAAACCCGTGACTTGATCCATTGTGCAGTAGTCAAACCATATGCGATCAGGCATTTACACCCAAAGAAGACATCTTCCGCTTGAATATCCAGCACTCGATAGACTTTGGGCACTGGGATTGATTGTATTTCTTCTCCCTCCCCAGCCTTGGCAATGAGGTCAAGGATATTGGCTTCGCATGGTCGTGAATTTATCCCTCCTTTAAGGATCAATGTTTGTGATAAGCGCACAATCCGCGTCCATTCGTAATGATGAATAATCGGTGCTGTGTTGAAGAGTTCGGTCAAGGTTTCTGAAACGAGGGAGATATCAATGCCATCGAGGGGGAATCTTTCGGGGTCTGGGCCTTTGACACTAGCAGGCTAAGAGAAACATTTCATTAGCCGGACCAAAGCGGGCGTGTAGTTTTGAATATAGCTAGCGGCATAAACTCTAACGCGTTCACTAATTATTGACTCTCCTGGTTTTCCCTTGGAGACTCCCGGGGAGGCCAGGAGAGAGACCTATATGAGCTCGGGAATGAATGTATTGAGACACGACCTCGGAAATGGGGTCACGTAATCATGCTCTATCACATATGGGCATGGGCATCCATCCTCAACCAAATCTCATACTTAAACGATCGTTTTTAAGAAGTTCTTCTGTGCATCTTCGGTATCTGTTTTGCAATTTTCCACAATTTCTTCCAGCTCGTCACATACCTCCGCTGCCTTGGCGCCATGAATCTTGACCTGTCCTACTTGAAAATTGTCAGGCGTAGCAGTGCCATGTGTCAAGTCCCAGAAACCAGTTTGCATGACGGGATCAATGAAGAAGTCTGGTGAGTCTGTTCGGAAGTGCTCTTTGTAGAACAGGATAGATGAAGTCATGACTGGATAGATGAAAGGTCAGCATTAATCCATAAACGAAACAATCAGTAAGGATGTAATGAATGTACCGTGACAGGAAGCCAATCTCTCCTGTGAATCTTTTCTTGAGATTTCCATCTTCATTCGTTTTGAGAAACGATCCACTTGAACGGCAACGAGAACATTGTTAAAGGAACATGTTTTAGCTAGAGAATCCTTGAGGAACTCGAGATTCTCAACCAGCCTGGATCATTGAAGATGATTAATATTCGCCGGAGAAAGTTGTAGCCATGGAGTCCAACCTACCATTCGGCTTTAGTCTCGAAATTGTCCACCCCTTTCGCTCCGATTGATTTCCATTCTCTAGTGGCATCTTGTAGGCGGTGATACAAATGAACAAGCTCTATCACGTAGTTAGTAAAGCAATATGCAGTGACATATGATTATCTCACCGTCTAGAGAGCCGAGAGTTGCTGATATGGTATGTATGGCTTTCCCATCCTGATTCGTGAAGACAAGGGCTTCAGACCCTACTATCTCGATATCGAGTTCAAGGACTGTAACTGTGAGATTGGATCATCTCACACTTGATCTTTGGAATTCGCTTACTGTTTTCCTTGAATACCACCGCCTTGTTGTTATTGGGTTTGGTTCCACACACAAGCATGAGAGATTCACCCTCTACAGGATAATCGAGATATAGATAGGGATAGATGTATGACTTTTCAGTCCCATTCGCGTACCCTATTTGCACGTTTTGAATCCTATCCCAGTTAGCAAAACTTATATACCACTGAGTGTTCAGGTATACCTTTTTTGATAGGGCGAATGATGATAGAACTGGTTGGAAAGGGCAAATGGAAGATCCATGCGTTGAAGATATCGGATACCATAGAGATGGTTTAAGAATTTCTCACGATCTAATTAATGTGAGCTGTGAGTTGTTCTTCCAGATCTTCCAGCTTGAACACTCCTCCTACCTTGGAGACTGTCAAAATTTACGAGCACCTGTTGAGACCCTGGGTTGGATTTCAATGCAAATTCTTCAAGGGCGAGATTGAACTGCTCATTATCATCACGTTTGTCAAGCTCGCTCAGGGGACACACGCCACCCTTAACGTTGCATTGAGCAATGATAAGACTGCATTTCCCTACTGGGACAAAAAAGCGCTCGACCGGTTGTATCATAAAAGCTGCATAATGTCAGCAGTAAACATAATAGGCGGGCAAAGACTTGCAACTCACATTCTTCCAGCTGCATGAAATACAAATCTCCAGGTGTGGGCCCTTTGAATAAAATATGTGCTCGAATAGGCGTAAGCATCTCGTTCGCTGGATGTCTCTCCCAGCTACAGAAGAGGCTGATCTTCTTCTGTCCGACAGATCTAAACAGGGATTAGACATGAATGGATAGAAACGTAGTAAGTGTCTCACATTTCACATATACAAACAAGCCCTGGGCTGTTGAGATCAGGGGCATCTTTGCCTTCGTCCTGGTTTATTCCGAAAATGCCGGGATCAGTCCAGTCAGTGGTATTTGGCCCCGGGATGACGTATGAAACATCGGCCGTGGAGCTCTCTGCATCTGACTGTGTATCTTCGAAATCGCTTGTTTGCGAGGTTGAAGGGTCTGCCTCGAAACCCGCTAGCTTCTTTCTCCATGACAAAGGTGTCCGAGTCGTGGGAGCAGCGGGGGATGTGAGTAGTAACTTCTTTTGAAGTTGAACCACCACATCTTCAATGTTGCTCGTTGTGGTACTTTTGAGTTTTATTAGTAAGTCCCATATTGAGAATTGTGATCACATACCTCGTCTGAACAGACAATAACAAATCTAGCGAAAGCTTGTAGCTCTCGACCTTTCTCAATGAGTCTTGGATGTCCTTCTCTTTGAGCGTCCACTTGACTTTCTTCTTGAGTGCCTCGAGTCTTGAGCTTGAAACCAGTCCTTTCAAGGACTTTTCCAGCTGTAGATACGTATCACCACAGTCATCCAAAGTAGTGTTGAGTGCATTAAGCCATTCTGAGTTCTTTGCGGCTTTGGCGGACTGGAATTGTACAATTTGTTGGATTTGCGATAGAATTCCCCTCACAGCGTGGACCTCTCTCGAGAGCGAGTCTAGCTCTTTATTGTTCTTCGAGTTTATGGTCTGGATGATACCGACGATCTGGGTTGATATGGTGATGAGACCAGCTAAAGAAGCGGCGATAGACAGGGGGTCCATTGCGGGTGTTCTTTGATAGAGCTAAGAGAGTAGTGTAATGCAGGGTATCCGGACGATTCATTTTATTATACTCGTGGCATGTAGATCCGCGACGGGACATAGTACTCGCTTAGACTTTGAGGCTGTCCTTGGCGACCTCGTATATGCACAAACACGGATGGAGTATTTTTAGCGTGTTCCTTTCGCGCGTGATTGTGCTAAGCCCACCAAACCCTGAGTAGCCCATCACATAGGATATTTTAATTTTGTACTCCGTATAAGTGTTCCGTAAAAATTCCGGCGGGCCTTCAAACAGTACAAATAGAGACAGCCCTGGAGATGACCACCTACATTAGCTAACCTTTAGGCCCGTAGCTAGTCCGGAAGGGTAAAGTTCAACCCTAAATCCGACGGACGACCGGCGGATTTTAATACGAGACCCTATGCAGATTAATTCTATATAGAATTATGGGCCACATAACTGTTACGTTGAATCTAGAAGTAGAAAGGCGCTGGAGACCAACCTATACATTGTAATTAATTTGATACTAAATTATGTTAGAGCTTGTCGATCCATCTTCCATCGGACCCATCACACCTCTCCCCTGCCAGCCTTGTGAGCTACAACAGAGTCAATCTCTTGAGCCCTGGGATCTGAACCTGGTAGTTCATTCGGTGAATCAGTATGGGCTAATTCAATCGATGGAGCAATATGACTAGCACTTCCTGTAGCGAGTGTCTCTGACGTCTCTGCCGTCGAAGATGAGGTTTTCTTTTGTCGATTTCTTTTCCGTCGACGCAAGCAAAAGTATAGGAAAATACCAATGACAACGAGCACCACACCTAACACAATACCAACACTGATTCCGGCCATAGTACCAGTTGATTGCTTGGATCTCATGCTACTACTGGGCCTAGCGCTTGTACTAGTACTCTCACCCGTAGCATACGCCGCTTTGATGTTCGCAAAGTCAAGACCCGCAATCGTTGGTAATGCGGCGCTGGGGTTGATAGGCCAGGATGAATTGATCGATGTGGGGCAGGAAGGAGTGGAAAAAGTAGATGGAAGTTGGGTATTCGCAGTCATAGCAGACCACTGGCTTTTCAAAGCATTGTAGTCGGCCAGCGTTGTTGGCGTACTAGCACCAGAAGTAGTGTATGAGACAAGCCCGTAGTTCCTCGACCTACTTGATGTTAATGTTTATCAAACGAGAATCAGGGACGCAACTTACTCTTGTCTCCACTCGTAGACGATTGCACCGCTCCAAATACTTGACAGATTAGACTCAAAAATCGCGGACTGGTCCCCAAAGAGCCGCGGATCAGGCTTGTTGCAACCATCTTCAGAGAAGAATATGGGAACCGCTAGGCCTTCAAGCTTCGACGTCAATTCGTCGTAGCCAGACGCGCTCACGGACGAATTGCCACACCACTGGTATCCATTGACTGAATAGAAGTCGATAGTCTCGTCACTGTTACCTCCGCACACAAGGTATTCTCCTAACGCTTGCATGTAGGTGTACTCTGCACTTGTAGCGTATCCAATCGGTATGGGACGATACTGCCTGGAAGCAGTATAAGCTTTCATATCTCGAGCTGCAGCTTTTAGATACGGGGCTAGGTCGACTGTAGAGCCTATTTTATGCATTCAGATTGTGTAATAACAGTGAGCGGTGGGTTTTTCATACCTTTATTCTCAATATATTGGCCGGTGACAATTTCATCTCCAATAAGAAGCCCCAGGAGATTGCTGTACCCAGCCATTGAGTCAAGAACAGCCGCGTAGTCTTTGAACACGTCCATTTGCCATGTGGAGTTGGCCTTGAGGTTGGAGATGTTAGTATCCATTCAGAACACATGGGAAACCGGAGATACGTACTATATTCGAACTGACATCCAATCCTGTCATATTCAAAAGGGTCCGATCCCATTGATTTGCCATGTTCGCAATAATGTATATTCCATTATCCTGGAAAATCTGCATGCATTTATCGTGGCTCTGAGTTGCATCTGTATAGTACACATTGATAGTGTTCGCCCCCAGTGCCTTTATTAAGGGTCCATCGATTGCGCACTGGCTGGCTCTTGAATCGGCCAACACGTCGATCGGAGTCGAACCAGAGCCCTTTTCGACATAAGCGACACCTGTCTCAGACATGTTGGCTTTGTATCAATAGCACAGTTCGAATGATCTTACCTTTAATCCGAAATCGATGGCCACTACTCAAGAAACCGTTCCCCGCAACCGAGACAACAGGCAGTGACATTGTCTCGAGGCGCAACGAAGACGCAACAGAATTAACAACTCGAGATGGTAAACACTGGAAAGATGAGCGGAAGAGAAGTGAAAAACGAGGGGATCATATCCATATCCCGGATGCTACATAGATATCTATGCTTTGCCTGACCAAGACTAGTGCTGACCTGTCCATGCCATTTTTTAAAAAATTACATCAACCCATGATAACGAACCCCTTTCTTCCGAATACAGTGACTGTTTACCACGGATGTCCGGGGTGAATCAATGATATTATACGAACGACCCAATTGCGGTTCAAAGAACATTTTGTAGGCGATACAAGCCCCACTTTCCAGATTCGGAGGAAGTTAGGATGGACAAACAGTGTGTCAGATAGGAACCCAGGCGTAAAATTATATCCATCCGGTGCGGTATAGTTGCAGTTAACTTCTGCCAAGGGCTCGATCTGGTTTACAGTTCCAAAATGCAAACGGTACAGTGAGCAAGTCTGTACTGTCCTTTCCGTGACATCTTGGCATTCACTGCCAAGGCCAAGCGTAGTACGGAGTAAAGTCATCGAGGTCGAAGTCATCTGTGGAGCATGTTAGCTCTTCGTGGTTAGGCCTGTCGGACAGGCCATTTAATATCGCAAGCTGCAGCCGTGGGTCAGGTATTTGATAGGCAAGCGAAGTTGTGATTCGGTTTTCTGGATCCTGCTCCATTCATTGGGATAAATAAACGTCGTCAATGGGGGTAGTAAAGGCTATCCTATCAGGAGCTCGAATGCGGTGCGATGGGAAAGCAATAATCTGTTGAGAGAATGGACCGATGGCAACAGCTAGGACTGTCAACGCCGCGCCTATAGTCACCAGGCCTGGTTTCAATCTCTAGACAGCTAACCTCCAACGCCCCCCACGGACCACGGCTGGCCTGATCCAGGACCTGCATATTGTAGACTAGGTAGGAATGAAGCTGCTTGTTTTGGGTTTGTTTCCATTTCAGTTGACCAAGACAGGCATGGCGGCTGGAGACTGCCGTACTATGAGCTCTAGTTGTAATCGGACAATTGGGTGTTTTATTCGTAACAGTAAGTTTGTGGTAGAATCGAAATAACAGGAGCCCATGAGCCGGTTCAAACCTCGAAGTGGGTTTGAAGACTATGTATTCGCCGAACACCTAGCCATTTGTATGAAATCAAGGACGCCAGGTGGGAAAAAAAAAGAGAAAACATAAAGCCCTCTCCTTTAGAGAATACCCTGCTTTTGCAAATCCAAGTAGATCCTTTCGGGCATAACGTTACCCTCTGCATCCTCCATTTGAACGACATTATCCCGTGAATCTCGGTCCTTCTTCCGATCCTTCTCAAGCTGCTCCCAAAGAGACATGGCCTCATTGATACTGGTGATCTCACGGAAGAGATTGGTGTTGGAGGTGATGCCGAGGCACTTCAATCCGTGGACGTGGAGGTTTTCAGAGAAATGTTTGTCAAATGCTCGTCGACCCATGTAGGTATAGTTTCCGCAAATCTCACACTGGTATTCGACACCGAGTCCATGGAGCTTATAGAGCCAGAATGGAATAGGTTTTCCATCCCATGCCAGTGGCAATTTCAATGGGTTGTAAACAATCTCCTCGTCCTCTTCCTCCGATTCTTCGCCGGCACGAGGCTCGGGGCCCGTGTGATCGAGCCCAGCCTGCACAGCTTCCCATTCCATTTGGCGTTCACGTTCGGTCATACCTTGTCGGCGCTCAACATTGATTCTTGTCGCTTGTCGCTCCTCGCGCAGGACATTCGTCAAGGATCGGATTTGGTGTTCGCGTCGTGCAACTTCGCGCTCCTTGAGGCTGTGGGCTGAAGACGTGACTTGAGATGATGATGGCTTCTCGTCGGATGTGCCTGCTGCTTTGCGGGCTTCTGCCGCTCGAATGTGTTTCTTGCCGGTCAAGTGGCTCCGGTACACGTTCTCGTTCTTGAATTCCTTCTCACAATCTGCGCACCAAATGCCCTCGCCGGTCCCTTCGGTCGCGGGGCCAGATGTACCATTCTCGGACTTTTCTTCTGTCCAGCCCGGGACCTCCTTCGCAGCCCATTGCTTTTCGAATTCCTGGTCAAAGCTGGCGAAAAGTTCGTTCAAGGGTTGCAGCGGTTGAACTCTCTTAATAAAACTTTCGAGATAGCTAGCAAGCTCACCAACATAGCTGAAGTAACGATCGGAGATCTTGTCTTTCCGCTTAATGGGCATGGCTGGGGATGTAAAGGAGTCGAAGATGTCGAGAAATTGGACGTATGACAAGCGCTTAACCCCGGGAAGGTTCAGGTAATCTTCGTGAATAGTTGTGAGATCCAGATACTGTCCAAAGCCTTCTTCGCCAGTGAACATATTATCGATTGCGGTGCGGGGAGCTTCTCCTTCGCCGGTCTGACGGCGTATGTATGCTTGCTCGAGGTTCTCGATTAGTTCGTTCGGGTAGCGCTTGTGGTGCTCTTTGATTTCCCCCAGCTGCTTGTAGAATTCCTCGAATTGGTCGCCTGTTGAAATGGACTGCACTTCCTTCTCCCGCAGTCCATCAGCATCCTGATAGATCTCCAATAGTCGCTGGGACTGGCTCTCAATTCTGTCTAGGAACTGGGAGACTTCATGGTCGCGTGCCAAGCGGCCTCGAGCCTGATTAATGATATATTAGAAAACGTGACTGACATTGTTCGGCGGTATACTCACATTTCGGGGCTCGTCCGCCACGCGATCAGCGATAGCCTGTTCTAACCGCTCTAGATCCTCGTGGATGAACCTTTGATCTTCGAGCAACATATTTTCAATATGACTGCTGCGTAAGAAACTGTTTTTATCGGCGCGCAAAGAGCGATGACAAAGTTTCGTGGCGATCGCAAAAGACGTTGGCAATTGGCAGCTCCAACTTGCGGGAAGGTCATGTGACCCGAACCTTTCCACCGCGAAAAGTTAGGCCGGTTGACCTCACTTACTTCTTAAGGTTTCATTCTTTGTGAATCCCGATATCATTTATTATCTGCCTTTGAAATACTGACATTTACATCATGGCGGAAGGAATCGACAGACGCGCCGAGGGTATGTGGTTCCAACCTTGCGCAATATTCAGTATGCTAACAGCAACTAGAGCGCATGGAGTTCAACACCTCCAAGGAGGTGACGGTTGCGCCGACCTTCGAGGACATGCACTTGAAGGAAAGCCTTCTTCGCGGAGTCTACGCTTACGGATACGAATCGCCTTCGGCTGTGCAATCCCGTGCGATTGTTCAAATCTGCAAAGGTCGCGACACTATTGCCCAGGCCCAGTCCGGTACTGGTAAAACCGCCACATTCGCGATCAGTACCTTGCAAATCATTGATACTGTTGTGCGCGAGACCCAAGGTATACATTTCCCCATCCAGTCCGATCAGATCCAATCCTAACCACGATCCGGTTTGTAACAGCTCTGGTCCTCTCCCCGACCCGTGAACTCGCAACCCAAATTCAATCCGTCGTTATGGCCCTTGGTGATTACATGAACGTTCAGTGCCACGCTTGCATTGGAGGAACCAACGTTGGCGAAGATATCCGCAAACTCGACTACGGCCAGCACGTTGTCTCGGGAACTCCTGGTCGTGTGGCCGATATGATCCGTCGCCGAAACCTGCGCACACGTCATATCAAGATGCTCGTTCTCGATGAGGCCGATGAGCTCCTTAACCGCGGTTTCCGTGAGCAGATTTACGACGTTTACCGCTACCTCCCCCCGCGACGCAGGTCGTCGTTGTCTCTGCTACTCTCCCCTACGATGTCCTGGACATGACCACAAAGTTCATGACCGACCCCGTCCGTGTCCTGGTCAAGCGTGATGAGTTGACACTGGAGGGTATCAAGCAATACTTCATTGCTGTTGAGAAGGAGGAGTGGAAGTTCGACACACTTTGCGATCTGTACGACACCTTGACTATCACCCAGGCCGTTATTTTCTGCAACACCCGCCGAAAGGTCGACTGGCTTGCCGACAAGATGCGTGAGGCCAACTTCACTGTCTCCAGTATGCACGGCGAGATGCCCCAGAAGGAGCGTGATAGTATTATGCAAGACTTCCGTCAGGGAAATTCTCGTGTCCTCATTTCTACTGATGTCTGGGCCCGTGGTATCGATGTCCAGCAAGTCTCTCTTGTTATCAATTACGATCTGCCTACCAATCGTGAGAACTACATTCACCGTATTGGTCGATCTGGACGATTCGGCCGCAAGGGTGTGGCCATCAACTTTGTCACCAGCGATGATGTCCGCATCCTTCGCGACATCGAGTTGTACTATTCGACCCAAATTGATGAGATGCCAATGAACGGTAAGCCAATCAGCTATAATATTTGTATTGCAATGCTAACGATGATATTCCAGTTGCGGACTTGCTTTCATAATCTCCTTTGCCTAGTATTGTGATTGCAACATCTTTTCTTACGCTAAAAGCGACTTGGCTTCATCCCTTCTGGGATCTTCTGCAAGTGGAGTGCGCTCGCATTGTCGAATATGACTCGGAATCCGGCACGATGGGTTTGAGGGAAATGCAAGGCCAGCTCTAGCGTGGAGGAAAGGGATAATAACATATTTCAGTAAGTCGAATTACTGCCACTCATTCAATTAATTCGACGCCAAAGCTAACAATTTGAGGTAGTTTTCAAGAATGCCAACCGATTTGCACACCCCAGGAGGTGTTTACGATTTTGCTTATTTCCAAAATTTCGGGCCTCCGGCCTAAGTAGCAGGGACTTTTTCTTTGTTTTCGGAGTTTCTTGTTTTACTTTACTTTTTTGACAATAGGAATTATGAATGATGGAATCAGTTTTACTTTCGTATAATGTGGCCCTGCTTCTTGGCCACAAGTCTTCCTCTAGTCTGACGACATGAATTTGACCCAGTAGTGAGGAAAGGCGACGACAGGGAGAGATACCTACACGAAAGTTGGGGGTGCAATATTTCAACTGGGCGTCAACAAGTCTGTTGCTCTATGGCTGCCCCAGTTAATTCCTACCGGATCGAAGCTCTACATAGGGACGAGGAAAATAAATAGTAGATTAGATTCAATCAAAGAGACTTACAACAAAACATGGTTCAATCAGAGATGACGACGAAAGCCCCCAAAGCAAAACCCAACTCAGAACTGGACCAAAAAAAGGGCACAACATATATACTCCTCAGAACCCAGAAGGAAGATACGGACCAACGCCAGCTTCCTGTATTGAAAGAAATAGATGCTAGCTGCAGAGAGTAAACAGCATAAGGAGTGAAAGGGGAACTCAGACGATGTATATGCGCAAGACAGCATGATGAGGATATGTCGTTCAGTTGATGAGAGAGAGAACACAGAAGAGAATTCAAGAAGAACAAGAAAACATTGCAAGACAGCAGGTTTATCGTCTTTCAATCCAAAGCTCCGGGGATGTTCCCTCAAGCAGATACGGTATCATAGGGAAACTAAATAAAGACAGGCAACGAGCGTGAACAAAACTGGTGTCGGGGTAGTCATGGTCGACGTGTAGTACATGGATATCAGAAAGCGGATGTTGTCCTCAATGCGCTAGTCCGCGTAAAGCCATTTGAGTGTATCCCATTACGTTGAACTGGTCCTGTTGGACGGGATCGATTGCTCTCTCTCGACCAGCTAGAAGTCTGAGTTAGCGGTGTTGCTCAATGTGAGACGAGGGTGAGAGTGATTCTTACATTCGTACTGCACTGTCGTCGCCTGCTGATGCGAACATTCCTGGGTCTGCTGGGTTCCATGATATTGAGTTCACGCATCCGGAGATATGTCCCTCCAGAGTCTCAACGATGTTGCCGTTTTCCTTGTGCCAGATGTAGACTTTCGAGTCTGGAAATAGTTGAGATAGTTAGTAACGATACCAGAAATGAGATATTGAGATTTCACCTTCACTTCCGCTGACGACAAAGTTCTCGGCTGCACCTCCGAACGTGCTGCGAATCACAAACTCGCCTTGCTTCTGTCCCTTGAACTGACGGACAACAGTAGTGGTTTCCATGTCAACTAGTTGGATCTCGCCCTCGGCCAGGTTTATAAGCACATGCCGCGAGTCTTTGCTGATAGCAACCGAGGTCGGTTTGCTCGGCAGTGGGAGACAGTAGTCTTCTTCGTATGTAAGCATGTTGTACACATGAACCTTCGCTTCTGTGTCGGCAGCAACCAGGCGTCGTCCGTCGGCGCTAATGGCACAGTCCTGTACACGGAACCCGCCTTTCCACGTGTATAAAGACTGACCGCGCATGCTCCAGTGGCGGAGCTGTGATTCAGCATCGAGAGAGGCTGTCACAAAGGATTCACCATCTGCTGCCCAGGCAGCTGCAGTCACCGGTTGACGGTGGTGGTTGATGGTGAGCAGACAACGACCGCTCTAAATCATGCACAGCCTGAGTTAGCATATGATTATGGATTTATATGAGATTGTAGAAATCATTACCTCAACGCTCCATACGCGCGCCTTCTTATCTTGCGAGCAAGTAATTAGTTTGGAGTCATCTGGGCTCCAACTGGCAAACGCAACTCCGTCCTCGTGTTCCGTAAGTCTGTGAATGACACTAAAGTCTGTTGTGTTATAGATGAGCACATTATGGTCCTTCCCAGCAGTAACCAGCTTGGAGCCATCGTGAGAAAACTCGCAATACCATACTTCATCTGAGTGTTGAGTCAAGTCCACAATGACGTCTAATGGGAAGTCGTTTCGGTCGCACATGTGGTCAGAGTAGAGTGATGGAGAGTCGGCGGTATTATGATAAAAGCAGTTGTTGATTTGAGTCTGTTTGACGTGATCTAGTAAGATGGCCAGGCGATGTTGCGGGATCATGACGGAGGGAGAAATGGACTCTGCAGCTGAATTAGCAACCCGGTTACACCACAGACATTAGGCATTAGATCAGGCTCACTTGACAACTCGCCAAGTAGTCGTTCACGAGACGAGCTAACGGAGCCATCCCATCCCGTTTGGGCATGTAAGACCTCTGTCGAGCACATAAGAAGACTAACCAAAATAACTGGTAAGCAAATCGTGTTCTAAAAATATCTATAGATGGGCAATACCTTGATAGGGCATGTAGACGCTCAATATCAAAATTCAAGGGCGTCAGTTCTTGGCGAAGGACGTTGAGAGCTGCAGCTAGATCACGCGCTTCTAGCAACTCGAGGAATTTCTGTTGTCGGAGGTAGAATAGCATCTCGTTCCTATCAGCCTCCTCTGATAATACCAGGGTCTCCTCTTGTGGGGATTTCCTGTCGATCTGTTGTGAACCGGCATTTCGAAACGATTGAATCAAGATTCTCTCGGCCTCTGACCATCTTCCGCCCAACACCGCACCCCGGAACGTTGCGACCCCTGACGTTTCCAGTTCATAGCCGCTCTCCGAGCTTAACTGTGATGCTGACCCATTATAACCCAGCTCATACAGACTCTGTATCAAAATCCGCGTCACCTCCTCCCGGTTGTGGCCGTAGTAAGTAGAAGACTGGGGTGGCCTCTTAGAGCCATTTGTTTGAGAGCTCCCGTTGGTTGCCGCTTGCCCATTCACACCAGTCTTCCTCGATTCCGATGCTTGTGGTTCGTTCGAGGTGTCTACGAAGCCATTTTCTGTTGATATTCCGTCGGGACGCATGATTACCAGGCGCCTGCGCTTGGGGGAAGGAGATCGGCCGTCCGGTCGGCCAAGACGATGGCTGGGGTGATTCGGAGATGCAGTCTCACGTGCTATTCGTGGAAGGTGTCCGGTCCCCGCCGATGAGGGACCAAGATTATCCGGGCTACTCGAAAGGCGGCGGCGACGGTTGGGCCGAGGGGTAGATGAACTGGGTGGTTGAGATGCGGCGGACAGGAACTCTGACGTTTGGGAATCGGGATTCCCTACCGAGGCGGGAGCTGTATTGATGGGTAAAGGAGAATCAGGGTGGTCGGAGGTGATAAAAGGGTGATGCGGTGATGAATTGTGAGCCAGTTCGACAATATCTTTAGATCTGCCCAATCCCCTGGCTCTTTGGAAGAACCAGGTGAGCAGACCTCAAGCGGTGGCGGGTGTCCGATAAGTAATCGCCGGGAGCTCCGTTGGAGAGGGGCGATACAGTTGTCACAAGGTCAAATGGATGGTCAGTAGCTTGAGCTAATAGTCACAGATGTAACAAATGATCAAAGAGCTGTAGATCTTTAGAAATCACGCGGTTGTAATGTTCTCCGCTTTGAGTTGGGAACTGGTTGGGGCTTATCGGGGAGAGGGAGAGAGATAAAAGAGATGGAGAACTGCCAGCCCACGTCGGAAGGCAATGAAAGTTCAAATGTCAAATATGGAATGTCAAATATCAGACGCCAAATTTCAAATTTCAAACGTCAAATGGTTGTCGAAAGTGAAGAAAAAAAGAGGATTGGGTTGTTGGGTAGCTCAGGTAGCTCAGGTAGCTCAGGTAGCGGAAAAGGAATGACCCCATCTAGAGCGAAACATCATGGACCTCTACTATGTATACTACATGTGTATAATATGTACTCCCTTACTACACTTCCTGGGAGAATTTTGCTATTTCACATTAATGATCGACATTCATACCCTGGAGAAGCTATATCTGTAGATGCCAACGAAGTAATAGGCTATATACCAGCGGCGAAGTCGTCTCCTAGTTTGGGGGGAGTCTGGATATGTTAAAAGGCGCCCGGCTATAAAACAAGGGGCTTATATCTCGCAAAGACGTCGGTGACGAGCTTTCGGAGTCATATAGGCCTAAGCACAGACCATTTAAACCCGTATATTGACAACTGTAGCGATTTACCGTACGTTATTCTACTACTAAAAAAGTAGTTGCTCGGGCCATTCGGGAAAAAGCGGGTGAAGTCGTATTCTATAGAATGGCTACTCTAACACAGAAATTGGGATTCGGTTCGTTACCTGTGACTGAAGTGCTATTTTGTTCCTTAACGGAAAAATTACGCATGAAGCACCACTTAAGGCCCGAAAACCAGGTAGCTATCGATCTAATACTGCCACATTCGATCCACTATCACTAGACTTCGTTCTTCTTCGGGCACCAACGCTTCCATATCGTTGTGGCTTCCCACTTCAGCATTCGTAACCACTAGATCGGTCTCACCTTTTTGCAGGCCGAGTATATTCCAGGGAGCTGATAGGGGAACAAGATGTCTCCTATTTTTATCAGAAAATGCGCGTATTTTGCTTTCTTGGGTAAGCCCTTAACATATAGACGAGCTTTGAAAACGCCTTTCTTCGTACTAGTCGATGACCTACTAAGGACTTCTTCACGGGGCGGTTTTAGCTGTAAAGCCAGCTTCGTAGAGCCACTCACGCTGGGAGCAACACCAAAAAAAACACCGACGGAGACTAGAAACTCGGGATTAGTTAAACCGAGAATGACGGTATGGATATATATATCATTGGCTAATTAATTAGCTATTGGTTGTTGTAGAGATATCAGTCTTGTTTCTCTCCTCTTAACTCTCTTGTCAAATTTAAAGAGAGGGCATGCTGGGATGGTCTCAGTACCAGGAGAAAGCAATAGGGTGGATGGATGCCAGATTCAACACTGTTTTCAGCTCCCAGGCGCCAAGTGGATAGTTCTTAAAATTCAACATATGTAGTTCATAGAGAAGGATGGGATACGTGCTACAGCTACATTAGATGCTTGCAGTGGGTATTGTGTCACTGTTTGGAGTTTGCGCTGTCGATCTAACATGTAACTATGGAGTATGTGTTCTGCTGTTCTACTTTTTACGGTCCATGGGTGGATATACTTTGTACAACATATACTGGACAGCCCAACCCCATATAAAGTGGAAGCTAACCAGCCTTTCTCACCCTACCAAAGATACGTTGTACATATATACTAACCTATTACAGAGGGTACTGCATACAATATGTGACCTGTTTGACCCATTCCTCTGCTTGAAAAAATCAGGGGTGGCCTGACTATGTAGGCCACCATGGAATAACAGAGGGAATCTTTGACGAGCGCCATGATCCAGAACGCCATAGATTTACCTGTATCTCGCATCATTTCTGTCACATACCTCTGATTATATAGATTCAAAATCAAAGGTCTTACACTTTATCTTGAATAATGACAAGAAGCCTTTATGCAATACACATTCCACTGGGCCTTGTTTCATCATTTCTATTTATGGCCCGAATATGCCATATCCAGTAATAATTGTACTATATAGGTCCATTAAGCCGTACTCCATCCTCGATACTATCTCAGTATGAAATGTGTGTATTCTTATATTATTCTTCACTCGGCATCAGCTTATTCGCCTTTCTCATTAATGGAAGTTTCGTTGCCTGGAACTTTCCCTGCCAGAAATGACAGGGGACCAGAAGCACACATATACTCGTCCTCGAGGTCGACCTCGAAATCAAAGCGGCAGAGGTCTTGATCGAAGGGGAACATGTATGTCGTGACACTGTCGATAATTAGCCAGAGGATTAAAGACAGCCCTGGACAGCCAGCGAAATGCCTAATCTCCTCCTACCGGTTATACTGTTCGCTCGCCTCGTATTACTCCAATGCCGCTAGGCTCTCATGATAACTTATCATGGCGAATTTGGACCCTTTGCTCAGTTCAATGCGAGGCGTCAATGAGGGGCCACCCACAATTAGGCGACCATCTTTCACAGATGGCAGGTTTTTGAGCTTCTTGACCTCGAGCACAAATGTGTCTTTGTGTTCTTGAGTTACCTCGGGTTTAAAGCCGAAGAGGATTAAAATCTCAGCATGTTGGCGGAGAGGGGCTACAGTCCAAGAAAAATCAGGTAATGGAAAACCGAGTAGGTGAGATTCTAGACTAACTTATGTGAGTGAGAGTCATCTTTGGAAGACCGGTTTCGATGTATTTCTTGGATGTTTGATTTGGCCATATGGGCTTTTACTTGCCCTAGTGAGGGTTAGAAGGACTACAATGTAAGTTATATGAAAGTTCCGACTCGGACATGAATAATTGGTTGGAACTCTTACATGGTGCATTGGTTCCTACTATTCCTCTCTACAGGACCCTCAGTATGTAAAAGGCGCCTACCAACCCGATAATGAAACTCTTTGTCTCGATGTGGTGTTTTCCCAGGTACCAATTCCTCAAGCCAATATCCCTCGACATCACGCCCGTCACACTGCTTAGTGTCAATTATAAGTTTTTACTCTTGGAGCCCAGTGAAAGAACCAGGCTATAAGCGTACCCTTGGTGTTTTTCTTGGCTATGCATTTATATACATAGAACTTGATCTCATCGACACACTTCGTCCTCAAATCTTCAATATCGACATCGCCAAACCTGCCGATGCTATTTTCACTCGAAATTGCGAGTATTGCAGAAATTGTCCTTTCGCCGGCCTTTCTCGTTTACCCTCCATTGCTTTGTATTATCGGCAATGCCGTGGTATTCATCCTGAACACCTTTCGTTTGAAGGCTTATGTGACGGGGAGCGTGAGAATTTATACCTATGTAGGTAGGGATCTTATAGCTGACAAAGTTTGGTAAATTTCCGTGGTCTCTAATAACCGAGAGAGAACAGATTGATTAATTCCTCTTAGCTTTGACAGAAGGAATAGAAAAGAAACATAGAACGTGGACCGCTGTAGCAAATGAAGCACCTAAAACCATCCCTAGATCTTTTCTGCCAATACCAATTACCACATCCGCTGCTTGAACAAATGCACCGACAGCGATGACAGAAGCTACCGCTGGGCCGCCAAGATAAAGTGGGAGAATTCCAGTAAGTATTGCCAATGGTACAGCGCGCACCGCATACATGCGCTGATAGAAGAGCTCGCCATTGGTAACATGAAGTGAGCCGGACAGAGATGCAGGGTTTGCAGTGGAAATTATTGCAGCTGTTGCGGAAGAAAATGAGGTGAACGAATTCAGAATAAGCAAAGATTGTTGCATTGTTGATGGATAATGAAGGATTGATTGATGTGTTCGTAAGAGCTATTCGGCCTGTTAGCAATGTACCTGATATTGTTTTGGTATCTGACTTGACAAACCTATAGGCAACTTATCTAATAGAATTTAGGGATATCAAAGCCAATGTAGGATAGTAGGATAGAGAAGTTATATGAGAGCAACAGGTGGCTAATATCGGGGTTAGTCGGATAATAACTCGGAGATAGTGTGCCTTTCTTGGTTTTGAGACTTCCGTGAACCCGTGGCCCTGGGGACCCGTGGACAACCCGAGTGCTGACTGAGCATCCCATGAGTTCCCGAGGTCCCCATAAAGCGGCACCCCGATCGGGAAAATCGCGACCGCCCGAAATTTGGAATGGCAACATACCCACATTCATGATATATTTCACTCCCAATGTTCCTTCAATAGTTGACTTGGTGCAGACATACATTCATACAGCTCTCTCGACTTTCCCGGTAAATCGTTGCCCGAGTTAAAAGATGTTTGGCAGCTACGGGGAGTTATCCGGCCCGGTTGATTCAAGACAGGTTTAGTAGATGATCTGCATGGATTTTGCGTTTCCATTCTTCTTCTCTGGGAAACATATAGCTATATATAGTTATTCTACTAACACCCGTGAATTGATTGGATATATCATCACCCAAGCCCCTCAGAAGGCCAGCCGCCGCTTCAAAATGATATTAACATCCCCAAAGATCCAATCAAGATGCCCCTTGCCCTCCAAGATGTGAAGCTCCTTAGGCTCCTATATCTGCTTATAGCACTTGAGCTGGTCCTCTGTGAGACACGACACGTCTAACTCGGGCGTAACCATTATGGCTGTCGGGAAAATATACTGGACGAGGTTCAGGATATTCCACGACAGACTTCTGTAGTAGGCCTGGACGGAAATGCGGTTATCGACAGGTACTCCGAGGCGCTCGAGGGCGGGGATCATCTCGGCGGCGATCTGGAGACTATTGGAATACTGCTGTCCTCGTTCACGTAGCGGAGATATATAGAATCTTCGCTTTCCAGGCGGCTGGTGCGCTCGTGTATAGCCAGCTTGAGGATTGGCTTGCGTCGTTCCGGGATACCAGTTGAGTCGATCAAGGGGCGCGAACGCGATCGTGGCGGCGACTCGCTTGCCGTGGTTGGGTCAGCCGATGAGGATGATTGGGGTGGGTAGTAAAAAGGACAAAGACGGGGGTGAACCTACGTATTCAAAAGCTGCTACCGCAAGAGTAACATTGCCACCAAAACACAGACCCCAGAGCGCGAGTTTGGTATCATCGACCAAAGGGTTCTCTTTGAACCAGGTCACGGCGTATGTGAATTTTCAGCTGGGGGCGACCTCAGATTCACAAAACTCACATCATTCCTAGCATTTCCATCGCTGGCGCCTAGGCTGCGAGGATCATAGAGAAGGCAGGTAATGCCACATGCGGGAGATACCTAGCCACGTAGGGTGAGCCCGTCGAGAGTTTTGAACTCGGCATCAACGCGGGGTAAGCGCTGGTCGTCATTATGTTCTTTCAGGAAAGACTTGAGTTGGAGATAGAAGATGAGGATGAAGATGGTTGCAATTAGGGGCTAGTGTGGTTGTATAGGTAAGAGGCATGTTATACAAGGAGTAATTACTACGCGAAGGCTGATATGGACAAGAAGTACCCTGTGATAATCAGTTAACTAGTTAAGTCGGCACCCGAAGATTCGGAGAGCAACTGCAAAGCCGGAATCTTCCAAGGTTGGCGTCGTGGTCGGCGCTCGGCGATCGGTCCGGCCCGGTCCCTTGACAGATCGGAGAAAACCTTATTAGCCCCACCTCCAGTGTTTGCCCCACCACCATAATCAGTTGAAAAGCTCATCGGGGACCTCAGCGAGGCCATTGACGCAGTTGCCCTCGAGCAGGGCATCGCGGTATCCCACACCACGTCAGATATCGCAAAGAGCTCGGAAGTCAATTTCATCCATCCCTACGTAGCGAGGGAAATCTGAAGTATGTTTGCGTCTAATGGCCTACAAAGCGTTGTCAACCTAGCGCGCCCCCAACACGTAACATTATCTGTCTTGATTTGTGCTTTTTTGCCAGCCTCGGCCATTGTGAACAAGGACGTCGAGGACCTGGCCATCGGTTCGAGCCTCCCCGGACTTCGCATCCTGGCCAGGTAGCATATTTCCGCCGACCTGCAGGTTCCATAGAGCGTGTCGAGGCTGTGGCCATCGGCAGCCTTTCAACAGTAACAAGCAAAGTAGGAGACACTAGTTTATAACTTAGCCTAAGTGTCGCTATTCTAGGAACAAATTATAGAGGTGGTATTGTCCCCAGGCTAATTAGTAATACGCGTGATTTAAATATGCGACCCTAACTACTAAAAAGCTTTCCCCTCTTATATTTGTTAATCAGCTCTACGTAATTCACTACTTTACTATCTATACTTTATAAATCTATCCCACGTCCAACCTGAATGAATGAAAATTGCACATGTTGCAATCAACAAACAAGCCCGACGAAAACCAAGATATAACATCAATTTTATCGATCAATAACCAATCGTTCTTTTCAAATGAAGGTCCATAGCGCTGGTCGTGCAATCTCTGATACGACGGTATACCTTTTCGACCAGAGTAAGGTGTGCCATGGGAATTTTCGGTCCAGTAACCTTCACCAAAGTGCATTAATCAGAATTATAGTTCGTATATCTGAATTGTGGATCCTACACGAGCAACGCCGTACAGGCGAAGGCTTTCGCGATAAGCAATTGGACTTCTTTATCTGCTTCTAGTCCACTACATCGATTGTCGGAAGAATTGCTCATTCTGCCTACGCTGTCGCAAACCATTACAATGGCAAGTCTCGTCCAGCGGCGACACGGCTGGCTCCGTCCTTCATCCACATCGCCATCCCGACAGGCTTCGGATACATTTTCCGATGTGATTTGAGCATGCCGACACTATTCACAAGGCCATCCTTCCGCGGTTCGACAGGCAGTCGGAGACAGACCTGCACGAGATGCCTGCCGAGGCCATAGTTGCTGGACGTCCTGGCTCGTACCAGACCCAAGAACAAGCCGCTGTTTCCATCAGCGTCAAGGACCAGCTCGCCGCGGCCGAGGACTATGCCGAGTGCTTGGTCATAGTAGAAAACTGCTTCACGCTGGCCCTGGGCACTTGCTCGACTTGCTCGAGATCGACCCCGAACAGCTGGGCTACAACATGGTGGTGGCCAACCTGGGCATCGACTCACTCGTGGCCATTCGGACCCGGGAGTGGTTCCTCAACGAAATGTGCCGAGGATGAAGGTCATGTCGGACAGCTACTCAATGTCGCGCGCATGTGCGACGATGTGCTTGTGGACTGCCGGAGGCTTCACAAGGCTTAGTCCTGTCCCCTGTGAGCGGCCCCTGCGCAGGAGCTCCTTGACTCGGTCCACCTACCCTCCAGGGTTGAATGGCATACTTACCGGTTATGGAAGGTTATCCGAACATCGGCGGAATAATGTTCCACAAAGGACCAACACATTTACACAAAGTACTAGCAAGGTTTTCTTTTCTGCGCTTCTCATTCGTCTATTATTTCTTACTTTCTTGTATCTTCCCGTTTACCGTTTACGCCGCTTTTCTCTTGTTTTTTTGACCGTATTTGCCTTTATCCGTCAGCGTTACTTTTTCCGCAATAGTGTTTTTCCGGTCATATCTATACAGTATCACATGCCCATGATACTTACACGATGCTCCATATGATCCGATCCATAGTTACATGGATGACCACTCCATTACATAATTTCAATAGGAAAACCCCTGGAGGTGCCCAGGTGCAAATCACCTGACTTCCATATGTTACTTCACGGTTTCTCCACTGACGCCATTATGATGATGCTAGTCGTACGGATATTTAAACCGCTTGTTCTGCAGTCTTCAGTCACCAAAATCCTCTTCAGTTTCACCAAAAATCCTACAAAAAATCCTATAAATACTCTTACTATTTTCCAACATATCCCACATCTTTCATCATGGGTTGTGGTTGCGGATCTAGTTGCAACTGTACCGGCGGTGCCCAGAGCTGCTCTTGTGGCGACAAGTGTGACTGCAAGGGATGCGGAGTATGTGATATTCCCACGATGTTTCAGGTGCAAAGGCTAACTTGGCTGTCTAAATTTAGAAGTAAATCATTTCTCCACGACTCCGACCCCGAATGTGTACCACAACACTCTCTTTCTTTCAAGGCGGATGATGAATATGGTGACGATTTGATGAAATCAAAATCAATGGAGTGTTTGAGCGTCGAAATTGAAACGAAATACCGATTACATTTCTCGAATTAAAAAAATTACTCCCAGTATTTTCTGTGACATGTAGACCTCATCCTTTCTCTTTCAACACTGCCTCGGAAGCTTTAAGCGCTCCTGTTATACTAAAACATATAAATGGTGACAAGGCGTACATGATCTAGAGAGAGTCAGCGAAATGTCTTTTTTTCCCCGTAGAACCATCACCGCGTACCGTCAAAGTCTTCGCAATAACCATCTTTTCCACCTCAGACGCCTGCGCCAATTCCGCCAACCCCGAAATCACCAGCGCCGGTGGACCAGCAGGCATAAGCATCATACTAAACCACAGTATCGGATCATCACCAAGGAGACGAGTCCTCTTAGCAAGTCCGTAAATCAGTGAAACGCTCAGCGCCGGCCAGACCACCAAACGAACGACAAAGATAGTCGTGATAGCCTTGACAGGGATCCGGCCCGAATGCCCTTCTGCAACCATCCGCTCGAACGTGATTCCAAGTTTACACCCAACCATGAAGATTTGCAGCGTTGTAAACAGCCCGCCGATGTTGCGGATACTCGAAGTCAGCCATGCATTGAATATCCCGCCATCTTCCTCGTCGAAGAAGAATGCTTTGTGTAACGAGGGGACTAGTCCCAGCACCGTGCCGATAATAGTGCAGAGTATTGCCACGTCGGCGAATGGGGACTCGAAGGGTGCGAGGAGTTCTTGCTTGACCCGGTGTGGGAATAATGACCCCAGCCAGTGCGTCGACCGCCGGATCAGGTTCCCGGCTGATGTTCGGGCTTGTTGGGCGCGCTGCGGGAGTAGAGAGGTTTCTTCGGTGAGTTGCTCATCCTCTGCTAGTATGCTTGCGGTACGATGTCGCTCCTCTAGGCTACTAAGGCCATCTCCGCGATCTTGTAACATCCTCGGTCCGACGATATATGCGATGGTCTTACTGATCACACCGCAGACAAGGAAGTAACTCTGAGCACGGTCGATTGCTGAGGATGTGGTTTCGCCATGGCGCAGGATCAGTTTTAGACTTCCTACGCTCTGGAGGGAGTAGAGGAGTAACAAGGGGAGAGATGTAGTATTGTTGAACGAACAAGCCGGTGTAACCCATTGAGGTAGGCCAAGCAGCCGCGATAGGAAATGCCCAAGGCCAATCGATGCAGACGTGTAGAGGACTGACCAGACTAGTAATTGCAGATAGATGCGATAAGTCAGTTATGCTGGGTTCATCAAGGGTCGCTATAATATACTTATAACTGGAATATAGTTCATCGCTGTCCCGAGATGAAGCTGCTCGCCGAGATGCACGATGAGTAGTGCCGGTAGGAGGAGCTTCACGCCTAAACCCATCATGTCATTGATTGTAGTCTCGTGGATCAAATTGAGCCGACGAGCAGCGAAACCGTAGCACATTGTTAATAGCACGGAAATACAGGCCTGTAGTGCACCCAGAAAGGGTGTCACTAAGCCTTCGCTATGCATCCTGTTTCAAATGGCTGCCGCTTTCAGCTACCTATGTTGTCGTCTCCAAAATCAGAGTTAGTTTTAATTCTAATGGCCGTGGCGTCATGGTGACCGAGTTAAAAACTACAAATTCTACATTCTTCGCGATATAAAACCCACTTTACATCGTATAAGCGCGTTCGACTGTTTTTTGTTAATCTCAGTCTCTCTAGAAAATCTTCGGGCCTTCGGGGGAGTCCACCCCCGAGCACGTGGATTCCCCGTGGGGTGCTATAAAGGGAGATGATAGCCCTAATTGGCTCTACTTTCCCAATCTGGAGGTTCAACTACTCCACGTTATACTTCAAGTAAACTCCGATAACGCAATGCTTTACAGTCTAAATCCCATAAATACTAATGTAACCAGTACAATTCTAATAGCACTCCTAAATAATTTGGCCGTTTAAACGACGTGGGGGGCCTCGGGTAATCGGTCGGAGGAAGGCCGAGTTGTCCCCTCTCAGCGTCAAGAACATAAAGAACATCGTTAAAAGGAAAAGACACTCCTTCTGCTCTTCATCAATTACACAACCTCTTTTCTGCCTTCAATAATGTCTTCCATCGCACTCCGCTCCGCCCTGGAAACCACGCCAGTGGCATATGGCTTCTGGTTGACGTATGTTATCCCCCGCATTTGGAGGGGGGCATCGCCATCTCCCCGCTGCGCTTTCAACCTCAAAGCTCTCTATCCAACAAAAAAAAATTGAACTAACTGACCTCCTACTACAGCCTCCCCAGCGCCCCCGTCGCAAAGACAATCCTCCGCCGCAGCCCCGAGTTCACTGAAGGTGGATTCAGCTGGGTCCTCGTTGACGCCGAACATGGATTGATTAACGACAGCCACTATTACGAGGTTTGTCCTTCAATAACTAAGTTTAACTCAAGAATTGAATCATTAACAATCAAACTCAGCTCACCAATGCCGTCGGCCATGAGGGTGCGAGCCCTATTATCCGTGTGCCCTGGCCTGAAGAGTGGATGATCAAGCGTGCTCTTGATGCCGGTGCCCACGGAGTCATGACTCCTATGTGTCACTCTGCAGTATGTGCAACCCTCAGCATTGCGCTTCCGCTTATTTCTTGACTCACTCGAGATGCTAACCTCTACTTTCTGCTTCCAATAGGAGGACGCTGCCAAGGTTGTCAGCTACTGCAAGTACCCGCCTGTCGGAGTCCGTGGATACGGGCCCATGTTCACGCCACATTCGTTCCCCGGTGTCAAGCCCGCAGAGTACGATGAGAAGACGCACGGCGAGGTGCTGGTTATTGTGCAGATTGAGTCGCGGCCCGGTGTTGAGAATGTAGAGGAGATTGCTAAGGTCGACGGACTTGATGTTTTGTTTATTGGTGAGATTGGATCTTTTTGTTTGGACGTGTGGAACTAGCTAACGTTTTCTTTTCTAGGACCCTTCGACCTCGCTAAGCAGATGCGTGTAACCCGCGGCGGTGAGGAGCACGAGGCTGCTATCCAGCGTGTTCTGAATGCGGCTAGATCTGCTGGAAAGAAGGCTGCTATCTTCTGTATGTGTTGTCTTTTCGGTCTTCCTTGCGTTTGTCTCTAACACTTCTAGGCTCCGATGGTGATGACGCTCTTCGCCGCACACAGCAGGGGTTCGATATGGTTTCCATCACTACTGATGTCGCTGTCTTCGGTGACGGGATGCTCAATGAATTAGAGAAGGCCAAGGGAACTTCTAAGGTCCAAGGAAAGCGGGACGGCTATTAAAAAGTTTCTGATTATATTGAGTATGTGTATATAGAAGCCACGCAATAAATTGAACTATATTATCATTCTATGCTGTCGATTACTTGCTATCGTTCAGTTATCTCATTCAAATCTTCCACCAAACGTTGTCTTGATCACTTCTTCGCCATCTTCACTCTGTAGGCACCTGGTGTTATTGACTTGACAGTTCCATTTTTTTCAACATCAAAAACGAAGAGCGAGGTAGCAATACCACCCCAGGTCAACTGGTCCAACATAGTCCAGTCGTTGAGATCGTAGAACAGAGAGAAAAGACTTGACGAGGAACCCACTCCGGGACCCTTGCCCTGAGTAGCAGTGTATGCACGGAAAGCGATTTCCCCACTGGCCTGCTCGGAGACAATAGACGGCACAAGTCGTGACCCGACATCACCCAAGAGTCTAGGCACTAAAGCCGTGATATCTGTACCATTGCTAATCCACGAAGTGATGTTCAAGCCAGGCGCGGGCTGGGAAGGTGGCACAACAGTGAGCGTCAACGACGAATTGAAGTCTTCGGCCTTGTATGTGCCGGCGAATTTCTGCGCTGCTTCTGCCGCGGCTTGCTCCATAAGGGCTGGGAGAATGGCATCGGCGATAAGGTCGATTGCCAAGAGCGCCTCGCTGCTGCGGCTGGGTTGCGTGCTAGCTGAGAGGAGAGTGAAGCCGGCGTTGAAGTCAGGTATCACGACCACGATGCCACCGTAGCATCCCGAGTCGCCAAGCTTCGTGTATAGGTCGGTGACCACGCCTGAGCCTGCGTGGATGTATCGGTGGATCTCCCATGGTGAGCCGACGGAGTAGCGGAGACTTGAGGTGTGAGTGACGGGCTTCATCCATTCCCGTGTCTTTTCAGAGGGGAGGAGGGTGGAATTCAGGAGGGCGACACCAAGCTTGGAGAGATCGTTGGTTGTAGAAAACAACCCACCAGATGGGTTTGTGACGCCTCCATTGGGAACGAACTGCTCATCGAGACCCTCTGATGTGACGGAATGGGGGCGGGTGGAGTTGTCAGGGGGTGAGGAGTAGGTCGACTTCAAACCCAGAGGTTCGAAGATAGAATCACTATACCATTCATCCATAGACTTTCCCGTGAGATTTGAAATCGCGAGACCGAGGAAGATATAACCACCGTTTGCATACTCAGGGCTTGTCCAGGGAAGGTAAACTGGAGGCCTTGGGGCGTATGCCACATCCCAGGAGACTGGGTTACACCCCTGGGTCTGTTCACCCAGACAGGATGGCAATAGCGACAAGTCGCTCTCGTTCAGAGGTGGAAGACCGTAGAAGTTTGGATCAGTCAACGAGGGGTCATCAGAGCGTTCGAGGTACTTGTATAGAAGAAAGGTTTGTAGGAATTCCTCTGTAGCACCGTGGGGTATGCCGCCCATCTGGCCCGCAAGGGATTTGAGGGTGACTTTGTCCCATTGAACATCATAGACAAGTCGGAACTTATCGTGTTGCTTACGAACACGCTCGGCTAAGAATGGGAAGATGTCGGTGAGTGAACGGTCCCAGTCCCGGGGCTTGAGCTCTATAAGCCCGGCAAGAACAGTAAAGAGCTTCGATACACTGGCGACCTTGTAAATGCTGTTTCCATCAACCTTCTTCACTCCAACCGGGGAGTTTGCGACTTCGCTAGCGGTGTGGTGGAATTGAAGATCTTTCGCTTTGGGGTCAAGTGTGGAAAATAACCCAGCAGAGAATGTGAGGTTCTTCAGTGCATAAACTCCACTGGTCTTTTTGGCCTGGTTACCGTCGAGGACGGTGTTGAGTTGGGATGTCAGGTTCTTCCAGCTGGCGGCGACCCGACTGTGGCTGCTAGACAAGTCCCTGGGAGGAGGATATGACGGTCCTAAAAGATTGGCAAAGGCTGCCGGGAGGCAAACCAAACCAGCTAGCACATAATTTGGTAGCCGCATGATGCTCTTGAAAAGATTTCGTCAATTATTAAATTGAAAGTAAAGGTCGATGTACTGGGCTGAAATTTCAACAAGTGCTGCATGCCGGCATGGTCTTATACCTCCTTCAAACAGCCATAAATTAAGCATGACGTTTATTCTCCGCGGTACAGGGCTGTGCCATCGTTAGCCCTGTGCTGTATTACTTGGGGGCCATCACGCAGGATCTCGATCTATTGGTGCATCCGTGTCGTGGGATACCTCGATTCGATCTGATGTACCGCTCTGTTGATCTTTTCAAGGTAGCTGTCGGGGGCAGTGACGCGATGGCCGGCTCCAGTTCGCTGGGTTGAACCATTTCTGGAAGTTCTGCCTGATGATCCTCGGGGCGGTGTTGTTGTCAATCTTGTTAGTTTTGTCGATCTATGGGATTTGAGATTTCAATGGACATGTTCTTTATGAATACGAACGTTCATGCTCGGCCAAAGCCACTGACATCGCGATGCATGGGGACACTAAACCCGATCGGGTAGCATGCGGCGCTCTTTTTCTTGGCATTTATGCCTCCCTGGTTGTACACAGGCCATCTTTCTTTTTATCATTCCAGTTATACCATCTGAGAGGGGGAAGGGAACCAAAAAAGAAACGAAAACATCCAGGTAGACATCGTATTGTAATCTTAAACAAAGTCATCAAGGGGATGAGACTGGGTAGCCTTCCTATTCGGGTAGTCATGAGCTGTTCCCACCCAAATGGTTGTGATTGATGGCATTTGGAGTTATCAGTGATATATCCAACCACTCGTGGACCCGTTGAGATAATTATGGATGGTGAGGGGTGACGATGTGAAAAGGTTGAAAGAACATTGAAGTATAATGTACCAGGTTACATGTAGCCTTCCTAGTCAGGCAGTCACGAGCTGTACATCTGTTTACGGCAACTTAGTGTTATAGCTAGTAGGATGATTCGAAACGAATAACTTTGACCAACAAGGTTCATGAAATATCCTCTATAAACTGGATGTCTGGATCAGTAAGCGCCATATGAAAAGACGTTTCTCTATGATCTTTCTCTAGTCCCATCCCTAAACAAATCCTCCTCAACATTTATTGTTCTCTCCTTATGGCTTCAGATGCTTTGCCATTTAGGGTGTGGAGTCTTGGCTATCCCCGACGGCGAGATCCTCGTGATCGCTAGTTGAATCTTCGTTGTCACTAGCTGAATGCCAGTTCTCGCCAGCTGAATCTCCATTGTTGCGAGTCGAATCCCCGTGATGAATGATGGAATCCTCGTCAGGGCTGTTAACAACTTCATCGGACGGGTGGTCGATGGGACGGTTCGACTGAGCAGGGTCCACAAGGAGTTCGTCATTGTCTGGTAGGCTTGCGTTTTGTAGTGCTCGGTTTAACATATAGCGCACAGCCCCCTCTTGACAATTACTAGTACTGTTGCGAATCTCTGCATAAGTTGTCAAATATTCTGCGGCAGCCTTTGGGAATTCATCAATCAACCGGCGCACTCGACGGGCAGCTTCAGTGTTCAGCACATCCCGAGTGGACTGAAACGTCAGGCAATTGGTTAACAGTCTGTCAATCCTGTCACAAACTGCCAAAGCAGAGCTATCGTAATCGCCAAGGGCACCTCGGATATAGACAGTAGCGTTGGATGAACTCGACAGCACGGGAGCGCTTTCAGTCGTAGCCTTGCGCTTGCCTCTAGCTTTTGGTGTGTTAGAAGGGGCCGGGTCGTTTACTGAGTTGATTCCAGTGTCACTTTCGTCAGCAACGCTTTCATCGTCACCAGATTCGGTCGTCTCGCAGTAGGCGGGGGTCGGGCCATCGCAGCTAGCTAAATGACTGGACTTGACAAGAGACACGCGTTCTGGGTGCACGTCAGAAGATTTAGTGTAGCGTGATTTCAGCCGCACTTGCCATGCCTTTGCCCTGATACCGTCGGGGCCAGTTGGACGAGTAGCTTTGCGGGACTTGAAAGGGCCAATGGCTGGATGGAAACCGACGAAGTTGTGCAGGGGGGTCAACATTGCGCGCCCATTACCAACGGTCAAAACCATGTCACTGGGATGCTCGACTAAGGAAGGTTTCTTGATGTCTCTGTGCGCCCAAGGCTCGGTGGATAGATCATCCCAATCAATATGGACTGCGTAGTCAGAACGAGGGGTGTCGCTAATCCATGGAGCGATAACCTGCCCGAAAGTGAAACCACGGTCAGATAGCTTCTTATTATGTACCTTATGATCGAGTTGCCAGAGGTGTTTGGACCAGTTTTGTCCGACCATGGCGTAGTATCCGGTGTAGACTGGAATGAATGGCAGGCCAAAGGCCCAGATAATGACGGGGTCACCGGCTGACAGTCGCTCGGGATAAATGTCGCCGCTGCTGTCGAAGTCGGCTGGCCACAATGCATGGCGCTATCGACCGGGTTGCAGGTTTAAAGAGACAATCAGGAACACGAGACCGTCGGCCAGACGCTTCCCACTCGGTGGTTGTTTCAACGTACCATTGCTATTCCATTCGACTTTGGTGTGTAATGGCATTTCCAGAAGATCACGGGGCTTCTCGATCGGCGGGGAAGGTTCGTTATTAATGTGACCGGGAATAACGTTTTGTTTGCTATGTAAAACAGTATGACAGGCACGGCTAAGCTCGTTCAAGTGAGCAAGGCATTCCTCAGTGTCACCGCAAATCAGCGGCAAGCCTTCACTGTACTGCCGCTTAGGGGTGCCTGTAGGTTGTTTCTTCGGTGGCTTGTTGGGCACCATAGTTGAGGTGACAAGAGGTGAAAGGGTTAAAAAAAGTAAGTAGGAATCATCAAAGTGAAGTGTAAGGTGAATTGAGGTAACCTTGAAAGGAGAAGTGAGTGAAGTGATAAAGAAGAAAGAAGTGAGAACTTTCCAAGGTTGGAAGAGCCTTTTAGGTGTTAGAGGTTAAGCAGCTCCCCTTCATCTAGGATTGCTTATTGCCCAGGTGTTGCCATTCATAATACTTCTTTTGTTTATTATGTCAACTGACTGGACCAGATGGGACTAATTGCTCTTACGGAACCCCATGGTGAGGTATCGTAGTGTAATCTTAAATAAAGTCACCTATCATCTTTAGCCAAATGGATCTCATTTAGTATATACTACATCTTCAAGGACAGTGGCCGCATAGGCAAAAGATAAGGAATGCGTATTACTATGAATGTTTGACTCTATTCACTTTAATTTCGAGCGGATTGTGCTGGCTTCTTCCCCTTGACGAGATGGAAATATGAATATAGCCGCAGGTCCTTCTGCTGCAGTTCCTCCTGCACCCGACTAATCAGTGCATCAGTGTCTTCCTTTGACCAGCCCAATGTCTTGGTGAATAGACGTAGCGTGTATCCCTCCAGCGCGCACTGCATCTGGTACACATAGAAATTCCCAATTCTTTTCAGATTTGGGTCGTCACTCCACTTGCCAAAGGGAACCTAGTGGCAGGCACTCAAAAGTCAGCCGCTCAGGCTACAATACACACGGATTATCTTTGAATTTTTGTTCCATTTTAGGCTCACCTACCTTGAATAGCTGTTCATCGACTTGCACAAAGCCAGCTGAGTGCATCAGCTCCTTCTGTTCGGCTGCCACGTTGATTCGCTTGTCAAACTTGGCCACTGCCTCATGTATCAGCGCCTCCCACTCCCTTAGTGCCACTAGCCGGGCTTCATCCTGTGCGTTATCGGTAAAAAAGCGTAAGTCGTTCTCCCATACTTCTAACCACCCGCCCGGGAGAAGATGCCGGTACGCATTAGCGTAGAACCTATCATAGTCGGCAATCACCCCGCCTAGCGACTGCGCATGGATCAAATGAAACGCCTGTCTTGCAGTAAACGGCCAATCACCCTCGAGGTCGTGGTGTTCGAAATATTGGAGATCTGGAGACATATAGGTCGGGTCCATGCCCGTTAAGCGCGGGGCAGGACGATGCCGGTCTAGTGCCATGATCGTCCAGGAGCCGCTACGGGTAGCGAACTCGAGAAACTTATGGTTTTTCTTGACCGGATCTAGGGGGGCAATAAAGGTTCTGCCGTCTAGAAGATGATGCCAGATGGTGCTGATCATCGCGTGCGCTGTGGTAGCGTTTTCGTCGTCTGGAAAGGGGAATTCGGCCTTGAAGCCATAATAGCGGCGTCCATTTTCGTATGTGTGGTTATTGCGTGCAGTCAGCCAGTTCGATTCCATTTTTCTTTTCTTTTTCGTGGGTAGAGGGTTCAGGAGATGAAAAGAAGAAGGGGAGGAAGGCAGATAGATTCGAAGGGGCATAGCGGCCAAAGGCCGGATGCCTGATTTTAGACCGATTTCAACGCCGCTCTATACTGTGTACTTGTAAATGATCTTGTAATTGAAGCTATTCCCACTGCACAGATTGAAGCCCCTCTGACCGTGCAAAACGCCTCCACGGATTGATCTTGACGCTCACAAGAATGAGATTTTTGATCCTCTCCGTCAGAATACCACATATGAAAGTATTCGGGTCATTCTATAAGAGAAATAGTTAACTATCATATTGTTGGAGATTTAAACGGTCGGAATAGCTTCAAACCGCCTAGAATCAGGTGAATATAGAGATTAGTATAGTGGTAATAGCTTCATTTTGCCTGCCTGTTTCAAAAGGTGAACTTAGGTACTTTGTTTATTAACGTCTCTGTCATGGTAATTCAGGTATTTTGATTTCTGCCAGTCTATGATCAGGCATATTCAAGCATATTCAGGCATCAACTTTGCAAAATCTGGCATCCGGCCTTTGGCCCTTTCGCAGATGGATGTATTCATTTATACCTTGGGTACGGCAACCTGCGGCGGGAAAACCGTCAGGCACATCTGTCGGCTTGTTGCTTCGTCGTTCCTAGTTGTTGGCATCAGCGCTGTCTTGATTATACATGTTGCTTAACCTCGACTTTGACGGTGTCACATGAGAGAAACCGTAGAATACAGGCTTTGGTGTGATGGTGTTTTAGCTCAATACGGCTATGATTTAAAGTCGAAAAGTATAACGACCATCAGGCTAAGATACATAAATGAGACAGAAAATCATGCTCGAACCATGAAGAGCTGCGAAGGAATCATTCTCGCCGCAAATACAAACCCCATGCTTAAAGTGGCTACTGCAGTAAAGGCTGCCAGAAGGCCTAGACGCGCAAGACTTTCAATACCGGGTCTCTCGAATTTAGTGCTTCTTCGCTGGCCGAGGCGGGTGGTGCGATTGAGAGTAGGCACGTATTTGAACTCGAAGCGCGACTCCTCCCCAAGACCCATCTTCTCGTCGAGGACTAACTTGTAGAAGTACTTTCGGCGGAGCTGATAGAGTTCTTCGTTAGAAAATATCTGAAAATTGTGGATAGGTTGACATACCGAAATCATAATCCTGTCGACGAAGTATATCTTTGGTACAACATATGAAATAGTCATAACCCAGAAGCAATATCCCCAGATCAACATCCGATAGTATATATTAGACCGAGGGATATCAAGCTCATCAGACAGTTGATCTCCATTGAGTAGTCGAGTCATCGCCTCCATAAATTCCTTGGATGCAAAAGCCGGCGCAGTATTCTCCAATCCAATAATGATATTCTTCGCCAGGATCTTTCCGGTCTCAGTGGGTTCGATCTCAGAAACGAGAAGCGATTCCATCATAGCACGAGCTTTAGCTGTGCTCTCAAATGGATCCGTCGGTGTTCCCATATAGTATGCAACTAGCCTCCAGAGCGCGATGTAGTCCTCAGTCTCTTGCTGACTGGGGTAGATGCCCTGTCGTGGAAGACCGAGCCATATCACCACGCTGCAGAATGTGTTGATTGTGCCGATGCAGTCTAGGTCATTAACCGGTGTTCCGTACTTGTTGACATTGTAGTATTCAGGGTTCTGGTCTACCAGACTTAGGATCCTCTTGCGGACAGACGAATGAAGCAGTCGGACACGAACACATGAGATGTGGCCGTCTCCGCCTGGCTTCATACCTTCCACTGAGGTGTTGACCTGAAGTATATGCTGAAGCGTCTCGAGTAATCGTCGGCGTACTACCTTTGCCCCAAAGCCGCCTGTTCGCGAAAGGGTTTCGACGACTCGCATTGCTCCCCTGGATAAAGATCAGTTCCTGTTTGACACTCATTCTCAGGAAGCAGAAAAACGCTCTTACATTCCACCAAGTAAGCTTTCAAAACTGAGCTGTCGATGGGATCAGTCCATACCCCCAAAGATATTTCATATGTCAGCCACTCACAACATTGAGAATCGGAAGGCCATAGCGGAAGAAAACATCCTGGCCCCGTTGGATTTGATCCCAGTCTACCCACTTCGGGACTGTATTGATCTTGGTCCAGAGCTCGTTGAGCTTTGGGTCCTCCTCCGTATGGTCCCTCAATAACCCATAGAGGTCCTTGTTGAAAGGTCGTTTATCGGTGTCATCATCAGCGGATGGAATCTTGTTCAAGCGTCCCACACATTCGTCGGCGAGGGAATCACAGCTGTATATCAACGACTTGAGGTCATCGGCAGAGGAGTGGAGGGCAGTCCAATGAAAAGAGTAACCCCAGTAGTGACACTCGGTACTATTTCCACTCTTGGGACTCTTCAACGCCATGGTTGCGGTGAACTGGGAGTAAAACTAGATCGAATATTGTTTGTATATTTGTATCCAAGGTGAGCAAAAACCCCATGATTCTATCAATTTCTTCAGGGCATCCAGGACGACAGGTGTTCCTGAGGTTTGCCGTGGCCCACGGTCCGGTGGAGAGGGGTTAGGGCATCATGACATGTGAAGCCACTTCAGCCACTAAGATCATCGACCCCGGATTTCGTATCCATGGATGATCACTATAAATGGCCTGTGAATTACTACATCTGGTTAGCTTTGCGCTTTGGGATTTAGTGTCACCTGAACATGCCAATGCCACAAAAAGGCCATGAAACATCTGTAGTAAAACGTGTGATGCTTTGACTATGCTAGAGCAATTCAAATTGATAGGAAGTTGAACAGACACAAAGGCAAGGATGAATCTTGACAGGATTTATCGAGACAAGAAACAGACAATAATATAGTCCTCTAGGCTATAAGCATATGTCTAGGTTTGCTATGGTCTAACGGTTGAATTGTATTACTTCTATCATGGAACTTGGATGTTCCCAAGGTTTGAGGCCTGGCATATCATGTATTTATATAATGATCATGATCATGATAATGGTCTAAGAATAGGAAAGAAAATAAAACAAAAGCAAACAAAGAAATATAGACGATAATTTGGTAGTGCTTTTTTCCCTACTGAGGCGATTCATCAACAAGTACCGCAGTGGCTCGACGTCCGAAGTTAGGGGTGGAAAGGCGGCGGTTTCTCCTCATTGTAGGTGTATAATGTTGATTAGGCAATATTCATAGGCAGGTGCTTACATGTTGAGTCTTTGACACCTCTTTGACACTGTGAGACATCATCTAACCCACCATATGTAGGCATGTCTTCTTTAGCCTACTCTGCAGGGGCTGGGATGTACCACAGTGGTTTCAACTTTTCACATATGCCCTTAACATCTAGGTGATACTGTCTTAGGTTTGAATCGAAATTTTGCTAGCCTTTGTTGAGATTTGTGCTAATGGCCTTGTACGCTGCCTTTGATCACCCCTGTCTTTCTCATCCTACGCTCAACACCCTTTCATCCTTTCAGGTTTTCTTGGTGCTCCCTAGGAAGAGATTTGGAATAATGACTTGGTGAGGGACAGGGTTGCTATTTAGGCTGGATTATAAAGGCTGCGACTTCACCTGTAGACAACGTAGACAACATTTTCCACACAATCTTCAAACCCCTTCGCCAGAGAACACCAATAGCCATGGAACCAAGGCCAACCATCAAGTTCAAGCTGAATGGAGTATCTAAATCCGGGGCTGATGTCGATCACTTGGAACTCCAAGCTTGCTATCGCGCTCTCGACAACCTGCGGAGCTTATTGTTTCAAGCACCGATGCTGGAGCTTCTGAAAGACCAAATCGAGGAAGGAAACCGCTATTTTGAATCGCTGATTCGAGCCTCTCGAGGGGAATTCAGAGAATGCAGAACATACATGAAAGTAACCGGGGTCTCAGCGACAGAGATGAGAACAATCTGCAGCCGCTGGCAGCTTTCCCAGCCCATCGATGAGATGGCACGAACGTTTATATTCCCAACGCACCCGGAGAACTATGTGGTTATGCATTCACCAGGAGCTCCCGCCAGAAGTGGACCAGACTGCGGGGTGCAGGTCATCGGGGAGCACATGGCCAAGGTTCGATTTGTTGATATCATGGGCAGCGGACAGATTCCCAAGTGGATGGCGGGGCAGCGAGAGGAGGAGTATGAAATGGTGGAGTACTTGGTCGGGAAACTTGACAGTGGGAGCAAGTTCTTCTATATCATGAACGAATTCATGGATACCGAGGGTGGTTGCAAGATCAAGCTGCGGGCCTTTTTCCCCTCTGCTTCGCCCTGGTCATTGGTCAATCAACATGCTGAGCATCTTGCAGTCGAGTTTCGAAATCTTCTCCAAATGGTTTATGGGGCCATCGAGGAACTCGAAGACAGCTATTGACCATTTTTGCGACCGAGAGAGACATGATCATCGCGGGCTATCGGTGCGAAATATCATGGGTTATTCTAGATCGTCAGTTTTGTTTCTCAAATAGTTTTCTGCAATGTAAGTATTATTGGATTGATTTCCATGGCCGTTCCGAGGTCATTATGGGGTAGATGCAGTAGAGCTCATCGAAATTGTAGGATGAATGAGATGTTCAGTGATTCGTTTAGTTCTCAAAAGCCGCAGGGGGGACAAAACCAAGTAAACCAACTTCCATCATTGTAAGACTGGATGGTAAAAAAAAAGCCACCAGTAGTACAAGCCAAGCTGAAAGATCGGCTTGCATGGCCACAATTGGGTCCGCGGGGAATGAGACCGAGGATTGGACGAGTAGATCAGAAGACTCCACGACCGTCTGAGAATCAAGATTCAGATTTAATTTCCAACACCTGTGACCTGCAGTCCAAAGCGAATGCTAGGCCTGGGACGTCCTCTATTGAAAGCGCGGGCATCGTTGTTGGATCTGATAACCACAAAGCATACGTTGACACAGCCATCACCGCCCGCTGAGCTGCCACCGCTTCCAGACTCGCCCTCCTCAACTACCTTCACCCATTCTGTGTCTTCCCATTCCACACAGGCTTCTTCAATTATGACTTCAGACGATTCTGAGAACAATGGCTCGATCTTTTCGGTCTCCGGCCCTGTCGTCGTGGCCGAAAACATGATCGGTTGTGCCATGTACGAGTTGGTAGGCAGTCCCAGCTCCGAGATCGTGGAGAACCCCAGATACTGACCGCATAGTGTCGTGTCGGTCATGACCTGCTTGTCGGTGAGGTCATTCGAATCGAGCAAGATAAGGCCACGATTCAGGTCTACGAGGAAACAGGTAGAGCTCCGCAGCCCCCCAAACGCGCATGATTTCATCATATCCCCCGAAGAGCTATGCTGACCGAGGTGACCTTTGAATAACAGCTGGTTTGACTGTCGGAGACCCGGTTACGAGGACAGGAAAGCCCCTTTCAGTCGAGCTTGGCCCCGGTCTGATGGAGACGATCTACGACGGTATTCAGCGCCCCCTCAAAGCCATCGCGGACCAATCGAAGAGTATCTACATTCCCCGTGGTATTTCGGTGAATGCTTTGGACCGCGAGCGCAAGTGGGAATACAAGCCTACTACCTTCAAGGTTGGCGACCACATCACTGGTGGTGACATCTGGGGTTCCGTGTTCGAGAACAGTCTGGTGAACGACCACAAGATCCTGCTGCCTCCCCGTGCACGGGGTACCATTACTCGCATTGCCCCTGCTGGCAGCTACACCGTCGAGGAGAAGCTACTCGAGGTGGAGTTCGATGGTAAGAAGTCCGAGTTCGGTATGATGCAGACTTGGCCCGTCCGTGTTCCCCGCCCGGTTAGCGACAAACTGTCCGCCGATGCGCCCTTCGTCGTCGGCCAGAGAGTGTTGGATGCTCTCTTCCCCAGTGTCCAGGGCGGTACTGTCTGCATTCCTGGTGCTTTCGGATGTGGAAAGACTGTCATTTCCCAGAGTGTGTCCAAGTTCTCGAACAGTGATATCATCGTCTACGTTGGCTGCGGTGAGCGTGGTAACGAGATGGCTGAAGTCTTGATGGATTTCCCCGAAGTACATGCCCTCCCCAAATTTACTGCGATAACGTTTTACTGACTACCATTTCTTTCGCAGCTCTCTATTAACGTTGAAGGCCGCAAGGAGCCTATCATGAAGCGTACCTGCCTGATCGCCAACACCTCCAACATGCCTGTCGCCGCCCGTGAGGCCTCTATTTATACCGGTATCACTATCGCCGAATACTTCCGTGACCAGGGCAAGGACGTCGCTATGATGGCCGATTCCAGTTCCCGTTGGGCTGAGGCTCTGCGTGAGATCTCGGGTCGTCTGGGTGAGATGCCTGCTGACCAGGGTTTCCCCGCGTACCTGGGAGCCAAGCTGGCCTCCTTCTACGAGCGTGCCGGCAAGAGCAGTGCTCTGGGCAGTCCCGAGCGTGTCGGCAGTGTTAGCATCGTTGGTGCTGTCAGCCCGCCCGGTGGTGATTTCTCCGATCCCGTTACTAGCAGTACCCTGGGTATTGTCCAGGTGTTCTGGGGTCTCGACAAGAAGCTGGCGCAGCGCAAGCACTTCCCCTCGGTCAACACCTCCATCTCCTACAGCAAGTACAACGCAGTTTTGGATAAATACTACGAGAAGGACCACCCAGAATTCCCTCGTCTGCGCGATCAGATTCGTGAGCTTTTGGCCAAGTCCGAGGAACTGGACCAGGTCGTCCAGCTGGTCGGTAAGGCCGCGCTGGGTGATTCGGATAAGATCACGCTGGACGTGGCCAGCTTGCTCAAGGAAGATTTCCTTCAGCAGAACGGATACAGTGACTACGACCAGTTCTGTCCCTTGTGGAAGACCGAGTACATGATGAAGGCCTTTATGGGTTACCACAACGAGGCCCAAAAGGCCATTGCTCAGGGTCAGAACTGGAACAAGGTCCGTGAGGCTACTGCTGATCTCCAGAGTGCTCTGCGCGGCATGAAGTTCGAGGTTCCTGAGGATGAGGCGGAGATCTCGGCCAAGTACGAGAAGATCCTCCAGTCTATGACTGAGCGATTCGCCTCGGTCTCGGACGAGTGAAAGTGACATCTTGACTTAGCATGTATTTTCCTTTAGATGTTTGTTCGAGCACATTCCCCTGTAGTTATTGTGTCCAACTCAAGTTGCTTTTTTCCATTTTGGTGGCCTTACCGTTGTATAACTTCCAGATGGACATGTGGCCCGTACGCGTCAAGCAGCACAAGACTTGTGCACATGACCGGACATCAGGGCTATTAGGTTATTTGACAGGTAGAAATAGTTTATTTCTTTAATATTCAACCTATAATACTATATTATCGTGAACTCGTCAGTACCTACTTTGAGTGCAGCCTAGGCAGAGAGACCGCTCTGGACGCCACTGCATCACCGCCTTCGAGGCAACGAAACAATCCCTAGTGCACCTCCTCCCCCGGTTCTACTTTATTTCAACTTCCCTGTGGCCTCGTTTTTCTTGCTTTTTCAATATTTCTTGCCTAGAAGCAGTTTTCATATCCCAAATCGCCAGCCATGGCAAGCCCCACGACCGGCTACTCGTGCGCAAACCCCCCTGTCCCTTTCCGATGCGGTCTGGCTAATCTCCGTGCAGCATAAACGTCAACGACCCCAGCTTGATTTCGCTAGTTAACAGGCTTCAAGATGTCTTCTCCACAGTCGGTGTAAGTATACCCGCTCAGAAGTCACGGGTCAATTGTGATTCCAGGGGTACCATGTGTGCTAACACCGCCGCTCGCTTTAGGTACAAAACCCGATCGATCTGCCCCAAATCGCCGTCGTCGGATCGCAGTCCAGTGGAAAGAGTTCAGTGCTAGAGAATATCGTCGGCCGGGATTTGTATGTTGATTGTTTTTGGGGAGCTTGCGCGGCCCCCCGTCCACACCTCCGGTGGCGGGGCATGCGACAGATGTCAACAATAATTGCTAACCAAGTTTTCGCCTTGCAGCTTGCCTCGTGGCTCTGGAATCGTCACTCGGAGACCCCTTATCCTGCAGCTTATCAACAAAACTCCCACCCCCACCACAAATGGTGACACCAAGTTGGAGACGACCGACAGCGAGTCCAACGTGAACGAGTACGGTGAATTCCTGCACCTACCCGGGGAGAAGTTCTTCGATTTCAACAAGATTCGGGAAGAGATCGTGCGTGAAACGGAAACCAAGGTCGGAAAGAATGCCGGAATCTCGCCCTCCCCCATCAACCTGCGCATCTACTCCCCCAACGTCTTGACCTTGACCCTCGTCGATTTGCCTGGTTTGACCAAGGTGCCCGTCGGAGACCAACCGAAGGATATTGAGAAGCAGATCCGTGATATGGTCCTCAAGTATATCAGCAAGCCCAACGCAATCATCCTAGCAGTCACTTCGGCCAACCAAGATCTTGCCAACTCCGATGGTCTGAAGCTGGCACGTGAGGTGGACCCAGAGGGTCAGCGCACCATCGGTGTGTTGAGTAAGGTCGATCTGATGGACGATGGAACCGATGTGGTGGATATTCTCGCTGGACGAATTATCCCCTTGCGCCTGGGTTATGTGCCGGTGGTCAACCGTGGCCAGCGTGACATTGAGAACAAGAAACTTATTGCTTACGCCCTGGAGAACGAGAAGAACTTCTTCGAGAACCACAAGGCATACCGTAATAAGGCTTCCTACTGCGGTACTCCATATCTGGCACGGAAACTGAACTTGGTACGGGTTGACCCCCAATACACTCAGAAACCTTTCAACTAACGGACTTCGTCTTTTTAGATCCTTATGATGCACATCAAGCAAACACTGCCCGATATCAAGGCCCGCATTTCCGCCTCCCTCCAGAAATACACCGCAGAGCTAGCGCAACTAGGTGACTCTATGCTTGGTAACAGCGCCAACATTATCCTGAACATCATCACTGAATTCAGCAACGAATACCGTACAGTCTTGGAGGGAAATAACCAGGAGTTGTCCAGCATCGAGCTGTCCGGTGGTGCTCGTATTTCCTTCGTGTTCCACGAACTCTACTCGAACGGTGTCAAGGCTGTCGATCCCTTTGACCTCGTGAAGGACATTGACATCCGGACCATCCTTTACAACTCGTCCGGTTCCTCACCCGCACTATTCGTCGGCACCACCGCCTTCGAGTTGATCGTCAAGCAACAGATCAGGCGACTGGAAGAGCCCAGCTTGAAATGTATCTCACTCGTTTATGACGAGTTGGTGCGCATTCTGAGCCAGCTCTTGACCAAGCAGCTGTTCCGCCGCTACCCCATGCTGAAGGAGAAGTTCCACGCTGTCGTGATTTCCTTCTTCAAGAAGTGCCTTGAGCCCACCAACAAGCTGGTCAAGGACTTGATCAACATGGAATCCACCTACGTGAACACCGGCCACCCCGATTTCCTGAACGGACACCGCGCCATGACTCTCGTCAACGAGCGTCAGGCAGCCGCCAAGCCTACACAGGTCGACCCCAAGACCGGCAAGCCTCTGCTCCCAGCCCGTGCCCAGAGCCCCTCGCTCGACACCACTGGTGAGGCCAACAACAACAGTGGGTTCTTCGGCAGTTTCTGGGCTTCCAAGAACAAGAAGAAGATGGCCCTCATGGAGGCTCCTCCCCCAACTCTCAAGGCTTCAGCTAGCTTGTCTGAGCGTGAAGCCACTGAAGTTGAGGTTATCAGTAAGTGAACCAGCTCACACAAACTCCCTGTGGCATTTTACTAACACTCACGCAGAACTCCTGATTAACTCCTACTTCAACATTGTCAAGCGCACAATGATCGACATGGTCCCCAAGGCCGTCATGTACACCCTGGTCCAGTATGTCCCCTTCTTGCCAACCCCCATCGTCCTTAACACTCGAGTATACTAACAAATGATTTCCCTAGATTCACCAAGGATGAGATGCAACGCGAACTCCTGGAGAACATGTACCGCACCAACGAGCTCGACGAACTCCTCAAGGAGAGCGATTACACGACCCGCCGACGAAAGGAATGCCAACAGATGGTCGAGAGCCTGGGTCGCGCCAGCGAAATCGTCAGCCAAGTCCAGTGATGAAATAGTGGACTTGGTCACCAGACGATTTTTCCCCAGAGGAAAAAATCATCCCATTGACCACTGCATTGGCGGAGTTGGGCTCCTCGCATCTCTTTGTGATTTTTACAACACGATCCGAATATCCTGACTATACTCCGTACTTGCTTTGCTGTTCCTACCATCCCTTGGTTAGCGACTTGTTCCGTTGGTCCTTATTTAGATGTTGATCTGGGTGGTTCGGGTTCGGGGTTCAGATTTCTGAGTTGCGTCCTTGGTGATCGTCGTCTTTGGTTCCGATACGAAGGGGGAGTTCTTTGCTTCGTCCTGCTATGTGTTTCTTTTCGTTTTTTTTCTTTCCAATTTGAGAGCTCTATACCGTTTTCCTTTCCCATTGCTTGGTATGCTGTCTGTGTTCACGGACTTCCTACCATGGACGCCCGGATGATTGTATCAATTAATGATTATATCTCTGCTTTATGACTTAACTTAGAATTCAGATGTTGACTTTTCAATGTTATCTGTCATTTACAGTGTATAGATCAGATGGTGGCTACATAGAAAAGCCGTCTGCACAAAGTATGCTTTTTTCCCTTTTTCTGCCGTCTAGCTAACAAGCTGAGAAGGGGGAGATAATATCTATGAAAACAGACATCTGAAAAGACAAACTGAAAAGGATCCGAAAAGACAAAAAAAAGACATCTAAAAAGATCTGAGAAGACTATCATAAAAGACTATCATAAAAGACTATCATAAAAGACTACCAAAAAAAAACTCGACACGGCTGCATAAGCGGCCGACTATTCCAACTTGTTACCTGTAAGGACGGATCTTGGGATGGTACCTTCAGCATTTGAGATGTTAGGTACAATCAACAAGAATAGTGGCGGCCTCCTCTTAACGTAGGACTTTGATGATTTGAATATCTAAATAAAAATCCCACGAAAATACTAGACACTACTTTTCTATGTATTATGGGAGATGAGAAGGTGGTTATGAAGATGATGATGTTCTTCATTTTTTACTTCTGCAGGTTTGATGTCGCAGAAGTTCTCTAAATAACATAAAACTGGAAATTCCTTCCAAATCCCTTCCAGTGAATACAAAACAAATCGAGCCAACCCCCCAAGCAAACGTTGACAGTGACATACATGGACGTTGATGATGTCCATGGAACCAATGTTCGAGCTGAGATTTGAAGACTCAGCAGAGTCGGTGCAAAGTGAAAGTGGTGGATAATGCAAACAACGTCCCCAAATCCTCCCAGAGATATCAAAACAAAGTTCATTCGTACATTCCCATGTCCATCCTCCTCCCATATTCTCCATATCCATCTTTCCAAGCCAAATGTGGTGCTGTGAGATTCGACAGTTGTGAACTCAAGTCCATGCTGGACCAGTTTGTCTTTCGAGTTGACGTGCTTCCATTCAATGATTCTATGGCCGTCTGCCAGTGATCTCTTCAGGGTGTGGATGAGGCTTAGACTTGTTGCCTTTTTGCCTTGTGTTTTTGCCTTTCTTTTTTTTCGGTTCTTGTTTTTTGACTTTCGTGGGTTGTGGCTGGCTTGTTGCAACTTGCTTGTTGAGTGAGGTTTCAAGTCCCCAGTAGTGAAGAGTGTTGTGGTCAGAGAGTGTGTTTGGACTTTTTTTTCGTTGTTTTGATCTGTGCCTTAAGCTTGGGATTGTCAGCCTCATTATCTTCAAATGGGGAACTGTTTTGACTTACTATACTCATGCGTCTTGTCATGATGGATTGTCCTTGTAACGACCGCCTCATGCGTATGAACTAAGAGTGAAGATGACAGAGATATTGCATTTGATGCATTGGTGAAGCCTCGAAGTTGTCAGAGAGTTGGGGGTTGGTCATGAATAGCTTGAAGAACTCGATGATTGATGCCCCGTGTTTCGGTGTACCAACCCAGTCCAGTGGGAAGTGCTCAGCAGTTGAAAGTTAATGTCGGTGTTGATTGATATCATGTTGACCAAAGTCACATGTGTTGAGATTTTGTGTCTCGGGGGTGGGGTCGTTGGTACCGTTTCGTGAAGGATTCATGTGGTCTTCGGTGTTGGGATTTGATGTGACCCAAAGGTGGAGGCACTGAGAGACTGGTGGGAGTGCTGAGAAATGACTGGGTGGTGTGCGCTGAAATCTCCATGTTGCAATCCTGCGAGGCCACTCTTGTCAGCCTTCACTACCTGTTGTCAACTCACGGTGGGCAGCATTGATATACCAGAATCAACTCGCAGTGGGCAGCATTGATTTACCAGAGTCAACCCGCAGTGGACAGCCTGATATACGAAAGTCACTCGCAGTGGACAGCCCTGATATACCAGAATCAACTCGCAGCCCCGGTAAACTAGGAACAGTGCACCCCCTGAGCATAAAACCCAACACACCGCCTGTTGGTGCTGGGAAGTATGGTGTCAAAGGATGATGTTCCTGGTCCACTCGAGACCGTCGAGGATAATGGTTCTTCAGTGCTGTCACAGTCCCAGATAAACTAGAAACAGGGATCCACTGATCATACAACCCAACACACCGCCTGTTGGTGCTGAGAAGTATGGTGTCAGAGAATGTATTCCTAGCTGTCGAGTGATGACTGTCGAGGATAATGGTTCTTCATGCTTCCGCAGTACCAAGTACCAGAAACATGGATCACCTGATTATACAACCCAACACGCCGCCTGTTGGTGCTGAGTAGTATGGTGTCAGAGGATGTATTCCTAGCTCACTTGGTGACTATCGAGGGAGGTGGTGAGGGCCGGCAGGAGATGGTCTGCAACATTGCAGCAGGTTGGTGGGTTTCCGCACTGGACTGGGTGGTGGGATGCAATCGAATTTTTCAAAGGGTGGATTGAGCAGGAAGTTGTTCGAATGCTCGAGGATCTCGTGGGTTGTTAGTGGTAACTAGTGACTAGAATTATTAGCACTGGCAAAGGAGGATCACAAGCTGAGAAACTAACAGTCGTGTCATTTCATCCCTCTTGATTCAAGGGTGAATCATGAGCTTGCTGGCTGGGCTACGGTGAAATTGGAAGGTGTCGAAAGACTCCAGTGGAATCATCAGGGAACTATGATTTTGGAAGTCAGCCTTGAATCTCCAGAAATGATGTTTCTGATCTCACCAGTTCCCTTTCTGCGAAGATCAAAAGCAACCAATTTCACATCCCTTCTCCTTGTTCCTTCCTGTTCTTCCATCCAATGCAAATCCATCTTGTTTTCCCCTTTTTTGTTTGTTCCTTTTCCTTCATTTTGATTTTCCCTTTTCTTGTTGTCTTTCTTTCTGTTGTCTCGAGATCGATAAGTTGTTGATGTTGGATTTTCTTTTTTTTCTTTTTCTTTTTTTTTGTTTGAGCTCAGTATCGGGCAATTACCACGGGGGTTCCATTTGAGGGTACCAGAGGTATTTTGTCAATGGGCGAGACCAGTGGATGACCATGAGCTGGAGATGTTGCGGTGGCAGTCAGGAGGCAAAAGAGCCCTCCGATATGCTTTCTGTTGTCTTTTCTGATGTCTTCTTAGGTGTGTACGAATTTGCCAGTGAAGGCGTGGAGGCAGCCCTGTTCGGTTGTTGTGGACATGACAGCAGAGGCCAACTTTGGAGGTGGTGGTATGGGTAACTGTAATCAGAAGATCTCTTTTAGCAAGAAATGATGAAGTGGGGTGGAGAGGACATACAGTTGTCATATGTCGTAATAGGAAAGGTGGCCTCGCAAGGTCGCATCTTGACAGCTTCGTCGAAGACAGGTATGTTGTGTGGTTGTTCAGCTGTGGACATGTGTGCGGATTGGATGTAGAATGTGGTGGTCATGCACACAAAATTGAGGTGGTGCCAGGCATATGCAAGAGGATCCGAGGCAGACAGATTGAAAACGAGGAGAAATGGGATTCCTGTGATAAAAGACACCAAGGTGAACCTGCGTCAGCCATTGGACCGGTTGGTAAGATCTTCCACTCGTCATCGCAGAGCAGAAGGAACAGAGAGGTGGGGAGGGTTCTGGTGCTGGAGTTCTTACCTGGATAGCTGAAAACTGGAAGCAGCGACATGGAAATGCAAAGACCATTGAGGCAAAGAGGCTGTATCAAGCAGTAGGGTGGTGTTTTGATTCCACGTCTGTCACAGTTAGTACCGAGCAATGATAGCAGCATGAGAACTTTGGAAAAATGAGTGACGCCAGAGGTGGTCATGGTGGATGGGGGGAATAGAGAGGAAAGATGATACTCACAATGTGCAGCAGAGATGCAAGATGAAAAGCCAGTGTGGTGAAGCCCATGTGGTGTGGGGTCTATGAGACAAGTGCATGTTAGTGACTAAAGGTGGTGCCATGTGGTAATAGGTGGTGGTAGGTGGTGAGTGAGTGAAGGGTGGTGACAGGTGGTCACAGACTTACCAGAGTGGATATGATGGGCCACGTCGGTGTGGGTGTTGATGTGACAGACGTGACATGTCGCAACGACGTGTTGTTGGCAGTCAGAGATGGTGACAGACTCCATTTCCAATGAACCTTGATGCAAGATATGATAGAAGATGTGATGGAATAGACAAGGTATTGATGAGACCCAAGCTGATGATTGAATGTACTTGGGAGTGATGAAACATCAGATGGATGGTGGGGGATTGATAGAGTGGAGGATGAGAAGGATGGGTAGTTGAAGAAGGAAGAAAAAGAAAAGCAGGAACTTGGGGGGAGGGGGGGTTATATACCCTGCATTGGAACGCGCGTGGAAGGTGCCCCTGCCTGTTTGGGAAGGGACAATGGGAGACAATGGGACCCTCCCTATTCTATTGTTCATTGTCACATCAGGTAATACCCCCCTCTCCGGGTGTCTCTGCATGCTTTTTAAGAGCACATGGGATTTACGCGGACCTGGACAGGTACATGCGAAGGCGTCATCTAGTGGGCATCCTTGTAGAAGGCATAAAGAACTGTAGCTTGTAAACTAGCATTCGAGATAAACCAAAGCTGATCTCTGTCTCAGAATTGGAGCTGTCACTATTATCGGCTATTGGTGCTGTTATGTAGCTATATCCAAATACCCCAGGCTCATGTTGGTCTTCTCGCCGGGGACTCAATCAAAACCATCGAGACTCCTGGGATCTCCAAAGTGCAGATGCCACCAATGAATGTCCAGGAGACACCCTCTTGCCTACAGGCCAAATACCAGAATATTAAGCTAAAAGGAACCTATATGAACCCCGAAATAAGCGACATACTATGTGTCAAGTACCTAGGCAAATTTATTCTGGGATCTATAAAGCTGCCATAGGGTTGGAGATAAGCTTTCCACGCTAGACTGTGTTCGGAATAGCGTATCCGCCCGTCATGCGGCTAGCCTCCCGAGGTCTCACCAGCATCATCTACCTGGAATCTTTGGTGTTGACATTGTGAAGGCACCTTTTCTGGTCGAGTTTTTGACGCGCTGCTTTATTCTAGTTTCCCTGTTCCCTTTCATCTTCTAGCCGACAGGGCGAGGATAGCAGACACGGCGAAATTGCAAAACAAAAATTCCATCAGGGGAACCAGGGCGCCTAAAATCGCATGGTGACAATGGTCGCAAAAAGCAAGAAATAATCAGTAGAATTGACCTATATCTACTTACTCCCGGTATGCCGGTAAACATAGTGCCAATCCTCCTTCTTCAGGTCCTGTCGCACCTTGTAATTCCTCTCCGCAGCCTCAATGACCCCCATATCCAAATCGGCAACAATGAATCCGTCCTCGGTCCCCATCTTAGCAATCGGCCCTACAAGAGGAAGTGTAATCTGCGACAGACCCAAGAAATCCTCCGACGGCCCAGCAGCGTTGGCGAAAACAACACCACAGGTGTTCTCAAAGCAGCGGGATGTAATAGTCGACTCGAGGAACAGGGCTTCAGAATCTGGATTATACGCGCGGGCTTCCGGGGAGGCGTCGTGGGGAGTCCCTGGTAGAAATGGCAGTTAGATCAGATACCACATACAAGTACAGGCAGGAGAAATTCAACATACAGTATGTAGGCGCAATCACAATCTGCGCCCCGTCGACGACTAGTTCCCGGAATGCCTCGGGGAATGCCAGATCCCAGCAGATCAGCATCCCCACGCGACCGATCGGAGTGTCGATTGCCACATGGGGCTCTGGGCCTGAGGAAGTGAGGTGGGGTCGTTCTGGGTGCCAGATGTTCTTTTTGCGGTAGGAGCCGAGCACAGTGCCATCGTTTGAGATGAAGTAGGCTGTGTTGTAGAACAGGGTTGATCCATCGGATCCTGTATGCTTTTCGATGATTGTACCCGGTACGATGCAGATTTGCAGTTCCTTGGCCAGGCTTTGGTAATTTGCTAGGTACTGAGCGGATTCGCCGGCTTGGACTGCCCAACGGGGGTCTGTGGGGACCATGCCGCTTAGATGATATCTTGTTGTTTTGAATCAGCTAGTGTTCATTTGTTTTGGGAGCTATCGAGTGTCGTTGGACAGAAACACGTTTCTTACTCTGGAAGAACAGCTAGCTCGGCGCCTTGGGCAGCGGCCTCACTGATGTAGTCGCATGCTGTTGTATGATTATACCCAATGTCAAGCTCCTGGGATACTGTAAGCAAATCTGATCGCAAGGGGTCTGCACGTCTTCAATGGTTCGAAGCGCAACTCGATGCACTCACCTTGATCTGCCATTGAATTACGGCAATGCGATGCGTAGCGGCCATGATATGTCAATTCTACAGGTACAAAAAACGATTACAATGAAGAGAAGAAAGAAACTGTGGGAATTAATTACTATAAATGGTCCTCCACCGGTTACCCCAACATGAAGTTGGAGAAATTGGGGTCAATGATCTCAAGAATGCTACCCCAACCCCACGCCGATCAAATTGTCTATCCAAGAAATCAACATATCCAGTACAAGAATAGAAGTGGCCTTTGTCCTTCACGTAGTTCCATTCGGATCCGTCTGACTAAAGATGGAACTGGGGACTTTATACGGTTCTAAACATTTGTGCCAATCCTTTACAAGTACATAGTGTCAGCCTCCCAGAAAATATCACTCCGCAATCTCAACAACCAACTTCGAACAACTCACCCCGCGGAATAGCAGATCTAACCCAGCATTAATAGCTTCTAAGCCCTTTCCCACGACTCTCGGCTCCGGACTCGGCCTGATGGCCCCATTCGCAAGGTTTTCCCTGAGCCACGTCCCCAACCAATATCGGAACTGAGCCAACCTCTCCCCTGCGTCCCTTTCGTCCATCGACGGCAGCACAAAGATGGTTTCCACTCCGTTCACCTCCTCCGCATCTGGGGGAATAACCGGCGCCGACCCGATCTTCGCCTTCTGCTTCTCTCCCCCTTGATCATCCCCCAAGAAAGCCTTAAGCACAGCCTGACACGGCGCCAGCTTCCCCGTGGCAAGAAAGCAGTGCCGAATGACTAGGCCGTCCTCTCTGGCCGCCGAAACAATTGCATCTACAACCTGCGGCTCGTTGTAATCGAAGACGCGATCTGCGCCCAGGGAGCCGACGTACTTATGATTCGCCGCCCCGGCCGTGGCATAAACGGCAGCGAAAGAAGAGTCGCGATTTTCCCGCAGTACCCGGGCGCTTTGCACGCCCATCGTGCCCACGCTAGAGGAAGCGCCCCAGATCAATAGGACGTCTCTCTTTTGTTTCTTATTTTGAGTTCCTCCGCTGGTATCGGCGCCGACTGGGACAGCGGAGACGGAAGAAGACGCAGTGGCTTCCCCCATCCGTGGAATCCCCATAATATCCCACGCGTTAAGGGGTACCTCAACGGCGACGGGCAAGGTTGCCGCTTGATTCCATGAAATACCCTCATCTGGAAGAGGCACGGCGTGCTGCCAGGGGATAAGGCACCGCTCCTGAAAGGCGCCGTAGTCAGGGTTGCAGGACTTCCAGACGGAGGCGGCGTAGGCGGCGACGCGAGTGATCCCTGGTCGGAAAAAGGGGCCCGGGCCTTCGTCGGTATCACCAACGGGGACATTTTCGCCGACCTCGAGGACTAGCCCCGAGATGTCGAACCCGATGACCGTGGGGTAGGTGGGTATGAAGAGGCCTTGATCGCGCATGTGGCAGTCTGCCGGGTTGAGCGCTACGGATTTGACCTCGACGAGGAGCTCGCCTGGGCCTGGTTTCGGCGTGGGGCGGGTTTGGAGCTTGAAGGGCTCACCTTTCGCGAGGGAGACGGCGGCGAGGTGGGTGACCATTCTGGACTTCTTGTGTAAGACAGGCCTTGGAGTTGTGGAATTTTATGTGGACCGAGTCTGATATTCAAGTTTCATTCTTCGGATATCGAGGAATACCCTTCTTCTTATACATTGAGCTGGTTCCAAGTTCATTACTCTTGCAGTGCGACCTTGCCTCGATTATAGATGGACGGCTTCAGGGTAGAACTCGCAGCCAATCAGAGACGTCTGCATCCGAGAGACAGCTAGCGTGAAAGGTGGAGTATCCGAAAGAGGGTTAGCTTATGGGGTGCCTACTTAATGTCGTTGGGGGAACACGACGGCCTCCACCTGCATTGAATCCCCCATCGAGCTAGGTGAGATCCCTCACAGCCAACCTTGAAAGCTGATCAGGCATGGCTTCGACTTGTCCAAGAGAGGTTCGGGAGCGTAAGACTCTGCGGAGGTCAAGATTTGGCTGCCGAAATTGCAAGCTTCGAAAACTCAAGGTGGCTGGCCCTAGGCTTTCAATAATCCGATGCTTGGCTGACTGAATTTCGTTGGCCTACTAGTGCGACGAAGGCAAACCACAGTGCAAGAGTTGTAGTTCATTCGGGGTATTTTGCAACTTCATGTCTAACGTCCCCGACCTCCAGCCCGTCGCCGCTGGGACAGGGCGGCCATTGGTGGCTCAAGGAAAAGCAGAGCTTCAGCCCCCTCTCACAAATGCTGTCTGGACATCTGACGCATCGACATCTTACCAACTGAACGCAAAGTGTCAGGATTTTATAACCCGGTATCTTGGACGAAGTCTCATTACTCCAGACGACCCTAATATGATACAAGTTAATCGCAAGCTCCTGAAACTTGCCTTCGCCGTAAGTTTATTATATCAATCATGTCCGATCAGACAGAATGAAAGCCGGATTATTATCCATCTTGAACCTGAGCTCAGCTAACATATGGTTTAAAGTACCCTTTCTTAATGCATGCCTCTCTAGCTGTGGCGCTTACATATGACCGCCATCTAAACGGCTCCTTGGGCTGTCGTCGCACTGTAGAAGAGTGCTATCACTGGTGTCAAAGCACATTTCTCTTGAACAAGCGGCTAAGGGAACCAATTGAAGCAAAAGATAAGGATCCAATCTGGGGTACTGCGGCTGCTCTGGTTATTTTAATCTTTTCGTCCCCCGATGCATGCATACCGGAGCAAGCGTGGCCTCTAAAGTCCTCCGGCTCCTCCGACTTGGACTGGGTGCGTATGAGCAAGGGTAAAATGTCATTGTGGCACATGGTTAACCCGTTGCGACCGGACAGCCTTTTCCGCGTCATGGCGGCGACCTATGCTCATATGCATTCACCACTGCCAGAGAGAGGCATAGATGGTATACCAAGGGCGTTGGCTGCCGTGTGTAACCTCAAAGACTCATCTACGGCGGAAACTAATCCGTATTTCCATGCTGCCCATGCGGTATCCCAGATCCTGGAGCTCCAGGATAGTGAGGTCACAATAGGTCAGACTCAACTCTTCATGCGGAGTATCCATGGCCCTTTCGAGGACTTGCTCCGGGAAAGGGACCCTTCAGCGCTATTATTGCTCTATCTATGGTACCGCAAAGCAAGTCGCAGTATATGGTGGATTGAACTAAGGGCTAGAGTGGAATGTCCTTCTATTTGCTTGTATCTGCGACTATATCATAAAAAGAATGGTGCTGTACAGGCATTCCTTCCGGGAGGAGCTCTCACGGATGGGTGGAATTAGTCGAGCTTTCGAGGCCTCAAGTCCCCCTCTAGAATTGTTAATATGAACACTGCAACAGTAGTCTCTACGATCCCCGTTGCTAAATGAATTCTACAAGAGTAGTCGGCCGCGTATGCGGCCTCTGTCCTTGACGACGTATGACTATACTAATCTGATGTATTTGGCTTAAGATGATATAATCGGCGATGCACGATAATCCTGATAATACTCTGATGTCTTTTTGAATGTTCTTGTCAAATATCTGAAAATATATCTTTTCAGTTGTCTTTTTATATGTCCTTTTTTTAGATATTCTTTTGTTCTCGGTGAGTAAAGAAGGTATATATAAAGAGAGTGGAGTGTCTGTAGGTAAATCTACACGAGAGATACTCCAGGGCTGTAACTGCCAGACACCTTAGAAAGTAAACATCTTCCAAAAGTCGAAAATTCGCAGAACCAACTAAGTTTGTCATACCCCTGTAGTGAAGCTGAGATGAGACAAACAACGGCAGTCCCGAGGTAAACCAACGTCGAAGTCCAATTTTAATTCCGACCAGATCTTGCATGCTGCTTATCTGCGTTTCTGATCTGTCAAGTAAATATTTCGTACTTCGTACTCCATACTGTCTTTCGCTTAGATTTTCGAAGAATTCTAGAAAATCCTGGCAAGAATGCTGGCAAGAATGCTGGCCCTAGGAGGTTAGGAGTCCCGATTTCTGCGAAAGAAGATTGTTATGCTATCTTGGCAGCTAACTGTGTAACACTATCTTCCACTATGGAGTTCGGAATGGCTAAGACATACACGGGGCATGCTTCAGTATCTAGAAAAGATCATCCCTTCAAATAAAGAATGTCGGGCCGCCCGTGCCGCTTATTTTCTCTCATTTCAAGGGCATATATGGGCCCCCTCGCATTTCTTGGGATCTCTTGGATTTCTTGGATCTCCCATCAGCAGGTTTCGGTAAGAATGCAAGTAAGAAGGCGTGAGACACGTCGATAAATAATTGGAGAAGACGCAATACCCTTCCACTGCCAAGTATAGGGCGTCCTATCGTAGATGGAGAATGCACAAGGTCACAACGGACCAATTAGAAAGGGGTAAATAGTGATATTTCGGCAGCCCTAACAGCATAGGGGTAATTCTGCTAGGAACGGGCCACGACATAGCCGGAATGAAAAGTGGGCCGATCTAGAACATCCCTTCAATATTAGGCAGCTACAATATATTAATCTTAAGGTGATGGGCGAGTTTCAGGATTTTGGGATGTATAAGATGCCAAGATAAAGTAGTTCATCACATGCATCTGCAACTCAGGGATGTGCTTATATCATACGGAGTACATGCAAGGCCGAGTAGTGAAACCCGATTCAAAATCCTTCCGAGTATGTACTCCGTAAAAGCTTATCGAGAATGGAGTTGGGAATCCACTAAAGCTATTTATTGTTTTGTTGTTTTTCTATATGTATTTTCTTCTATTGCTTCATATTATTACATTATTACCTCAATATCATACTTCCAAGCGTATTTACATCACCAAAGCCTAAAACCTTGGAAGAAATACACTTTGCTTCGCCACAAAACTCGACGAAACGGGACAAAAGGGATCGGCAGACCACGTTTTCTGTGGCAGCTGACAATACCATACCGTAATGTAATCTTCCCGCATGCGTGATTTTCCTATCGCAGCTATTAACAGGATTTTTTATTAATTCTTTTTCCAGGTTCAACTATTTTCCACATTTTTCCATTCCTCCTCTTCTTCACTTCCCTCCGTTATGCCCTCGATCATCTTTACGCACAATTGTGGCTCAATGCCACGCGGCTAAGAGCGGCGTTCCCCGTGGTCTCTTCCTGCACGAGTCAAAACTCTCCGCTCGGTAGCGATCGACGGAACCACATGTACGCCGAAAAGAAAAAAAAAAACAAAGTCGAAATGTAAAAGCTAATAATTCGATAGGATTGAAAAATTCCCCTCCTTTCGAGAGCATCCCATCTCGACATCCTCCCCTCCACGGCCAGTGCCAGTGGTCTCCGCTTGGCAACGGTCTGGCCGCAGTCCGTTCAACATGTTCTCGGCCTTTCTTCGCTGGGCGACATCCTACAAGGAAAAGGTCCCGTTTCTAAACGAGCTGCACCTCAATTTTATCTTTATACACTACACCTACATCATATCATGGGCTATCATCGGCTCCATCATCGTTTACCCCGGTGGCAACATCACCTACATCGATGCCCTCTTCCAATCCGCCGGCGCCGCCACCCAGAGCGGGTTGAACACCGTCAATCTGAATGAACTCTGGCTGTATCAACAAATCGTCCTATACCTGATCACATGTCTGTGCACGCCGATCTTCATACACAGCGCCCTGGTGTTTATTCGGTTATACTGGTTCGAGAAGCGCTTCCAACATGTTGTCCGTGACGCCCGTGCGATGCGACGGACCCGATCCCGCATGGAAACCGTGACCGATGATGGGGACAGCGGGAATATTAATATCAACCGTGCGGAGGGTGGAGTCAGCGGTCGACCCATTGTGGTGATACGGGATGATTCAGGGGATGCCCGGGACGGTCGATTGACGGATCCGGCGAGCAAGAATATCAATTCGGGCATCAACACACCAGAAGCTCGGGAGAGCAGTGCCGACTCCAGCTCCGAGGGAACAGACCCGGCTAACGAACCTCGTTTTGGCCTCGGCAGCTTGAAAGTGCCAACCCATCTGAAACCCGAACACCACATCGCCTTCTTAGAAAAGCAGCGGAGGGATAAAGGAGCTCTACGCATTCCCAGTCCCCGGGAGTATGACCGCGGTGGCGCGCCTGAGGCCTTGGAAGAAGATGTGAACCAGGAGGGCGAGCAGGCTCAGCACTCCAGTGACTACGACGACCAAGACGACCAACAGAGCCCCGTTGCACACCCCGAGGAGCTCGATCAGCTTGGTCCACTTGAAGGACCACACATCACCATCAACGAGCCAGATATCCCACGAACCCGTCCACGCGGTAATACGTTCCCTCGTCTGGAAACTCGCCCCACTTTCCGGGATACCAAAGATGGGAATGAGACTACCACTCTTGCCCCTACTAACACACGGAACACCTTCAGGGGAGTGTTCCGATCTCTGACACAAGAGCGTGACCTTTCCACTCAGCCATATCTCAGTTGGAATGCGACAGTGGCTCGTAACTCCAATTTCGTCGATTTGACTGAGGAGCAGCGTGATGAATTGGGCGGTATCGAATACCGTGCGCTGAAGACCTTGGCCGTTGTTCTTATCACCTACTACGTCGGTTTTCATCTCATCGGTATGCTTAGCATGGTCGGGTGGATCATGACAGCGGACAAATGGGGCGATGTTGTCCGGGCAGATGGAGTTGGGCGGCCGTGGTGGGGAATCTTTACCGCTGCGTCCGCCTTTAACGATTTGGGGTTCACCTTGACACCTGACTCGATGTACTCCTTCCAAAGGGCAGTTTTCCCTTTGCTGATGCTAGCGTTTTTAATTATCATTGGAAATACTGCCTTCCCATGCATGCTTCGTTTGATGATCTGGGTTCTTTCAAAATTCACCCGCCAGGGCACTGCGCTATGGGAAGAGTTGAAGTTTCTTCTGGATCATCCCCGTCGATGCTTCACTCTATTGTTTCCGCGTAATGCCACTTGGTGGCTGTTTGCGATTCTCATCGCATTGAACGGCATCGATGTGATCTTCTTTGTCATCCTGGATGTGAGTTTTGGATATCTCTCCTTCTACGCGATTTCCACTGACCATGAGTTCTGTAGCTCAACGATTCTGCCGTCACTGCACTACCACCCGGGATCCGAGTTCTGGACGGCTTCTTCCAAGCTGCCGCGACTCGAACAGCCGGTTTTGGAATCATCAGCCTTTCAGAACTTCACCCAGCCATACAAGTTTCCTATTTGATCATGATGTATATTTCAGTCTTTCCCATCGCTATCTCTATGCGTCGAACCAACGTCTACGAAGAGAAGAGTTTGGGAATTTACGATGTCACAGACGAGGATCACGAAGATTCAAATGCCCCCACCTACATCGGAGCTCACTTGCGACGCCAGCTGAGTTTCGATTTGTGGTATGTCTTTTTGGGTCTGTTTATCATTGCCATTGCGGAAGGAACAAAATTGCAGAACGTGAACGACCCCGCCTTCCAGCTGTTCACTGTTTTGTTTGAAGTTGTCTCGGCATACGGTACTGTGGGTCTGTCGTTTGGATACACAAATGTCGACACCTCCTTCTCGGGGCAATTCAATGTAGTCTCCAAGTTGGTGATTATTGCCATGCAAGTCCGAGGTCGCCACCGTGGCCTGCCTTACGCACTTGACCGCGCCGTCCTTCTCCCCTCCGACGCCCTCAATCGACATGAGGCCGAAGAGGGAGAGCGCCGCATGCGCCGCCGCGCATCCAATCTCAGTGGTGGTGGGTCTTTCGCCCAAGCGCAATCGCGTACCTTATCTCAGGCGAGAAACGATGCTGGTCTGTCTTCGGGTATGGATGCCTATGACTGGCAGCCCCAGCCTGCTCCGAATGGAGACACTCTGATACATCGTTCCTCGACTATCCGATCCAATCGGTAGAAAATGGGCGGAATCCTTTTTTTGTTCATAGCTATTAGAGGCTTGGTGTTCTACATACGTGCCCTGGAGGTTCGATTTCATTTGCATTCCAAGGTTACACATAATTATGGAGATATGGACCTTTATCCTGCCACCGGTTTGGTAGATTGTGGGGTCAAAACTTGGCCTTTTGACCAATTTTGATAATCGTGATTTAAATGAAAATTGCAATTCCGTCCAACCGGGGAAAAGCAGGGATTGATGATATATACTTGAACCTTGCAGGTACTACTAGTAGATATAAAACGACGAAATAGACTAGGATATTTATAGCGAGGTGATCCGTGGATCCGCAAGCGGGAAAGGATCTGCGCTTTTCCATTATAGGACAAATTATATACCTAGGTACTTCATATATGTATCCATGACGACAAACTCGATAGCTTTTTTTTAACATCACAAGGTTGTAATCTACGTAGACCATAGAACACAACTCATCTCGAAATCCAACTACACAGAATCCTTTATCTCAAATATATCAACTTTCACCATGGACAACCGACAACTACCATATCTAGATCGTTACAGCGGGGCCATACCCACTCTCGAAACCAAATCCCCAATCGCAACCTCCGGCCAACCAGAAGGAGACAGAGACGCCCCAGCCCAAACACCCTGGTATAACCCACGGGGCTGGTCCCTGCGCACGAAACTCATCGCCAGCGCAACAGCCATAGTAACCATATTGGCTGCAATCCTGGTCCCCGTCGAAATAATCCAAAACCGCTACCCAAACTACACACCCCTGAACTACACCCTCGCAGACGAGTACTCGGGCCCAAACTTCTTCGAACAATTCACCTATTTCACAGACGAAGACCCAACAAAGGGCTTCGTCGTCTACGTCAACCACTCAACAGCCAGAAACCTAAACCTCACTTATGCATCCGAAACATCGGCCATCCTGCGCGTCGATGCATCAACCCCAAACGCCCGTTCTGGGCGGAACTCCGTCCGCATCGAGTCGAGAAATACATATGACTCGGGTCTCTTCGTCTTCGATATCATTCATACTCCCTTCGGCTGCGCGACCTGGCCTGCTCTGTGGTTAACCGATGGCTATAACTGGCCGATGAATGGCGAGATCGATGTTCTTGAAACTACAAATGTTGGAAGCCATGGGAATGAAATCAGCATTCATACTACCAAGGGGTGCAATATGGATGTCAAGCGCAAACAGACCGGTCGGGCTATCTTTGAGCATTGTGATAATGCCACGAACGGAAATTCTGGCTGTGGTGTCATCGGCGATGAGAATAGTTACGGCGAGGCAATGAATAACCGCGGTGGAGGTGTTTATGCTCTTGAACTTCGGGACGCGGGTATTCGAGCTTGGTTCTTCCCGAGTGGAAATATCCCTGCTGATATCACCGCGGGGAATCCTGATCCGAGTAGCTGGGGCATTGCGCTGGCAGATTTCCCGAGTACGGATTGTGACATTGCGGCGCATTTCAAGAATCTGAGTATCATTGTCAATATTGATCTCTGTGGTGAGCTTGCTGGTCAGAAGCAGTATTATGATACTTTGTATCATTGTCCGGCGACTTGTTCGGGCTTTGTTGCTAGCAGTCCTGGCAGCTTCGTTGATGCTTATTGGGAGTTTAAGAGTTTCAAGGTATATCGTGTTTCTTGAGCTTGAAGAGATGGTGAAGGCTAGGGGTTCTTTTTTGTTCTTATTTTGCTATTTGCTAGTTGATATGATTCTTGGATTGATCTGAAGCAAAGAGGAAAGTTTCTTGTGGGAGCGTGTCTCCCTTTTTTGTTGTTTGGTGGGCTTGTGCTCTGGGTGTTTGGTGTTGGGATGTATGTACTCTGGGGAAGTCGATGCAGACTTTGCTCAAGCTATGGCGTTGGTTATCCATAGTGGCGTACGAGCAGACAAATGAGGACACCTTTTTCTTTCATGATGTTTGTAATTTCAAATCTGAGTAGTGGAGCGTTATTGCATAGTAGATCAGGGCAAATTCAGAGATAGTCGAGTTCTGGAGCCAGACTCACGATGAGGCAGGCTTGGCTGAGTATCAGACACATCTGTGATCCACGCCGGATAGGATATCAACTCGAATGCCCCAGTGAAAATAGCAGTTAATATGAGCCAGATAATTGAGTCAGTAATGCATGTCATCCCTGATTAGACTAAATCTTAGCCACTTGCACCGTCAAAATAAGCCAAGTCCACTTGCAACTCCCCACCGGGCATTCATACTCATCCCGTTAGGTACCGTGGGCATATCCTCGCTCCCAAATGTGTTCGTAGACATCTGCTGGGCTTTTTCTTTTTAGCAGGAACCTAACAGTCTCTCGAATAAAACTCACCTTGAAGCTCATGCTCTCGGGTCGTCGCTCTCATCACTGTATCGCTCCTCGCCATTCTCCTCATATTCCCTGTTGTCAATATCGCCCCACCACCATCCTTCTCCAGAAACTTCGATTGTATCATCGATGCGGTGCAGTAATTTCCCAGAGAGGTGTATAGCGCCTCCTTTCCACCACAGGTTAGCGTTAATTGGGCCAATCAATGCCTTGAACTCTTGGCAATATGGCTTATCCTCGGCGAGATCAAAGTAGTCCACGTGGGCATTGTTGACTATGAGGCGTAGATCAGTGCTCACAGTGCCGGTAAAATAGTGTCTCTCTCCATCATTAGTCTGGATCAAGGCACGTATTCTCCCCTTGTTGCAGGTCGGACTGCCTGGAGATTTATGCGCCTCGCGCGGTTGGCTAGTATATCCTTGATTCATCTTTGTGGAAAATTTTGTGGTAATGAGTAAAGTCAGAATGGCGTTCGAGGGAGTTGATCAGTCTAAATATCCTTTTATGCGTTGGATGAAGCGGGTCAATAGGATGGATAGTTCTCGGCGCGGCGATGTCACAGCAACTTAGATGGTGTGATGGCCACTTCTCGAAGCCTTCGGTGGAAAATCAAAGAGATATTAGAAGAGCCTTGGATCGCAGTGAGAAATGAGTTGAGAAATAATGTCAAAATAGATGTGAGAGATAGATATTCAGTTTTACTTCTTTGCTAAACGAACATAGAATGGGTATCTCTAACAAAGATAAATCGTCCGTCAAGCACAATCAACTCCCAAGAATTCATCTCCAGATCAAAAGACGCGGAATGCATCAACACTAACGAGATTGGACTCAACCTCGCAGTGTCGCAGTGTGGGGAGCCAGTGGCCCAAGTAAATAAACCCTAGGTATACCAAAACAAAATCCCGTGAAATAACAATCATGACATCGTAGGAATAAACATAAGAAAGAAAAGAAAAACAAAGTAAATGAAACAAAACTATAGCTGCCGGAGCAGACTTCCATCTGCAAAGGGGTTCTCCGGAGACATATCCAACAACGGCCGTGTGGCAGTGCGGTCACCCGTTGCGACGCCATGTCCGCTGCGCGGATTTCGATGACTAGCCGTGCTGGCTGAATGTGCCAGCAGGCTGTTGGCGGTGAACTGCGTATCGGGGAGTGCCGGGCTTCCTTCAGCAGAAATTGGGCCCGCATATTTGTTAGAATGATGGCGCACGCTGCGGGTGGTGTTTCGCCGCTGAGGGGTGGTGTCTGCGGCCGGCCGTCGCCACGAAGTCGCGGGTGGGATGGCGATTCCTCCCGGGGTCTGATCTGGACCAGTGGCACCGTCGATCAGTTGCATGCCTGGTTGGACTTTGACGCCGCGACCCTTGCCCTTGCGGCTATGCTGCGGTGGCTCCGCATAGACTGGGGTGAGATCGACCAGAGGCTTCTGGTTGAGAGATGGGGTTCGAGTGAAAGCGGATGAATCAGGAGCACGAGTCATTGTGTTGGTCCGGCTGTTGGGATTTGAGTCGTGGCCGGGGGTGTGTATGGATCCTCCGCTCAAAAGGCCATTGCCTGAAAAGGCTTCCTGCTTAGCTCTCTTATCGCGATCATCCCGTTCCCGCATAGCAGTTTGTCGCTGAGTGTAAGTTCGGCCTAGGAGTCCGGATGGTGCAAAAGTAGAATTTTCTACTTCTTCGGGCGAAATGCCCGAGCTCAATGCCTGGTTGTCGGTGAAAGGTCCTTCCAGATCGGTGTCGAGCGTCAGGGTCTGGGGATATGAAGATGGAGGGGGCACGTGTCCACGAAGGGTCTTCTTCCGGGCAAACACGTCTTTAGAGCTTGTCGGCCTCCGTTGATCAGAGCTTTCACGCTTCGGGGATTCGGTCGAAGTCTCCCGTTGAAGCAGTGGGGTTTCGTTGTGCACACTTCTCGGCTGACGAGTCGATTTCTGCGTGCCAGCGCGCTTCACGAGTGTTTCGGTCTCTGGTTTCTGGCCTGCTCCTTTCTTATTGACAAGATACCAGCTTCTCCACTTTTGTACTGCCCGGTACCATGTATCTGCAATAGACTTGTCGCTGGTCGAGAAAAAGTGCAAAAAGTTTTCGGTGGACAGAAACATGGAAGATTTCTGTTGGCTCTTAATTGCGAAGCATAGCTTCTTAGGCGGTTTGATATCCTTGTTTAGAGCTCGAGCGCTGGGAAAGTAGATGTCATAGTCGGATATATGGCAGATATTGGTCTGCTCTTTGGCATCCTCTTTTTTTGCGATTGTCACTTGTCCATCAGCACGCAAGGTGACATATCGCTTATCCCACTTGCGACGACGCTGAGAATGGTAAATATGGACAGTCACTGGGGATGGTTGCCCGCTGGGGGCATGCCCAGCATCGAGCTGAGTTAGGGCTTCCACGCTGGAAGGGGGAATAACAATGAACTGGTTATCCCCATCGTGTGACCAAGAATTCATGACTTCCCGGACATGCTCGTAGCGGCGGAGGGGACGCTCTAGACCAACTTGAGAGAAAGACTCCATAAGAATGAATTTATCCGCATCAATGTCCCGAGATAAGTGCTTAGTAGCATCTAGCAGTATATCCCGGACTTGAGTTGACGGGGTGACAGTGAGATCCGCAGTAGCATCTCCATATTTGACAAGCGCATGGCGCTCTCCGGCGTTGACAGCGCTGACAGGAGCATCAACTCCTGGAACCACTCCGGTTCCGCCCACGCCAATATATTTCGGGAGGGGCTCATTTTTCTTGACGTGGTCCTTGGATCTTGAAAGTTTGACCTTCTGAAAGAAAGACTTGCGATTCCCATCGTTTGCCGAATGGGCACTGCGCGGGGGATGCGCCAGGGCAGGTTGCGATCGGGGTTGTTGCGCGACCTGTTTTTGCGGGGCGGACAGCTGAGGCCGCCGAACGTGTTGCGCTGAGTTATCCCCTCCAGTCAATTGTTCCATCGCACCTTGTCGGTGCACCTCATGTATGCGCGATTCCTCTTCATTTTGCGTCGCCAAAGGGCGACTGGTCGTGGCCCGTTCTCTTTCTCGTAGTTCACTCCGCTGCTCCTCCCGCTGAGTCCGCGCGTGGCCCGGGATCGCCGGAGTAGGAGGTACGATATTTCCATTTGACGGTGGTCGATTGCGACGATATCGAGACCTGCTCCTCGCGATCGAGGGATTCTGCTCGCCGACGGTATTCGCAGGCGCAGGTGGTGCGGCCATTTCGACGTCGCCGGTTGTCACACCTCGCATGCTACGGTATCGAGAGAACTTCTGAGGGACGGACTGCGCTGTGGCTGTCACACTGTTCTCACTCATGCTGGAGTTTCCTCACTTGAGGTTCGCCCCCAGAGGGCCTAGGCGCAAGAGTTTCGTAATCTGTCTCAAGTTCTATTGCCAAGATGAGGTTAGCGTCGCCTTGACACCAAACGGCAATTTCCCGTAATTTCCTTCAGATCGAAGATCGGTGGTGCGACTCTCCAATTCAGGGTCCTAATAGTGTAGAGAAGGTAGAAAACACAATTGAAACAAATGTGGGAAAAGGTCACTGTGGGATTGGGACTAAACAAAATCCCTCCTCACGATCAAACCGGCCTGTTCTCAATCGACCATTCGCGCCTCGTTGGGGGCAAAAAGCGACCCGCACCGATCGTCAATTGGGCCGGCCTAGGCTGGGGGGTGCATGGGGTTTGCTGGGTTGGATAGGCCATTGGGATAGATCATATATGGATTGAACTCACCGAAGTACTTGGCAAAAGATCATCGAGTGTGAGAAAAGAAAAACAACTGCCCAGGTGCCCAGGTGCCTTGATACCCCGATGCCCCAGTGCTCAGGTTTCGCGGCTAAACATTTCCGCATCTGCCGACGCGCCGCATGCGGTTTCACGCGACTGACGCCCTACGGAGTACGGGGTATAATATACTGACCTAATGGAGTATGCGATATATGATCGACAGGTACGGAGTACTCCGTACTATTGGCTTTATTAACACCATTAGATTGTTCAAAACGTGAGACTATTATTGGACGATGTCCACGGGTCCACAGGGCGATCAGATCTGAGTGTCTCACTCCAAGTGCACTTGCTATTCTTCACAAATGGGGGTATCATGAAGCTAGCCTCGTGGAAATGGTTCAGATGATGTTCCGGTGCTGTTCCATACACAGAATATACAAGTTCCAAGGGGTTGGTGAGAGTTCCAAGGTTATTACTGACTCTGGCTAGCTGATCTCCTTGATGGGCTTAAATCTCCTTTCTGATTTTCAATTGGGCTTTTATCCTTCTATATTTGAATCATTCATACAACGTGAATGGGTTTAAATCGAGCCTATTTCCTATAAGCACCCAATTCCCGGCGCCTGTGAGTTATTAGCATAGACCTACAAGCAAGGTATACAGGGATACCAGGTACACCCCATGAAGAGAACTTACCACCACGCGATGAAATCCACTGTCCGCACATCAATCCCAAGCTCAGTCAGTGCCTTGGTAGAGAGATGTGTATCATACGGCCGTACGACACCCGCATTAGGATCATTGCCCTGCTTATTGGGGATCATTCCGGGAATGGCAACACCCATCACCTGAGCCAACTTCTGACAGATCTCATACTTGGTCATACGGTCCTCGGACGAGAATTGCAGGATACGAGGGAAGTCCTTGCGCTTCTCCTTCTCGCGCAGGTACTTGATGACAATGTCCCTACACACGCGCGCAACGTCCTCGGTGTTGGTTGGGTACCGTATGGCCCAGTCGTCCATCTTCACACCGGCGTTTTCATCCGTGGCCTTCTTGACTGCGTCGACGAGGGTGTTGACCGCGCTCTCCGAATTCTCCTTGGCGTTGCCGTACAGCACCGGTACGCGCAGCACAATTCCCATGCCTGATTCACTGGTTGCTTCTAGTACGGCCACCTCGCCATCACGCTTCAGTTGCCCGTAAAGGTTCGGTGGCTTGGTCTCGGCATCGGTCTCGTAAGGTGCGTCGCCTTCGGTGCCAGGGAAGACGTAGTCGGTCGAGATGTAGATGAGGAAGGCGCCGCGAGCTTGGCATTCTTTGGCCAGCGTGCGAGTAGCGTCGACATTGACCTTGCGGGCTTGATCTGGGTTCTTGTCACAGAGGTCTGGGGACTTGTTTGCGGCACCTGTGAGTTGTCAGTCTATGATGGGGGTTGGTTGAGCCGGCTTATTGGCTTACAATGGATGACAATCTGAGGCCTGCGGATAATCCAAAGCTGATTAATGTCTATACTCAAAATCTAAGTGGAAATACATACTTGACTTCATCGAAGAGCATCTGAATGTCTTCCTCCTTCTCCAGGTCGGCCTTCAAGATAGTAGGCGGGGCAGGGCGGGAGAATCCCTGGCCAACAACCAACACACCCGAGTGCTGAAAAGTGTTGAAAACAGCACGGCCAAGAAAGCCACTGGCTCCAGTAACAAGGACTGTAGATGTCATTTTCGATGTAGTTATGGGTTAATTGAGGAAGATGGGGGATGCTCTTTTTTTTCCTCTAAAGACGCGGGGCCACTGTGACGTAACTGACTTCTCCCAGATGTGGATATAGCAGTTAAGACACAGTTAACTCACCTATCTAGGCAGGTTAACACATATCAATTGGATCAATTCAATAAATTTCACTCATTTCTGTGTTTTATATTTCTGTGTTTTATGCATGGCGTTAAGATATGCCTTATGATATCATGATTAGCGCTCTGCACTTGGGCGAATTGAGCTGTGTAACTAGGTACAGGATATATATAAATCTCATGCTGATCCCTACACTGTATTTACTAAATTTACTTTATTTGCATAACAATATCGATTTAAACTACCACCCTAAACAATATAAACTGCTTTTAAAGACCCTGTAAGCGTTGAATATAGAATGCCGAAAATCTCCGAGGTCGAATCAAAATCGGCGGGGACCTGGGCGCTCTCGGAGGCAGATCGGAGCATTGGAGCATCTCCACTTGACATTCTAAAAATTGTTTCCTCTTGTCATTCCTCAGCCATGTCTGGTGCCAGGAACATCACAGCTGCTTTGCGGCGGGCCAGAGTGCCTCGTTCCCGTTTTGCTATTCGCACCGTCCAATCCATCACACCCTTGACTACGCGCACCTTCAGCGCCGGCTCCACTCGCAACTCCGATTCCCGCCAAATCAAGTTCACTAGCGACGCCTACCCCAACCTCAAGCGCAACCCCAACTTCGCCGAGATCTCCGCCGACGATGTTGCACACTTCAAGGAGCTTCTGGGCTCCCAATCTGCCGTGATCGATGGCGTGACCACCGACGCTACGGACGATATCGAACCCTTCAACAGCGACTGGATGCGCAAGTACCGTGGCCACACCCGGCTTGTTCTGAAGCCCCAGAATGCACAGGAGGTCAGCAAGGTGCTGAAATACTGCAACGAGCGCAAATTGGCCGTCGTGCCCCAGGGTGGAAACACTGGTCTTGTCGGTGGTTCAGTGCCGGTCTTCGATGAGATCGTCATCAACACTTCCCGCATGAATCAGATCCGCTCTTTCGATGCTGCCTCCGGTGTGCTGGTCGCTGATGCCGGTGTTATCCTTGAAGCCGCTGACCAGTATCTCGCCGAGCGGGAGCACCTCTTCCCTCTGGACCTGGGTGCCAAGGGGTCCTGCCATATCGGTGGAAATGTTTCCACCAACGCCGGTGGCCTGCGTCTCCTCCGCTACGGCAGTCTGCACGGTAGTGTGCTTGGCCTCGAGGCAGTCCTGCCGGACGGGACTATCGTAGATGCCCTGTCGACTCTACGAAAAAACAACACTGGCTACGATCTCAAGCAGTTGTTCATCGGCTCCGAGGGTACCATTGGCCTCGTGACTGCTGTCTCTATTCAGTGTCCCCCGCGCCCCAAGGCGGTTAATGTGGCTTACTTTGGTCTTGAGAGCTTCGAGCAGGTCCAGCAGGCTTACCTCGCTGCCAAGGGCCAGCTCTCGGAGATTCTCTCCGCGTTCGAGCTGATGGACGGTCGCAGCCAGAAATTGGTCATTGAATCTACGGGTAACAAGCACCCTCTTGAGGGTGAGTATCCTTTCTACTGTCTGGTGGAGACCAGCGGTTCCAACTCCGAGCACGACATGGCCAAGCTAGAGTCGTTCTTGGAGAGCGTGATGGGTGACGGCATTGTCGCCGACGGTGTACTAGCCCAGGACGAGACCCAGTTCCAGGCCCTGTGGCGCTGGCGTGAGGGTATCACCGAGTCTCTAAGCCACTTGGGCGGCACCTACAAGTACGATGTGTCTATCCCATTGTCGGATCTGTACCTGCTCGTGGAGGACTGCAAGGCCCGTCTCACGGAGAAGGGTCTGGTCGGTGACGATGACTCTTTCCCTGTTCGTGCTGTTGTTGGTTACGGTCACATGGGCGACTCCAACCTGCACTTGAACGTTGCTGTGCGACAATACAGCAAGGAAGTGGAGAAGGCGATCGAGCCGTGGGTGTATGAGTGGATTCAGAAGCGCCAGGGAAGTATCAGTGCTGAGCACGGACTTGGCGTTGCTAAGCGGGAGTTCATTGGCTACAGCCAGAACGAGACCATGGTGAAGCTGATGAAGCAGCTGAAGAACCTCTATGACCCAGTAAGTGGAGTGTCGCTGCTATGTGTGAGCAATTGCTAACTTTTATTCTTAGAATGGGATCATGAACCCATACAAATATATTTAGAGCTAGTTGCATACGTGGACGCAATGTTGTATAGGGTTGGAGCATAACAAAAGCCGTTGACCGAGAGCAAGTAATAATCACATTATGCACAAGCATGCACAAGCATGTACAACGCACAATCTCCAGGTAAACTAAGTAAATGATAATCCTTTCAAGGCTATATTGGCTATATTCAAGGTAAATCCGATCAGCTGAGTGGACCCCTTGCAGATATACCCCAGTTGCTGCCTGAGGCCACCCGTTGCCATGTGAGACGGAGCTTGTTTGGGGATTTATGCTCCACCCCTTGCCCGTCATCCCCGATGGCCTCTTTACTCTCGTCTTGACCTCTCAAAAGTCCCCAAGCTATTCATTCATTACTTGGATGAGCCCTGTCGACATTCCCTGTCTGACTGGAGTAGCTAGCTGGGCTGAATTATTGCGCAATGGACGACATGGCAAGCCATTACCAGGTGATGGAGGAGCTGGGGAGTGAGTTGACCAAAGCTCTGTTTTTTTTTTTTTTTGCATTTCCGTCGGCTAACCGTGTTCTCCGTTTGCAGGTGGTAGTTTCGGAGTCGTTTACAAGGCCATTGACAAGACCGACGGCGAGATCGTTGCTATAAAACACGTACGCTTTCATGATATTCGATCTTCGAGTTTCAATTTCCCCCCTTTCGTTCAATTGTTGACCCCCTTTTCAGATCGATCTCGAGTCCAGCGAGGACGACATTCAAGAAATCCAACAAGAGATTTCTGTTTTGGCTACCTGCGCTAGCCCCTACGTTACACAATACAAAGCCAGTTTCCTCAAGGGGCACAAATTATGGATTGTTATGGAATACCTCGGAGGTGGTTCCTGTTTGGATTTGGTATGTTTTTGCTGCTATTTTTATCGTGAGGTACATCGCTAACCGTCCCAGCTAAAACCTGGATGTTTTAACGAAGCCCATGTGGCCATCGTCTGCAGAGAACTCCTCCTGGGCTTGGATTATTTGCACAGCGAAGGCAAAATCCACCGTGACGTCAAAGCCGCCAATGTTCTCCTCTCTCAGACTGGAAAGGTGAAGCTGGCAGACTTTGGTGTCGCCGCACAGCTGGTCAACATCAAGTCGCAGCGCAACACATTCGTCGGAACTCCATTCTGGATGGCACCGGAGGTAATCCAGCAGGCTGGATACGACTTCAAGGCAGACATCTGGTCCTTAGGCATCACAGCAATCGAAATGATCAACGGAGAACCCCCGCATGCCAGCACACACCCGATGAAAGTGCTGTTCCTGATTCCGAAGAACCCCGCCCCTCGCCTCGAAGGCAACGAGTACAGCAACACATTCAAGGACTTCATTGCACAATGTCTGACAAAGGACCCGGATCTGCGGCCGAGCGCAAAGGAGCTCCTGAGACACAAGTTTGTCCGGAATGCGGGCAAGCCTGAGGCACTTCAAGAATTGATCCATCGCAAGCAGGACTGGGATGGTGGCCGTGGTGAGGCGAGAGACGTGAAATACTATGCCGAGTCTCTCCACACCATGACCAGGCCCGAGGATCTCGATGATGACGATTGGGTCTTCGACACAGTCAAGGCTCCTCCAATGTGGAAGCCCAAGGGCACAGACTGGATGACATTCGACGAGGAGGACGAAAACACGCCCGATCCAGCCCAGATGCTCGAAGACATGCACATCAGCCAACCGCCACCGCCGCCTAAGCACCAGGCAAACTCCACTGTCCGCCGAGTTCCTACCGACCGATCTCCCTCTGTCAAACGGGCTAACACCAAGCGTCGCTCAAGTGGTGTCAAACAACCCCTTGGTCTGGACTTAACCTACGGCAACAGCCCGTCTACAGTCAGACAGTTCCGCCGGGTATCGGACAAAGTCCCCGCTGATCTGAACCCAGCCAAGCCGGTATTTGATGAGAATCAAAGCCCGAAGACTGTGTCCACCGACACTTCAAGCAAGGAGGCTCAGATCGGACGACGTGCATATAGCAAGGCAGTGGGAATGTCCTGCCAGGAAGTCCTATCAACAACAGGTGATGGCGATAAGCGTGAAGCAATCTCCAGACTCGCCGAAGCCTGGAGCGACCTGGAAATGGTTGACCCCGAAGGCCTCTACCACATCGTCAGGATCATGAACGAGAAGCTCCAAGCTGACTCCCGCCTCTCCACTCTTCTCCCATCCACACAACCCGATTCTCCCTCGCGGCCACGCCTTGTGCTGGCCCAAAACAACCCACACCTCAAAAGCCACCGTCGTCGCCAATCCTACGTCCCCGAACCCCAACCCCAGTCACCCCCATCCGTCCCCGCTCAAGCTGCACCCGGTATGGAACACACCAAACAACTCTCCGATGTCCTCTACCAGCGATGGTCAGAGGGTCTCCGCAATCGCTGGGGCGGCATCTAGTCTCACCCTCAACCATCCTCACGCTTCCAACATCAATCTCAACACACGCTGCTACTCTTTCTTCCATTCGCTGTATAGACCCAATTTGGCGTTCTGACACTTGTACAACTCTTTGCCATTGGCTGCATCCTTGGTGTCCGTTCATTCGTTCTGTTTACTGTCACTTACTCTGGTGGGACTGGTCCCGGAGTTTCTAATGATCTGGTGATCTGGTGTAATCTTTTTGCGCTTTCTTCTGTACTCTCTTTTTCCCGATAGAATGCTGCCTGTGCTTCTGTCTTTGTCTATTGGCCCTTGGTCTTTTGTGTGATTTTTTTTCTAGGTATTTTCCAGGAGTACTAGAACATACTATGTCTGAAATGTGATAAATGTCTTGATTATTTGCATCGCTTCGTATTTCTGTAATGTTTCTTCAATATATCTGTGCCTCAGGTTATCCAACAGATTTATCTGGCGTAAACTCATCCAGCGCTCTACAATAAACACCAAGCTTCCCTTCTTCATACCTTGTAAAACAAGCGGCCAGATTCTGATAGTACATCGACCCCAGCATTGAAGAAAGCCTATCGTCATACCCCATTTCCTTCTCAGCCTCTTCAACGCTGCGCACATAATTTTCTCGCTCCTCCCAATCCTTCCTGGTATCATCATCCAACGGCTTTCCATCGGCACCATATTTCCATGGAAAATCCAGGGCAGGAGGAAGCGTTGACAGGAAAATAGGGAATTCAACCCTCTCCCAGGGAACCGTTCCAGCATGTTCCCAGTCAATAACAGAAAGTACATTAAACTCGGCATCGACAATGACATTGCTATGCAGGAAGTCGGTATGTCTAAGCGGGAAAGGACCCTCATTTCGAACCGTGATATCGAACCGCTGCTCTTTGATCCGTCGTGGGTAATCACCAATCGATGTCACGACCTCGTCCGCATATTCTTCCGGTAGATGATCTCTCATCCATACCTCTGTTTCCGGAAACTTGGTGTGCTCGCCCCATGCTGCGAAATACTCTGTTGTTGTGTTGAATGGTCCCCCTAGACCTGGTATCGCTTCGATCTCGTATGTTCCGTCGTCGCGCTTGGCGATCATGCCGATTTTCGGGAACCGGATTGTTGACATCGCTGCCTGGTTTGCTTGTTAGAGGGATGGGTGGGATACTGGGGGCTCTGGGGTTTGTGAGAGACTTGCATGTATGCGGGATATTTCGTGGTAGAATTTGGTTTTGAATTGAGAGGGTATATGGAAACTATGCGGCCCCATAAAGTCCGTTCCTGTGTTTCCGGGAATGAACTCCATTATCATGAATGCACGGCCAATAAGATCTGGGTCAGTCTCGTAGCCGAAGACTTCTGGGACGGGGACGTCTGTTTGCTCGTGGAGGATAGAGAGAGTGTGGATTTCGTGGAGGAGTCGTTTCTCAAGTTCGCTGGTGAGTTTGTGTCGTTGGATTCGCGCTACCCATTTCGTGCCGTCGTCGAATTCGAGAATTATGGCTAGATGGAGGCCACCCATGTTGTATATTGGGGGAATATGGCAGGTTTTGGTTGTTGAACTATCGTCTTTGCTGTTCCTCAAGCTGATGGCAAATTCCTGGAGAGCGGTCCAGTTGATCTTGGGTACCTGGTTGTCATTTTCGATGTCTGTTTTCCAATTGAGAGAGTGCATGTTTTCTCGAGGTGCAGTTGGTAGAAAGACACAGGAGTGTGCTCAGGTGTAGTATTTTGGGACTGGGAAGAGTTTAGTCGGAATTCATGGAAATATATAGCAGAGCGATGCATCAGGAGCTGCAACTGCAACTAGCGGTGTGATGTATCTTCTACCATACTTATAGACCCAACGTAAAATAAGCATGAAATGTGCCTCTAAAAAAGAAAGAAACCGTTCTGGTTTTGCACTCCTGGGGTGAACCAGGTACATACATATGGAAACCTAACCATATCCCTCCCTATCACAACCCGAGGGCAACTATATATACCCGATAATGCTTGTCAACTACTGCCACAAGCTAGTCGAATAGGAAATAAGAGGGTCAAAATTGTTATGGAGTAAAGCTTCGAAGTTGGTAGACACCAGTAGAGCAAACAAGGTCTACATTTGCTTTTTCGGCGCCTTAGCTCCCTTCTTCGGCTGTCGTCCAGCCTCGCCTTTTCCACCTCTGAAACCCCCATTCTCATCCACCATATTCAACAATTCACCAACTCCCTTCGCACCAATCGATACAGCAACCGCCTCAGTATTCACGAATTCAGCAGCCAGACGCACAGTATTGAGCGTAAATTCCCCATCTTAACGTTCCGTGACAGCTCCATGTTAACTACTGAGAATTAAGCTGGATTTTCAACAGAAAAGACTGTGTTCCTAAAGATATATATTTCAAGGGAACTCTAGACTTATAATTATACTTGAAGTAGCCCCCAGAAAGTAACAGAAAAACCAAAAAACCAATGAACTATTCCAAGAAGTCAAAACTCATCCTCAAAGATTTCTTCAGGATCGAAGTCAAAAGGGGCTGACCCGATTGAAGGAATCCGCGGCGCGGAGGAGATGATAGATTGTCTTGCGGACGGATTATTCGATCCGCTCGGACGTAGAGGTGAAGCCGCTGTATCCAGGGCTTGCGACATGATGTAGGCCAGTTGGTTAGCGACCGCCTGCCAACCTTCACGGGGTTGCTGGAGATGTATATAACACCATTTGCCTTGATGATTGAGCTTGTAGAAGTTAAATTCCCGACCCTCGGTGATTTCCGAGTTAATCCGTCGCCGGGTATGCTGTATGGAAGGGGACACTTCTGTTCGAGATTTCGGTCCACATTCTACCGGGGTAAACGAGTCTTTGGACCTCGAGATGGAGCCTCTAGGGCAGCAATTTTGGGGTCAAATGGTAGAAGACCCCGACGCGGGACCTGAAAGATGGTAAGATAGAAAAGTGAAAGAAAAGTGAAAGAAAGGTGAAAGAAAGGTGAAAGAAAGGTGAAAGAAAGGTGAAAGAAAGGTGAAAGATAAAAGTAAGAAAGTGAGAAAAATGGAAGATCGTAACAAGATATATCGGTGTATTACCGGAGATGGTATCGGTTCCTTGGATCCGAGGATATTGCTCGCTATAGGAAAAAGTGGCGGTACATTGCTGATGACGATTATGAATGAAAATCATCTTTGTCTGTGACTGTACAGAGTAGACTAGATGTCTGATCTGAAGTTCCCCAGTTGAATATACCTAAACAGCAACATAAATTTTTTTTTTCACAGGCAATTTAAAAGCTATTCTCTATTCGGTCTACAAATAACTCCAGTCAAGGGCTAAACATGAATACAAAAACTAAAAAAGAAGTGCATCATCCGTGAATCGAACACGGGCCTCGTCGATGGCAACGACGAATTCTACCACTAGACCAATGATGCTGAGGGACCAGGCGGATCAGGACGCTGATTCGTCGGTTATATCTTAGTGAGTGGAAATCAGACTGAAGTCATCTTGGCCCTACATCCATGGATGCAAACACTGCAAAGCTCTTGGGATCACATCAGATCTTCTGCAGTCTAGGAAGATTTAGGGCAATACAAACCAGTATCAATACTCAACACATGATCTCATAATGGCTTTCGTCAAATTCAGGTTAGAGGCCAAAAAAAGCCCTGCCCCAGTCCCAATAGCTGCTGCTGTATCCCAACCGCCGTCAAGGAGGCAAGACGGCAATGTGCATCATTCACCCAAAGGAATTCCCTCCCAAGAATTATCTGATGAGAGTCCATGCAATAATACCCCGGCAAGTCATGCAAGGGGCATATTGAAACCAGCCAATTACCCTGAGCCCTTTGCTCCTAGAAATGACCCGAGGTTTCGTTGCAACAAAAGGTTAGGAAACCGTCAGCCTGATGAGGCCATAATCTGAGGCGTGACTGACACGAAGGTTAGAGATACCCATAAGTTGCGGGGGACTGCCTGTATTGAATGCAGAAATTCCAAGACTCGCTGTCAAAATCCCACTACGGGAGTCAAGGGAGGATGCCTCCGATGCTTGCAGCAGAACAAGCAATGTACGCTGTACCTGCCATCGCAAATGGCTTCTGTCGAAACTTCTACGAGCCTGGCAGCTTCGCGTTCATTCAGCCCTCAACTGCATGCGCAACAACCTCAAAGCAGAGCACCTTTGTTTGACCATCAATGCACAGAAGGGAGACTTGAAATTGATTCCAACTTGGACATGGACGTATCTCCGAATTTTCAACGGGAGGTTACCCAGGCCACGTTTTGTGAGTTTTCAGGAATCGGATTCGCTTGTTTCTCAGTTATATCATATTCTAAACATGCTAATGAGTTGCAATAGTGTCTCACTCATTATCTTGCAGTTGGAGCGATCAAATTGGACATATGGTTAAATCCATATTCAGTCCGAAGATAGCTGAGCAAACTTTTCATCAGTACTTGGACAGTTTCGCTCCGAAATGCCCAATTGTTGTGTTTCCAACTGGCACAACAGCTGAGCTTTTGCGAGAGACCAAGCCATTGCTCTTTCTATCCATACTCAGCATCGCTTCTGCTGGATACTGCACCGCCACCCAGCAGAGAGACTTGGCAATTAAGGTCAGGCTGTATCTGGCAGACCGAGCGATTGTTCGGGGTGAAAAGTCTATCGAGCTCGTTCAAGCTCTTCAGGTCGCGTCTTTTTGGTATAGAGCACCAGATGATTTTAAGCAGATGAACCTGAACCAACTAGCTTCTATTGCCACAACTATGGCCATAGATCTTGGTTTGGATAGGATTGAGGTATCAAAGCCAGCTGGCAGAGCCAAGGAGATGTGGGATCGGGTGGAAGCACAGCGTACCTGGCTCGGTTGTCTTCTTTTATCTGCAAGGTGGATTTATCCTGGTCATTTGTTTCTTTGACCTATCGTGAAAGCTAACCATGGTTTAGTCTTTCTCTAATATTGAGACGGCCCAATTCGCTCGCCTGGAACTCGCAGTATGATGACTATGTTGCCGATTTGCGACGGACCAAAGCATCCCCTACAGATGAGTTCCTTTGCATCATTGTAACAACAGAGTGTATCTGCCACATCGTGAATCAGGAGCTATCTCTAAGTGATTCAGCCACTTCGGCATCATTATCTGACCCGAAAACATTGATAAAAATCCAAAATCACAAGTCTCAAATCGAATCCCTGCCTCTCGAGAAAATACCCTCTATGGCCAAATGTGAGTTCTGTTCTTAGAATTGCGTCTCCGTTGGCCTGAAGTGAAAACGAAATAACAATTGCAACTCAATCAGGTCTGGTTGAATTTGGCAGATTTGCTAGCTTGTTGTATCTACATGAGTTGGTCTTACATGTCAACCACAACATCGATGAGTTCAAGGCACCTTTTAGTGTGAGGTCCTTGGAGACGTGCAATTTCATCGACATGCACGATCTCGACCAGTCTCGCATTTTGATGCTTCGCGCTATCATACAGGCGGCACAAGGATTGCTTGATAATTTCCTTAGGTTATCCACGTCCGACATGATTGCTTTACCACCGCATATATATGGCGGCCGCGTAATATATGCAGTGGTACTTCTGTTGAAATTACACAAAGCAATCATGTCATCGGGGCGGGCAATAAGCGAATATCTTACTGCTGATGAATTACGACTGGAAGTGTACATTGAACACCTCGTGCTCGTTTCGAAGAGCCTCATAACAAAAGATGACCGCAGTGCTCTGAGCAGGGCATTCTTTGTTATGCCTCAGTTGAAGCAGTGGTTGCACAGTCACCAACCCAAGACCTCGCCTGGATCAGACGAAACTGAAATGGCAGAAGGTCTCCCATTCCAGACCAGTGATGGGTCATTGAGCACTGCGATACAACCGCCGATGACAACTCTCAGTGACCCTTCGACCCATACGCAGACGCCAACAATAATCAATCTTGAGCCATTGGATGGACTTGGTCAGTCTGGCGTGCCTATCCAACCCTCCAAAGCTTTTGACGACCTTATTGTACACAATGGGGGTACAGGATTTGAACCAAATCGGCATGAACTGGCATCTGACTCTTGGTTTTGGGAATTCTTCAATGTTGACATGCTCCATCAGAATGCCCATTCATCATGAGATGGGTGTTTCAAAATTTTCGCAATGGCTTTTCATGAATTTCTGCGAGAAGACGAGTCCCTAATTACTGTATACACAAATTCGCATTCTTTCGATACTACTAATTTCACCAAGCGTGTTTCTGCTGCCTCCAGCAGACTTCCTTCAGCCCACTCATCCGATAACATGCCAAGAATGATTTACACGTGCCCATGATTTCCCTCCGACTTTAGCTCTTTAGGAGTGCTTTTCACGGATCGCCATTCGACCCCCACGGCACCAACAATGGATACACAAGCTAACACTAACGCGACTACAAAGGTCTGGATGATCGCGTTGTTGTAGACCTCCAAAACCCGAGTAACAACCTTGTCGGCCTGGCCCGAAGCGGAAGCGGCTTGCATCACTGTGTGGTGAAGATCGGTCGCTCCGGACTGAAGGACAATAGATGGGTCTAGCTCAGGGACCTGGGCGCGCATTCCAGTGATAACGTGGTTGCTGAAAATATTCTGGCCCACGGATACGAAAATGGCACCCCCAAGAGAGCGAGCAAAGACCACCAAAGATGTCCCGATAGAGACATCCTTCTCGGAAAGAACTGTCTGAACAGCAATGTTCGCAAGCTCGATTCCAATACCAGCACCTGCACCGAAGATGACTTGGAAACCAAACCTAGATACATTAGTTAAAGAGGTCGTGGGATCAATCCGCATACACATACCACATCGACGTCGGAGTATCGACTTTAAATAGCAGAAATAGGCCAGCACCAACTGCCATTATCATCGAACCCGCGATCATAAATGGGCTATAATATCCCACGACTGAGACGCCCACGCCACTCGCGATTGCAAATACCACTGCCTTCGTATCAGTTTGCAGCCCTTCAGATGACACAGCTTTGCATGGATCCCCGCGAGGCTATACTTACCGACGCTCAGAACAGTTGGAAGGTTATGGATGCCGGACTCGTCGGGAGAATCACCTTTAATTGCCTGAAACCTGTTCTCGCATTCAGTATCAATAAATTCAAGATTTGAGGGCCGTTAAAAAGCAATTCTCAAGACGTACCAAATTGGCAAATAGTAAATCAGTAAGACAAACGACGCACTTGCAAAGAAAATATAAAACGTCGAGCAGGCAACGGAGCGCTGCCGCAGAATACGAAGGGGTACTGTGGCATTGTCGCCGCCTCGCCATTGCGCTACTCCCCAAGCGATAATCAACGCCCCGAATACCGTCAACAGAGCAATTATGCGGCCATCACTCCAGGGGTATTTGGTCCCTCCCCACTGGAGTGAAATCAAAAGACAAACGATGCTTGCAACGAAAAAGATCGTCCCGACGGGATCGAATTGGCTTAAGGTAGCCCAACCTTCCGGCTTTAGCCTGTTTTCTGGCTTTTTGGAGGGGAGGAAAAGAAGAATGAAGGGGATGGCTATAGCACCAATTGGCAGATTAACTAGGCTCAGATTAGCTCAAGCCGCGCTGATAAGTTAGAAAATAAGTGTGACATACTGTAGAAACACCAGCGCCAAGAGACATGAGCTGTGAATGTTGCCTTGATGTCAGCACCAATTTGATAAAGTGTAAAAAAGCAATGGGAACTGACTTGTAAAAGCTCCTCCTAACAAGGGGCCAATAACACTTGCTATACCCCACACTGCTCCGATTATTCCAGTAAAGACTGGTCTCTTCGAAAGGGGCACTGATTTGGCGATGATAATCAAAGCGCCTGAGAAAATACCAGCGCCTCCAATTCCGGCAATGGCTCGCCCTATGATGAGGGCGACGGAGTTAGGACTCGCGCCGCAAATGGCGGAGCCAACCTCGAAGACCAGTACGGCGCCGACAAAGGTCCATTTGATGGACAGCAAAGTATATAGCTTGCCAAAAAAGAGCTGGAAACTGCAGTTCGTGAGGAGGAATGCGCTACCATACCATCCGATGTCTTCGACGCTATGGAACTGGGAGGTAATAGTTGGGATTGCAGTGGCAATAATCGTTTGATCCTACCCAGAAAGTTATTGTTAGCCAATCTTATGTCATTCGGAAAGCGAGTTCTTGTTGGGAAGCGAGTGTGTAGTACGAACCAGAGCCACCAAGAATACAGTCAAGCACAGAGCCAAAAAGACGAGGGCTAATTCCAATCCCGAGGGATACGTTGAGCTCTTTGAGTCCACTTCTTCATTCGGACGATCAAAAGCCATGTTGCCAGTAGCGTATTGGCCGTCCTCATGTGAGATTTCCATGCCTTGTGCGTTGGGTATTCCACTTTGTTCATGTCCCATCTTGGGCTATGCAACCTTTTGATGCGAAGGAGAAATTGAGAGAGCAAGCGTTGGTTCAGTTGACTTCAGTAGAACGAAACGTCGAATTTGAACTGTATCAGAAAGTAGAGTATAACCGACACCTCCAACTGATTTAAGTAGATATTTCTATGAACTTATAGATCCTCTTACGCCGGAGGATATATAACAGCTTCTTATTGGTTGTTAAATTTCCTCTTTAGTCCTAGTCCCAAAATACTTCATTCTGATTTGCTCAATAATTCCCTAATATGGTATCCCCGACGCCGATCCCGAGGGCCATCATTAACCGTGCCAACCGCCCAAAACACACTGACAATTAGATTGGGAATTTAAGGACCTATATATTAGTACTTCTTTGGGGGTGCTGATCCTATACCTTTTCGAGTCCTTTTCAACTTGTAGTTCAACAGGCCTCTGATTGAGTGGAGTTTGACTGAGTGGAGCTTCTATGCTATGTACATGTACTTATACAGGGCCACAGATGGCATACACGATGAAAAGACTAGACTTGGGTGCTCTCGTCGGATACATCCATACTCTCTTCCTCCACAGGCTTCGTTTTCTGGGACATCCACCCATGACGCAAGAGGCCCAGAGCCGTTGGCCGATTTTCAGGATCCCATTGTAGCGCTTTTCGCATCCACTTCACGAAGCCTTCCACATCCTCGCCGTCAACATTCCTAGCTGCCAGGCTCTCTAAGCTTCGGTCTGGTATGAGAGCTTGGCCCGTCCAATTCCCTTTTTCATCCCAGAACATGGAGCCTAGTCGTGTCTTCTCGCGGAACTCTGGTAGAGGAGGGCCAAGTAGAGCAACGAGCTCTGCGATGTGGACCCGGTCATCAAAGGCTCCGTCTGGGTTTCGTCCGTCAATGAGCCCTTGGGAACTGGTGTAATTCCATGCCTGTATAAACTATGTAAGCGTGTTTCTATTGCCTCCAAAGAAAAGTACCCACAACTACAGCAATTGCCCAAATGTCTGCCCTGTGATCCGATTTCGATTTCAGGACCTGTTCAGGAGGCCTGGAATGTTTTTCCTCGATATTGGACATATCATCGTCTGGGAAGTCCAAACGGAGGGGAACGCCGTCACCCGGGAGTATCATTGGGGTTATAATCTCGTCATTGCTGGGTCCCGCAACTCGTCTGTCGCCGGAATCAACGTTGAATGATTTGTTTGGCATTATGCCTGCTCTGGGATCAGTTATTCATCCTTCAAAAACGATGGCGAGGGAAGATACGGGCAGTCAGATAACAATCCGTGTGTAAGAAATCCATCATAATCAGCATTTGTTTCATTGTAGACCTCATCGACTCAAGATCCATCTTGTCACCTGAATGCATCTGGCCTGGGTCTAGCGAGGGTGCCTCGTGAACAACACAAATATGAGGACCACGAGGACCCTTGATGGAAAAACGATCGCTAACTTCGTGAAGAGGACACTCGCTTTGCTGGTATAATTTTGGTGGGTGGGCCCGCCCATAAGTCTTGAGCATATGGTCCACCACATAGATCTTCAAAACAACCATTCTGGGCTCCCTGTTGTTGACTTAGTATTAGAGCAGTATCGTTCCGGGTCAAATGAGACACTCACATTAAATCAACAGCATACCAAACAGTTGCCGTGGGCCCATAACCGATTTTGTGCATAATTTGGTACCTGTCATTCAGGATTTCTTCATCCTCAACTGGGTACGTGTATGTCTCGTTCGGTTCATATCCCATCGCAAGCTCTTCCTCAATTTTCAGAGATGAATCCAGTAGCCCGAGGTCAAAGACTGGGAAGACTCTCGGGTTGGATGTCCATTGTGATGAGCATCGACGCGACCAGGCTGTTTTTTGATCAAAGGGGGAGATCAGTCGGTATCCGGAAATGGGAGGAGGGGAAGAAATCCCCGATCTGTGAATAACCCGGGCATTTGAGCCAATACGTAGAGCACTCGCTTTCCAGTTCATAACGAAAACACGGTTTTTGGCGAATGCGCGCTTGGCTACGGACCCCTGGAGGGTGCGGGCGATTGACGGATGACGGGTTACCCCTGCATATTCTCAAGGTCTATTTATATTTCGACCGGTCTTTTTCTTTCACCACTTCCTCAACACTAGATGGGTATTGACTTGCCTTTTTTTTGAGGCAAAGAGGCCAATCTTCGCTGTAACTAATCGGAGAAATAAACAATTGTCACACCAATTCTTAGTGTGCAGCCGCTAAAAAATAAGCTTAAACAAACATTGGCTATCAGGACCTCCCGGAGGTCGCCTTCTGCCCGGAGACCCCACAACATTTGGAGTCTCGCAGCGAAGTGGCCCCCATAGGCTGAACTCAGGCTCGATCTGCCACATGAACCCACCAGTTGTACACTATGTAGTCTAGACATCTAATGAACTGGAAGTTGGCATGTATTTAACTAATTGTACAATGAAATAGGATGTGATGAAACACCCCCCATGTATTCCGTGGGACTCGCCAAGTGACTATGGAACCCCCAAAGCTCAGTCACTTGCCAAAGAACTCGCACAAGAAAGCCCGGTTTGATTTCGGCGCGGACCTGCTCCTGGGCATGGACCTCAACAACGATGTTGATATCCATGTGGGTAGGCCGGGCACCATGTGCTACGGGACCCTCTACCCTGTCTCATGGGGGCTACGGAGAGACGGTGGTCGAGAGGGTTGGGGGAGAGGAAGAAGGGAAGAAGAAGGGAAGAGGAAGAAAGGTGGGAGGGGTCCTTATATACCCTCAACAACACGTACCTTCCTAGAATGGGCAGTTGCCTACTTTCCTAATCTGTCCATCTTGTGATTCGATCGCACCTCATTCATAAAGTCGCACTTTACCAGTGTAAGTTGTGAGACATGCCCAATTGATCGACGAAAGCACAACTTACTAGAGGGTTACAGACATACAAGGTCAATTTTATGCAGGCTCATCTTGTACCAGGAGAAGGCATACAAGAAAAGCCTGGGCTGTTGGCGAACATGACGGGAATGATTCGCAATGGCCGGATATATTGACAGTTGAGATATTATGTGCTAAATCACTATTGAACCACGATCCCCATTTGTTTCGAATGTTCAAGCTCATATGTAGATCTATACCCGAAGTCCTCAATGCCAAGACCTCCACGAAACGGGCTTAATAAGAATAATTCATTCCCCCCTGAAACACCATATGGACTCGTGCGGGACCCGCTGTGGGCTGGACTCAGGAGACTCGGAGCTATTATTTTCTCCCCTTCTCAACTCTCCTGTGTTATTGCTATTGCTATTGCTATTGTTCTTTTTTTGTTTTGTTCTTATATCTTATGACTTTTTGAAATATCTTGATCTCTCCTACTGGCTGGTCCACAATGGAGAGTCTTCCGGGAGCGGAGAGCCTCCTCCACGGTCCATTTCCGGATAACCAGACTTCAACTGTGCCACAACCGGACTCTGCTTCCGAGCAGTTCTCCCATTCCAATCTCTCACGCTCATCATCTCTCGCTCAGAAAAGAATATCATCACTACCTCGTGCAAAGACGGCCCGCCATGCCAAACGCCTCACCTTGAACTTCCCCATCAATCTGAACGAGCCTGAGACACCCGATTGCAACGTCACCTCACCCAGCTCCATAACCCCAGTCACACAGTCCTCAACTCGCCCCTCCCCCGCTCAGCCTCCGGGAACACCTATGGCATTTGATGTCCCGGATGATGGCTATGACTTCCTGCGGGCCATCGCCTCCCAGGAACGGAAGGTGATGGAGCTTCGCGAGGAGCTCACAAGGGCCGAAGCAGACCTAGTGACAATTAAGAAGCAATGGGCACTTTCTGAAAAGTCCAGGAAGCGGGCGGAGATCAACCACGTGGAGCCACTAGTGCCCCTGCGGTCGCCTGATTTCTCAACACCCGAGGTCTCGAGTTCACACGTCCGGGAACAGAGCATGAGCTCAGTTACAAGCTCCACGGTGTCACAGGAACGGATAAGCCGGGATCTAGACCGACGATCTAGCGTGCGTGCTGCCGCCGCCGTACCAGGAACTAAGATTGGAACTAATGGTCGGCGAGTGTTTCACGGCGCACATACTCGGACTTTGTCTCTTTTGTCGCCAGTCTCAGGTCCCAGCCCTTCTTCCCGTGGAGAACCATGTCTCTCAAATGCTGACCGCGTGGGTCGTACTCCGCGGTCCGCAACATTACCATCCGTCGACCGCAATAATGCAGCTTTGATGAGTGCACAACTAGACGAGACCCAGGTACCAGAACATCTACTCGCACAGTGGCATAAGACTCTTCCTCCCCCTTCGCGGGAGGCCTTGGTGCGCACGGGCAAGCAAATGGCATCCGATCTCCGCGAGGGTCTGTGGACATTTTTGGAAGATATCCGACAAGCTACCGTGGGCGAGGAAGGAATCAACGGCACGCAAACACGAACCTCACCATCCAACTCATTGGCACCACCAAATGGTCGCAAGCGGGACTCGTTGGCGGGATCCCGGAGTCGAGAACGGTTGCTAGCGGACGGCAAGCTATCGCGATCATCGTCGTCATCGTCTTCGCGGGGGAGGGGGCCAGCGGCCGAGACAAAAACTGGTAAAGACACCAAGCCGGCAGAAATTTCCACATCTTTCTGGAACGAATTCGGCATTGATACACCTGCTCAGAAGTCTCCGAACGCTCCGCGCACCCCCTCCGACAACAAAGCCGCCAACCGAAACGAGGCGACCGAAGCCGAACAGCGCGACCACCCCTCTAGTAATTCAATCGATGCGCAGGATGAAGATCTCGACAACTGGGATAGCTGGGACACGCCGCTATCCGGACAGAAGACCCACACGCCCTCATCGAGCCGATCAACGGTTGCATCCAAACATGATCAATCACCCACCACACAGGGTAGCAGCCCTCGAACCAGCGCTAGGTACCGTTCGACCTTTTCTGATTTCATCTATGACAACCTCGTTATGCGCTGACCACGCTCCTAGCTTTGGCGATTTGAACCCGGCTTCCTCTACACTTGATCCTAGTGTCTCTGAAAGCATTCCCTGGCCTGCAATTACCAAGCTGGCTCCCTCGAAGCTTCAGCGTACTGCATCCAATCTGATGGCAGAATGGGAGCGCTCGCTGTCGCCTACTCCAGAGCGAACTGCCTCTCCTTCGCTCAGTCGCAAGGACAGCAAGAAGGACTAATAGGGTTCTTTCTTTCCTTTCATGTATATACTTGCTACCTCTTCTTCGACCCTATCTACGGAATTACGTAGGGCTACGACCTTCGAACTATACCATACGAGAGCGTTGCTTCTTCTCTTGTCGATACATTTTCTTCTCTTTGCTATCTTTGAAGTACTTGTGCAGGCTTCGATTTGCTTTTAAGATTTGTTGAAAATACCAGTTGATTTGATCACATGCTGTTTTTGGTTATCTAGCTTCATGAATACAACGATTTTCCATTCTGTCTTTGCATTTGTTCTTGGAAATTGAGCATAAACAACCGCACCTCTTAAGGCAGTTTTTTCAATTCTGTTCCTCCATCCATACACCGTTGTACCGATAACGGCACGATGATTTTGCGGAGCCGGAATATCACGTGCAAAGATGCGCTTTAGGTTTTTCTAGTTCCCCGTAAAATAAATTTGCGGTTCAGTTACTCGCCTCCGCAAGATCTCCGCGATCTCTATTTTACTTGCTCACGCGATTTCCTTTCTCGCTTTCCTTTCTCGCTGAGATCCAGTGGATTGATCATTCAGGCCAGCTTGGGTCCAATCCAGCGAGTACGATATACGACCATATTCAATCCAGACCTTACCGCGTCAACTTTCAACATGGCCTTTCCAGGCACAACAGGCACCGCGATCCCCATGACTTCCCTAGGAGGTAACCCGGGGACGCAGGGAATGAATGACCAAGAACAAGCTATGGTCAAGATGGTTCGTCCTCGATAATGACGTGCATTTCGTCCAATACTAATGAACTTCGGTATAGATGCAACGTGGTATGGAGTCTTGTCCTATCAAGACAGTCATTTCGGGTACAATGGGTTTCGGTCTTGGTGGTGCTTTCGGTCTCTTCATGGCCAGTGTAAGTTGGCAATTGAATAACTCATGTGCAGAATTCCATATCTAACATATACCCGCTCTAGATGTCCTACGACTCGACCTTCACACCCCAGGGCCGCGCCATCGCCGACCTCCCCTGGCGCGAACAAGTCCGCCGCGGTTTCAAGGACATGGGCGCCCGCTCCTGGTCCTCTGCTAAGAACTTCGGTATCGTCGGTGCGCTCTACTCCGGCACCGAGTGCTGCATCGAAGGCCTCCGCGCAAAGAACGATCTTACCAACAGCGTTGCTGCTGGTTGTGTCACCGGTGGTATTCTCGGCGCAAAGGCGGGTCCTCAGGCTGCTGCCTTTGGTTGCGCTGGCTTTGCGGCGTTCAGTGCGGCTATTGATGCCTACATGAGAATGCCCGGTGATGAGTAAACGCTCCATTCGGATCCGACTTGAAAGCATGGCCTTGTTTCGTCGTTTGGCTCTTTTGTTGCCGGCGGCTTTGACTTGTTGCGCTTTTCGACCTGTACATTTCTACGGCATCTGGCGTTCTGGAATAGAACGGAAGCATTGCGGGCGTTTTGGTTGTTCTTGTCTATTTTGCTGGGAGCATGGTTCTTCTGGCCTGTCTCCCCTGCGTTGCATGTCTTGTTTGACGCCTGCATTGCATGGCCTCGGCATGGTGGTTCACTCCATATTAGATCCTTTTGGGTCTGACTCTTTACTCTTTTGTACAATACCAAGCGTGGACATACATACACCACTGGCCTTTTGAGAATCACCTCTCACAATTGATACCAATATATTTTATCCTCGTCTTATTAACTAAAATTTTAAAACCGTCCATAAAATCCCTCAGGCAATATTCGAGTACCCGATTTGTGTCGAATCCGTTCCTCCTTCTCTAGCAGACCGTATATGTACTACATCCGTCCCAAATGCAAGCTTAAACGTGATCAGCACTCAATTACCATACGCACGTCCGAAATTACTCTTTCAGAGTTCCAAAACCTGGTAGAGAATACAGGTTGTTGAATTTATGCATAGTCCTAAGGCAACACAATATACTTCTCCAGGTGCTTAGGAATGGAAGAACGCAGGTTCTTGCTCTCGAGCCAGGTGCTGGAGAACAAGCGATCCGCATACCGATAAGCACCGTCACAGAGAATGGTCACGACGGTGTTACCCTTGCCCAACTTCTCGGCAACCTCCTTGGCGGCCACCACGTTCATCGCGGAACTGGCACCAAGGTACAGACCCTCCTCATCCAGACAGCGGTAAACCATCTCGATGGTCTTCTCGTCACTGATGCTCACGGAGCCATCCAGCAAGTCGATATCAGGTTGCAAGTTATCTGTCACACGGCCCTGGCCAATACCCTCAGTGATACTGCTGCCGGACCGGTCGATCAGTGTACCACCACTTTGGATGAAGCTGTGGAGAACACTGCCCGGAGGATCGGCGAGGAAGCTCTTGACACGTCCGTCACTGACAGACTTCAAATAGCGGGTGGTACCAGCTAAGGTACCTCCGGTTCCAGTAGCGCAGGTAAAGGCATCGATCTTGCCCTCGGTCTGTGCCCAGATCTCGGGCCCGGTGGTAGCGATGTGTGCTTGACGGTTGGCAGTGTTGTCGAACTGGTTGGTCCAGACTGCGTTGTCCAATGACTCGGCATGCCGGCGCGCCTGGTGGTTGTAGTTTTGGGGGTTGTCGAAGGCCACTGCGGGGACCGGGTATACTTCTGCGCCCAGCAGACGGAGCAAGTCAATCTTGCCCTGCGACTGGGTGTTGGGCATATAAATCACGAGCTTATAGCCCTTTGACCGGCAAACGTGTGCCAGCCCAATGCCAGTGTTTCCGGCTGTTCCTTCAACCACGGTGCCACCGGGTTTCAGAAGTCCTCTCTCCTCTGCATCCTTGACCACGAAGAGCGCCGCTCGGTCCTTCACGCTACCTCCGGGGTTTTGGAATTCTGCCTTTCCAAGAACATTGCAGCCGGTCTGCTCAGAGAGCTTCTTCAATCGGATAAGCGGGGTATTTCCAATCGCTGCAGTATCCAAGTCAGCTTAGAAGTGTATGCAAGGGTGCGCTTGGAGCTAGTCATACCCTCTGTCAATCCATTGACAACGCCCTGGGCTGTTGACACCCTGGTACAGTAGGCAGTGGACCCCTCGGCAGCAGCACGAGTCGCCGTAGTGGCGAATCGCCGGATACTCTGACGAAACATCCTAAATTGACTTGCAATGCAGGAACAAATGGTCCCATCGACCCTCGGGGAATGACGAGCTCCCGCACCCTCCGATGATCGGCATTAGTCAGCTCACGTGCGTATACTACCCTTATCGGCTATCGGCCTCCCGTTTTGGGCTGTTTGTTTACCGCCAAGGCCTCCACTCCTTTGATCGGTCCCGCAGTCTGCAATGCTTTTCGCCTTCGAATAATCAACGCTTAACAACAACACAACAATGCCTGGCAGAGTCGCCGCCCGTTCGACATCTGCGACGACACGCAGGTCGTCAGCACAGCCCTCTGCGTCTGGGCGTGCTGGCTCCGTTACTCCATCGTTTGCGATCCCCGAAGAACCAACAGAGCCATCATCGTCCCCCACTTTGCGTCGCGATGTGTGCTTGCTCTTTGCGGATGCTCAGCGCTCCACTACCGGTCACCGAAAGCTTGTTGTGCGCCTGCGCAAGCTCCAAGAGTTTTGCTGTGGTATCTCACAAAAGAAGAATAACAAAGGAAAAGACCAAGAGCCCGAGGAGGCATTGATTCCCGGTGAGGAAACGGAGGCCGAGAAGGAATTCAACACGGAAGTCGGCCGCTGCATGCTCCGGATTCTCACAATCAAGAAGAGCGAGCCTGTTGGAGACCGAATTTTGCGCTTCTTGGGTACTTTCCTCGGTCATGCCGCTGAGAAAGATAATGAGATTTTTGCCGCGGGTGAAGATGATGACCACAATCCCGAGACACCAACTGCCCGCCTCACATCTAGTCTTATTTCGCTGATGGGACCCGTCATGGGTGCCAAGGATAAGATGGTGCGCTTCCGCGCAACACAAATTACCGCCCACATTGTGAACTCGCTGGAATCGATCGACGACGAGCTATACCATACGATAAGACAGGGCCTTCTGAGGCGTCTCCGTGATAAGGAGGCCTCCGTCCGGGTACAGGCGGTCCTGGGGCTAGGACGTTTGGCGGGAGACGATGGAGAAGACGAAGGCAATGACGACAACTCTGCCCTTCTTGAGAAGCTGATCGAAATTATGCAAAATGATACAAGCGCCGACGTTCGCAAAATGCTCCTCACAAATCTCCCCCTCGCTCCAGTGACGCTTCCTTATCTTCTTGAGCGAGCCCGTGATCTGGATGCCCCTACCAGACGCGCACTGTACTCACGTCTTCTGCCTACCCTGGGCGACTTCCGCCATTTATCTCTATCAATGAGAGAAAAGCTCCTCCGATGGGGTCTACGTGATCGTGATGAAAGTGTTCGTAAGGCTACGGCCAAATTGTTCTACGACAGATGGGTCGAGGATTGCGCTGGCACGAACAATGACCCGAATCAGGGACCAACTGGCCAGCGCTCTGCACCCGACATCAACGCGCTGCTTGAACTTCTGGAGAGAATTGACGTTGTTAATTCTGGAATGGAAAGCGGAATTGCACATGAGGCAATGCGCGGGTTCTGGGAGGGCCGTGCGGACTATCGTGAAGCTGTTGTCTTTGACGAGCCTTTCTGGGAGAATCTAACTGGTGAATCCGCGTTCTTGCTCCGGTCCTTCAACGACTTCTGCCGCGTGGAGAATGAAGGCAAGTACGACAGCCTAGCAGAAGACAAGATGCCCGAGGTCACCGCGATGGCCTATTTCCTAGGCAAATACATCACTAATCTCTTGGAGCGGAAGAAGATTTCCAAAGAGTCTGGTGAAGCGAATGATGATGACGCTGTCGAGCACGAATTTGTTGTGGAACAGTTGCTCCATATCGCCATCACTCTAGATTACAGCGATGAGGTCGGTCGACGAAAGATGTTCTCGCTTCTGCGAGAAACTTTGGCCGTGCCAGAACTCCCGGAAGAGAGCACGAAACTCGTCGTTGAAACACTCCGCTGTGTCTGCGGACCTGATACTGCAGCTGAGGCCGAATTTTGCAGTGTTGTTCTGGAAGCTATTGCCGAAGTTCACGACACCATCACCACCGAAGATAGTTTTGTTTCTGCTAGGTCTGAGATCAGTGACGACACTAGCAGACGATCCGAAACTCCTGGGGATGAAGAGGTCGCTCCCTTTAATAAGGAAGAAGCCAAGGCCAAGATCGTCCGCGAGATTGTTGTTAATATGAAGTGTCTGTATATTGCTCAGTGCATGTTGCAGAATGTCCAGGGCCACCTGCAGCAGAACATGAACCTGGTTACTATGCTGAATAACCTTGTGGTGCCCGCTGTTCGCAGCCACGAAGCTCCAATCAGAGAGCGTGGTCTCTTGTGCTTGGGTCTTTGCTGTCTGCTTGACAAGGTTAGTATCTTCTTTTCTGATCGAAGACGAGGTTCGCTAATTATTGATTTTCACAGAATTTGGCCGAAGAAAATATGACACTCTTCATTCACTGCTATAGCAAGGGTCACGAGGCATTGCAAGTCACAGCTTTACAAATCCTCTGCGATATGATCACAACTCACCCATCCCTACTCGCTCCCGTTACCCAGGCTGATGGCGAGACCGTCACGCCACCTGCCATGCAGAAGCCTTTGCTGAAGGTTTTCGCCCGAGCTCTGCGTGCCAACTCTCCCAACAGCGTGCAGTCCGGAGCAGCCGCCGCTCTCTGCAAGCTGCTACTTACCAATACCTTCACACCCTCTGGACCGAATGTCCCACCCGCAATCCAGGAACTCAATCAGAATGCTGTTGAAACTCTGTTGCTGTCCCTCGTGGTCTCCTTCTACCACCCACGCACTCGTGAAAACCCAGCACTACGACAGTCATTGGCTTATTTCTTCCCTGTATACTGCCATTCCCGCGTGGAAAACACGCAGCACATGCGCCGGGTGGCCGTACCGGTTATCCGTGCTGTGATGAATGCTGCAGAGGAACACTACTCACTCGAGGCCGAGGAAGACAGTGATGGGGAAATCGATCCAAGCGTCGGCGAGCGCGAGGTCAAGGCTCTCATGGCTGGTGTTGTTGGTATGCTTTCTGAGTGGACTGATGAGCGCCGAGTCGTTGGCCTCGGTGGTGAACGAATTCTGGCTGGCGGTGCTGCAAGCTCCAATGTTTGTGGATGGGTTCACCTCGCCCTAGTTAAGGAGATCCTCGAGCGTGTTCTCGGTGTCAGCGCTGCCGCGAATCGCTGCTCACGCGAAGAACGCAAGCTTCTCTTTTCTCTTCTCAGCAAGCTTTACTTCGCCGCCCCTACAGTACCGGCGCCTGCACGAGCTAGCTCTCGTGCCCCCGAGGGGGATGATCAATTCCGAACTAGCATTCGCAGTGCTACGGGTGTCGAAATCGATCCTGAAAACACTGCGCTCGCGACCGAGGTCAAGGACCTATTGGACCAAACCATTGAAGAGGGTCTCGCCGCTGAAGCCTCCAGCCGAAATGCTCTCGTCAAGGCCAAGAACGCGATCCTCAAGATCCTTGCCGTTGCACAGGATGGTCGCGCTGCTAGCGCTCGTCCTCGTGAAGGCACTGAAGACCCTGACAACGATGGAGCTAGTGTACGCTCTGGTAGTGTTCGTCGCTCTGTGGACCCTACTGGTGGTTATAGCCGTCGTCGTGTCTCTGTTGAGCCGAGTATCATGGAGGAAGACGAGGGTGAGGGTGACAGCCGTCTTACTTCTGCTACAGCCAATCGTCCCATTGTCTCCATTGAACCCAGTATCATGGAAGAAGATGAAGATGACCATGATACTAGTAGGGGGACAATAATCAAGGAAGAGACGGGTGATGAGTGATGATTGTTCCGAGTTCCGAGGTTTGGTTGGCGTTTGTTGAAGTTAGGGGTTTGGTGTTAGGTTTCTGTACATATTTTCGGTGTTTGATTTTTCGAATACCTTTTGCATGAATGCCATTATACGAGTTCTTCTTACATCCATACAACTTCAATATATGTCCACGTGATGTGCCACGTGATGATATATTTTTGACAGCGGCTGAGAGAATTGATATTTGGAATGTCCATCTTGACATTCTTGTCTATCTTCTAATGTTGTCTATATTTATCTCAGTTCTGGTTATGTTTCACTGTATATCTACCTAGGTACGGGGTACATCTGTCCTACCTTGTAATTGCTTTTGCCTCTTTTGTATGACTTATTGATATCCTACCTAATAGTTCTGGAAATGTCCAACCAACAACAGTACTATTAGCCATTACCTAGACAGAAATATTAATACCTATCTATATACAACATTCTAGTCCTACTTGACTCGTCTAAATCCGACAAGGCGTACTAAGACAGGGATCTGGGCCCGGTTGGGGTTGCACGGTCAAGACCAGTCCGAACACACAATTTCCAGGGGAATTTGAAGGATAGAAGATTCGATGAAAGTGAGATAAAAAGAGGATTTATTTCTGAATCTCTTAAGAAAAAACATCTATATAATTCATTTGTAATTGTATAATCTCCGTCTCCCCCCGTGAGCCCCGAAACTTTTCATTTTCTCTCAAAACTCCACCGAGTTGGCTCTTTTCTTCTTCCTCCCCCCCCCCCCCCCCCCCTTTCCCTTCTCTCCTCCCCCGGGCTTTCTCCTCTATTCTTACCACTCTCTTCTCCGGCCTTGTCTTTGTCTTCTGCTTTTCCCGCAGAGACATTTTCCCCCCCCATCTTCCCCCGGGATTCCCTTGCCGCTCCGTTGGCACCGGACAAGTCAGCGATGGCGGCCGTTTCAGCACCAACCCCCAAGCTGGATCGATACATCGTCATCCACGTTGCAACCACCTGTGACGAACATGGCGTATATGTCACCAAGGACTCGGCTGAGGTCATTGAGTTAGGATGGATCCTGTTGGACACCAAGACCTGCGAGGAAGTCCGTTCCCCCCCAACCGTCTACCCAACATTCAATTTACTCCCGAGGCGAACCCGAAAGCTGACACCTTTTCTTCCCAATTGTTTAGCTGCACCGTGAAAGTGTGCTCGTCAAGCCCGTCAATACCCCAATCACCCCGCTTTGCAGTAAGATCGCCTTGATAACAACCTTGGATTGCATTGGGTTTTGCTAGGAATCAATTTGTGGCTGACAATTCTCTGAAGCGAGCTTGACCACTTTGACATGGGAACACGTTCGCTCCGCAGGTACTTTCCGGGACGCCATCTCCCGATTCGACGCCTTCGCCCAGGAACACCTCACTAGCAAACACCTCGAGTTTGCTTTTGTGACGTTGGACTCGTGGGATCTGCGGGTGCAGCTGCCCCGCGAGGCCCGCGACAAGGCCGTCGTGCTGCCCGCATACCTGCAGCATTCCCGCACTTTCGACCTGCGAACTGAATATCAACGCTGGCAGACCCATCACCCCGAGTCGCTGCCTTTCGGTCCCAGCTCGCTCTCCAACATCTGCGCTGCCCTCGAGGTCGAGCCCGTTCAGTCGTCCGCCCCGATTAAGCACAACCTTCCTTTCCACTTGCAAGCTTTGGCCCCCGCTTCACCACGCCGTGCCATGGAGGAATCGGTTACTCTCGCCCGCGTGCTTCGTGGTTTGATCCGCAAGTCGCAGCCGCCCCAGGAACACCCTGAGATCCTCACTCGTCCTATGGATGCTCATGCCGACGTTCGGGCCTTTTTGGCAGAGCGGAGCAAGGTCCTGCACCTTAGTGGCCTGCCCCACGATACCACTCAGTCTGAGTTGGAGAGCTGGTTCACCCAGTTCGGTGGTCGTCCCATCGCCTTCTGGACTCTGCGGACGCCAGACCAGCACAAACCCACTGGCACTGGCTTTGCCGTCTTCTCTTCCCACGAGGAGGTGAGTTTCCATCTTGATTTTCTTTTGGCTGTTCTATGATACAGAAATTCCTATGTTTTATCCTTATGTTTTGCCTACTAACTGTTTACTAGGCTGCTGAAAGCCTGTGCATGAACGGCCGTGCGCTCAACGAAAAGGCGATTGAGGTCTCTCCTTCTTCCAGCCGGGTTCTGGACCGGGCCGCCGAGATCCTCACTCCTTTCCCACCCTCCAAGAACCGCCCCCGTCCTGGTGACTGGACTTGCCCGTCTTGCGGCTTCTCTAACTTCCAGCGCCGCACAGCATGCTTCCGCTGCTCGTTCCCCGCCATGGCGGCTGCACCCGACCCAATGAACTACGGAAACTACGGCTACGGCCCTCCATCAATGATGCCTCCTCACATGGGCCACGGTGGTCACGGTATGGGTGGTGGTCACTCGCGTGGTATGGGAGGCAACGGCGGCGTTGTCCCCTTCCGCGCTGGTGACTGGAAGTGTGGTTCTGAGGGCTGTGGCTACCACAACTTTGCGAAGAACATCAACTGTCTACGCTGCGGTGCCCCTCGCTCGGGCGCTGCCGTCGTGGCAGACTCGGCATTCCCATCCCCGATGGATCCACCGTCGCAATTCAATATGGGGCCCAACTCGATGGCTAGCACCCCTGCCCCAGCTCCGTTCGCCTCTACTGCCGGCGGATTCGGTGGTTTCAGCCAGCAGTTCGGTGGCCCACCCAACAACTACACTCTGCCCTCCAGTGGACTGGGTAACAACACCCCCGGTGCGTACCCTCCCATGGGTCAGATGAACTCGGGCTACGGTTCTTCCACCACCTCGCACTCGGCTGCCTCCTTCGCCAACCCGGCCACTCAGGCCGCTTTCACTGGTGCGGACCACGGTGTTCCTTCCACCAGTGCTTCGAACGGTGCCTTCTACGGTACCGATGGTGCTAGTGACCCCTTCGCCTTCTTGTCGAGTGGCCTCGGTGGTCTGACGGTATCTGATGACCCCCACTCTCGTCGCAACGGCTCCGGTGCCAACAAGTCGCCCGCTTAAATATGGGTCTAGTTGTACCTACTTCACGCCCCACTCACGAACTGGGCGCTCACGCTCATGTTGTCCATATTGCAACCCTGCATTGTGGCGGGTTTCTGCGTTGGTTGATATTCGTTGATACGCATTTGTATAAGGGATTCTGCGGTTTTGGTGCATCGGGTTGGAAGGAGCAGGCGGGTTAGCGTCGAAGATTTCGGATTTCTTTCTCTCGCCTTCGCCGCCCTGTGCTTTTTTGCGTGATGCTTTTTTATCGTTGGGTTTTGGTCTGTTTTTTTTGTTTTTTTGTTCTTTTTCCCCCCATATTTGTGATTTTTTTCATCTTGCGCTATATGGTTGTTTTTTATCTTTCGAGGGGGAATAAGCCCCCTTGTAGGGGTGTGTGGTGCATGTATTTTTCGAATGTTCCCATCTCTGGTTTATTGTCAGGCATGGACACATTTGCGTTGGGTCCCTGCTTTTGGCATTGCATTTTAGATATTTTGCTCCCTTTCTGCACTCTTTGGTCATGGGAAGCGTCGGAGAATTCACGGTCTTGATCTGGGTGGGGATATACTGGGACTCCGTTTGGGGTGTTGGGGATTTACTTTGAAGCTTGGGCATCGAATCGAGCATCTCTTCGGGGTCGAAGCACTGTGAATGCAAAAAAATCATTGTGTCTATACTTTCTTTCATATGTATTCTCGTTATCTAAGTGGTTTGACTATATAAAATTCTAGTAGATACATCGGTATTCTTATATATTTGTCGACATGTACAGGGTAAAGTCTTATAAGTGGACTATTTTGACTGATTCCTAAATGAATTCAAGACTAATTTGAGTCTTTCTCTTCCTAGGAAACAATATTCAATAGTATATGATTCACTTTCGTTGGAAGACTGTTGGAAAATAGGTCAACTGCAAAGGTACATGAGATTACTATGGCGAGTCCATACTTAACGCAAGTACAGGGTTGGCGCTTGAGGCAGCCGTAGGCTTTCGCGTCCACCGCCCGGAACCCGTCATTGCTCCAACCCAATTGACCTCAGCTACTTGACACTCTGCATTGCCCTTATTCTACCTGATTGCTTCCTTTAAACTGTTTATTTACAGCAACCTTTAATCACCGCTCGTCCACCCCTCCTTGATTCACAATGTCCGGATACGACCGAGCTCTTTCAGGTAAGCTAGCTCCCCACGTCCAGCTCCCTTTGCTCCTGACCAGGACGAAAGTATCATGCTAACTTATCGCAGTATTCAGGTATGAGGCCTTCAAGCTACACTTCAGCTCCAGAGTTTGTTTTCTAACCCTCCCCCAAGTCCCGATGGACACGTCTTCCAGGTTGAATATGCCATGGAGGCTGTGAAGCGAGGTAAGATCGCCGTTATTTGCTTCCCTGGCAGCTTTCTCTGCTCTATTTTCTGCCGTCGCTCCCATTTTCTTCATCAGAAGACACAATTTGCTGATGACAGGTGATTTTAGGAACTTGCGCTGTTGGTGTCAAAGGCAAGGATATCGTCGTCCTCGGTTGCGAAAAGCGTTCCGCCCTCAAGCTCCAAGATACCCGCATTACTCCCTCCAAGATCGCCCTGGTGGATGACCACGCCTGTCTCGCCTTTGCTGGACTGAACGCCGATGCCCGCATCCTTATCGACAAGGCCCGCTTAGAAGCTCAGTCCCACCGCCTGACCGTCGAGGACCCCGCCAGCATCGAGTATATTACGAAATATATTGCTGGTGTTCAGCAGAGATACACACAGAGTGGTGGTGTGCGTCCATTTGGTATCAGTACGCTGGTGGTTGGATTTGACAAGAATGACTCCATCCCACGACTGTACCAGACCGAGCCATCTGGAATCTACTCGGCCTGGTAGGTGTTTTCCGAGCTTACGTTTTAATATCAAATGAATACTAATCTCTCTTCTCTCGCTACAGGAAAGCCAACGCCATCGGTCGTTCCAGCAAGACCGTCCGCGAATTCCTTGAGCGCAACCACCAGGAGGACATGGACCGTGAGCAGACAATCCAGCTGACCATCAAGTCTCTGCTTGAGGTTGTGCAGACGGGTGCTAAGAACATCGAGGTCGCCATCATGGCGCCCGGTAAGACTCTTGAGATGCTCCCAGATGACCAGATCGAGTCGTACGTGAAGAGCATCGAGACAGAGAAGCAGGAGGAAGCGGCCAAGAAGAAGACCCGGGCAGGGACCACCACGGCTATCCTCACCCGGCCGGGTGGCGGCGAGTCGACCGAATAAGTGCTAGACTTAGAAGGATTCAGAGCCTAAGAGGTGAATGGATCGTTGATTTGTTTCAATTTACAGTAGCGTTGGGTCTCTTCCTTGACGAGAATCCAAAATCATGAAGTTTAAAACAACATCTCCCGGTTTCTTTCGTATTGTATATTGTACACGCAGAAAAGGGTATTGATGCAAAGGGAATTTCCATCTGCCTTGAACTATTGCCAGAAACAGTAACCATCAAATCGTCAACATCATGAAATTGCGCCTGCCAATTGTCTTTTTCTTCCCCAAAATGCACAATCTAGCCCATGCGGTCCGACACATCTCTAATACTGAAGAGGGAGCGCTCCTTGTCGCGCGCAACACGCTCGTCCTTAAGCATGCTTGATATGGTCAGCATCCTACCAATTAGAAGATCTTATGTGCTCGACATACCGGTTGTCCATACGAGCATCGTCACCTTCCACGTGTAGTCGTGCCTCGGGCTCGCGTGCCTCAATGACAAAGTGATTATCACAGTGAGGGCAGTATTCGTCACTGAAAGCAAGATTAGCACGCTGCCACTTGGATTTCGAACCGTTCCTTGCATACGTCTCATCGAACTCAGCAGCGTCCTTGCGGAAACACTTCTTGCACTTCTTGCATGCAAATATCTACCCCATGGAATGTCAGACTGCTAAACTTGCTCTAACCGGAGAATAGGGGCGTACCATCTCGGCGCTCTTCTCGAGCATGTGCGACTCGCTCTCTTGGTGACATTCGGCGCAATCAAACCATTTTCGGCCTAGATCTCTTCAGTCAATCCCCTGTGATCAAATGCGAGGTCGATTCGAGCGTACAGCAGTGCGAGCGGATGGCCACTTGGGCGTTCAGAATGTGTTTACTGCAAAGCGGGGAGATTGTATTAGCTATCAGAATTTTGGACCAGGGGGATTGGGGGAAGCTTGAGCATGAGGGTTCTCTTGAATATCGCAAGAAGCAGACTTACCACATGGCTATGAAATGCGAAAGAAAAGTAACGGCCAAGTGCGAGATGTCGATGCTCAAGTCCGAAGAAATTCAGACACAAAGTGATCGCCAACTCCCGTGATTCCCTCCACTTTCCTCCCCGCCACTCCATTTCATCGACTTTCGCCTTTCACCCCCTTTTATACTCCTGGATATCCCTCGGAATTCCTCGAACTCTTGACGGCCAAGCTCCGTCTTCTTTTACTGGGCCTTTGCGCCGCTTACGTTGTCTCCTCTCTTCATACTCCGAGCCCCACGATATCCCTGTAGCCTCAGTTCCGTACCCACGAACACCTACTCTACTGCCTCCGCGCCACTATTCGACCCCCAGGAGATATCTCCAAGTCTATGACCCATTCCTCCAGCTGGTCTCGGCGACGGATCCGTGATAATGGCCATGGCTGGCACAGGGAAACAGCTGGACAACAATGATGACGCTCCTCCCACTGTATGCATACGTAACTGTTTTGTTGCACACAATGAACTAACATGAACGCAGCCACAGAGACCGGTGTCCTCCTTGCTGTCTCACTTTGAGAATCTTTCTCACCGCAGAGCTCCCTCTGCTGTAGCTGCCAGCCCGCACACTTCCACAACGCATTTACGGGCAACCCCGGAGCCTAGCGATGACCTCAGATCCTCCAGCCGTGCTTCGCTCGATTTGCCCCGGCCACATTCCCCATGGACCCCGGCTGAGGAGAGACAAAACCCGCTTCAGCAGTCGAATGGTGAGAACTTCCGGGACCGTGGGTTCTCCGGCAGACGATATGGCCGGCCCATCTCTATGAACTTCCATCGTTCATCGCCACAGCTACCGCCAACCTTGACAGTACAGTCGCCTCAATCGCCGCCGCGCGGACAAGATCGCGATGAAGTTTGGACTCCGCATGGTGAGAGCCGCAAGACACGGAGTCCAGGCCATCGCCCGCGAGAATCGATGTCCGTCTCGCCGGCACCACCTCGCCCGCTCTCCCCGATACCGAAGTTCGGACCATCTGTTAATGCAGGGGATGCAATGCCTCGGGCGTCACCTGGGTCTCTCCGCGTCAATCTCACTGGGAGTCCGGCGGACCGGAAATTAAAAAGCGCCTCGTTGCCACCCCCAGCTAACCGCGCATCAAAGCCCAAAATCCCGGCGAAACCGGCTATGTTTTCTCACTCGGACACCAGCACGTTGAATCCTCGATCAGGACGAGCATCACCCGATCGAAGTGTTTCACCTTTTAGCACCCCTCCTGGGAGCCCGGAGAAGCATATCCCGAAGCCGCAATCTACTGAGAAGAGCAGTGCTAGGCCGGCACCAGCTCGGCCAGCACCAGCTCGGCCAACGACGGAGCCACCGATTGGACGTTCATTCGATGAACGATCGCCTGTTCCGTCTGCGAGTGCCAGGCATGACGTTAGAGAGATGAGATTCTCAAGGACTCCTCCTGGCCCAGAGCCCTCACGGGCGTCCAAGCCCTTGATGGTGCAGATTCCATCTGCTCCCGTAGACGCTCCGATGTCTGCTGCCACTGCTACCCCTCTTTCGGCGCAGAAATTCCGAGCCAGTGATATTCCCTACGACCGCCCAGGGCTTCCTCCTCGACCCTCTGGGGCTCCCCGCCGAAGTGGAGTCTCCCCCGTGCGAGAGTCTCCCAGGCATCTAAGCACCCCTGCGCAGCTGACACCGATTGCCAGATCTGCACCTGCTTTCCCGCGTGCTAGCGAATCCTCAGCCCCAAAACCAATCCAGCGGCAACCCTCTATACCCCGCGAATCTCACCTGTCTTCTTCTCTTCCCGAGCGGCGCGTGGTGCGTACAGACACGGAGGAAGAAGAGCAAGCTGAAGAGCCAGCTATCTCACGGACCGACTATCCCGATGCCTCAAAAGCTAACCGTCGACCCCCACGCTTTAAATCTGGACCGAAAGATATCTTGACGAAGTATGATACCCGTTTGCTGGCTGTGTGTGGCAAGTATGTGTGCACGACCGGGTATCTGACTCGGGTATGGGATCTTACAACTGGTGACCAAGTTATGAGTCTCAGCCACGGCGAGACTGTGAAAAGTTTATCTCTTGCTTTCAAGCCAGGGAAAGGTCTTGAAGACGAGGGCGAGCGCATCTGGCTCGGTACCAGCGCTGGAGATCTTCATGAAGTCGATATCCCGAGCCAATCCATCGTGGCAACCCGCGCATACCCCTCCCGCCGAGAAGTCATCCAAATCTTGCGACATAAGAAAGAAATATGGACGTTTGATGACGAAGGCCGGCTGCTTGTTTGGTTGCCAGACGAGACCGGCACACCTAACTTGCAATACAGCTACCACAGCCCTTCCGAACGTGTAGCCCGAGGCCACACATTCTCTATGGTAGTTGATGACAAGCTGTGGCTGGCAGCAGGGAAAGATGTCCATGTATATCGCCCTAATGCACGGGATGATATCTCATTCAAGGTCTTCAAACGACCTCTCGGTCTTCAGCACTCAGGCGATGTGACCTCCGGTTCCTATACCACGCGAGATGGAGGTCGGGTATATTTGGGACACGCAGACGGCAAGGTTACTGTGTATTCCTCAACCGATTTTACTTGCTTGGCGGTGGTAAACGTCAGTGTGTACAAAATCAACTGCCTTGGATTTGTCGGAGACTATCTTTGGGCTGCGTATAAAACCGGCATGATCTACGTTTACGATGTGTCCACCAACCCGTGGACTGTGAAGAAAGACTGGCGTGCCCACGACAGTCCCGTATCCAGCTTCGTGTTAGACATGAGCAGCGTATGGACCATGAATCGCCTGCAGGTGACTTCTCTCGGCACTGATAATTGCATTCGCCTCTGGGACGGAATGCTCGAGGATGATTGGTTGGGTAAGTGAAATATTGTTTTCATCCGTTGATGGCTTCCACTAACGTATGGTAGATGCGCGGATGCACGCCAGAGACGTGGAGTTCTGCAACTTCCGAGAAATCAAGGCTGTCGTCTTGACTTGGAACGCGGGAGCTTCTACCCCTGGCAGTGTGCGAACGTCAGATTTCATCCGAAATGCAGTCACTCCCGAAGACCCGCCTGAGATCGTGATATTTGGGTTCCAGGAGTTGGTTGATCTGGAGAATAAGAAAATCACAGCTAGTAAGTCATAAATTTTTTTTTTTCCCTATGTGAATGTTCGCTGACATCGCCACAGAGAGCTTGCTGCTTGGTAGTAAAAAGAAAGAGAACGGCGAGAAGGAACACATGAGTCGTCAGTATCGAGTATGGATCGATCATCTTACTCGTACTCTTCACGAATGCATGCCTCTCGAGGAATCCTACGTTCTTTTGCATTCTGCGAACATGGTGGGACTGTTTACTTGCGTTTTCGTTAAACACAAGGAACGCCATAATATCAAAAACGTCAGTGCTTCGGAGATTAAGCGCGGGATGGGCGGTTTACATGGAAACAAGGTTTGTGATGTCCCCGGTCTTTTCTATGGCTTTTATCTAATTGAATTAGGGTGCCCTTGTCTTGCGCTTCGTCCTGGACGACAGCTCGATGTGCTTTGTGAACTGCCATTTGGCGGCCGGCCAAACCCAGACCGCAAACCGAAATAATGATATTGCTGCGATCCTAGAGGCCGAGTCCCTGCCTGCGGAAAATAGCATGACCTTGCGGACAGATCAGTTCGCCAGTGGTGGTGATGGCTCCATGATCATGGACCATGAAGTGTGCATTCTGAACGGAGATCTGAACTACCGAATCGACGCAATCCCTCGAAATGTGATCATCGACGCAGTTCGTCAGAACAACCTACCAAAACTCCTGGACCGAGACCAGCTACTTGCTTCCCGGCGGAAGAACCCCGGTTTCCGCCTGCGCTCCTTCACCGAGTCACCCATCACCTTCGCCCCGACCTACAAGTACGACGTGGGCACGGACGAGTATGACTCCAGTGACAAGAAACGCTCTCCCGCCTGGTGCGACCGCATCCTATACCGTGGCCTGGGCCGTGTCAAGCAGCTCGATTACCGACGACATGAGGTTCGCGCCTCTGACCACCGGCCGGTCAGTGCGGCGTTTAAAATTCGCGCCAAGACAGTCCTAAGTCAAGAACGGAACGCGACGTGGGATGCGTGCAACACGGAGTTCCAGGATGAGAAACGCCGCTTGGCTTCTGAAGCTAGCATCGAGTATCTCATCACTGTCCTCGGAACAGATCCCCGCCAGGCCCGTTCCTTGATCCTGGGAAAGCAATAGCCGCTTGTATGATCGTCTCTCCCTCTCTTTCTTTTCGAAGTGAAGCGTACTTCTTTTTAATATGCATTTGGGTGGAAGCATGGTGGTGTATATTGTACGACTAATGATTTTACGATAGATATGTATCATGATGGTTGTTAGAGCTAAACAGTTTCCTTTTATATGACACTGTAGTGTGCTTTTATTGTATATGCTCTTTTCTAGCACTGATCTGCATTGAAGGAGCGACCATCAGAGACCTGATGTCATAGTATGCAAGAACAGGAGCGTTCCCCGAATGCGCCCTTCCCTCTTATTTTGACATATTCTCCTTATTATGCTGGTTTGGATCTTTTCCCCCACTCCCCCGTGTCCGTCTCCGTCCCTGTTTACCCCAATTAGGAACATTGAAAGACGGTACTGAAACCTCAGGCAGGAAATTATCGAAAGGTACGTTTATCCATTGGGTACTCCGTACGGAGGATATAGAACAATCCCCTCTATTTATGCATGTAAGCGATACTACTGTATCGTACGACTGTCATGATCGACACTGCTAGTATATTGTCAATTTAACCAGGGTGACATGGTGCCATTGATTCTTCCCCGCACTTGGCCGGGTTTATAAAGGCCCATAGGTTTACAGGAGTTAGTCAATTGGTACAGAAAAAGAAACAAGATACAATTCAAAGTCATGCTAGGGCCATTGACTCTCACTCTTGCGCTGCCTTTCCTACCAGCGGCAAATGCTCTGGTTAGGAAGAATGATATCGTATGTTCTTCTTGGTGATTCTGAAGAAATCACAGAAATACTGACTCAAAATAGGGCCGATTACCTGCTTTAGGATGGAATTCCTGGAATGCATTCGGATGTGATATCAATTCTACCAAGGTCGTCACCGCCGCCAATGAGGCCGTCAATCTTGGACTGAAGGATCTGGGTTATGAATACATAAACAGTACGAACTTTTATCTGCATACAAAATGGTTACAATCACTGACCCTTCCTAGTCGATGACTGCTGGAGCATCAAGAACACCCGCGACAAGAGCACAAATCGCATGATTCCTGATCCATCCAGGTTCCCCGATGGTATTTCTGGTGTTGCAAAGAAAGTCCATGATTTGGGACTGAAATTCGGTATCTATAGCAGTTAGTACACCCTAATCTTCTCCACGCTGATCGAAATTCATATCCGATATCTGATATATGCTAGGTGCTGGTGAGGTTACCTGTGCTGGATATCCAGCTAGCCTAGGATACGAGACAGTCGATGCGCAGTCTTTTGCCGAGTGGGGCGTTGACTGTACGTTTTATTCTATTCCGGTTAATCTGTTTCTACCAAATACTAAAATCTGCAGATCTCAAATATGACAATTGCGGTGTCCCCAGTAACTGGACAGATACATATACCTACTGTGTCCCTGATGGCAATGGCAACTACCCTAATGGCACCTGTCCTGATATTACCAATCCCGCCCCAGAAGGGTATGACTGGAAAACATCGAATACACACAAGCGGTATACTACAATGCGCGATGCACTGCTCAACGTTGACCGGACGATCTTCTATTCACTTTGTGGCTGGGGTCAAGCCGACGTGAATACCTGGGGCAATGGAACTGGAAACTCGTGGCGCATATCTGGCGATATCACCGGTAAGTTATTTGACTGATAATGGAGTGGAAGGCCAGTGGCTGACACTGTATTCAGCGGAGTGGGCCCGTATTATGCAAATTGCCAACGAGAATAGCTTCTTAATGAACTACGTCAATTTCTGGGGTCATCCCGACCCGGACATGTTGGAGGTTGGTAATGGGGATCTTACTATCGAGGAAAATAGGGCCCACTTTGCACTTTGGGCTGTCATGAAGTCCCCTCTGATTATTGGCACGGCGGTATGTGATCTCTTTGAATGTCCTGTTCTCATGGCAAGATATACTGACAGATCTAACGCTCGATTCTATAAACGATGATCACTTGGCCATTCTGAAGAACAAGTATCTTCTTGAATTCAACCAAGACCCTGTTATTGGCAGTCCTGCCCATCCTTACAAGTGGGGATACAACTCCGACTGGACTTTCGACCCAGTCCATCCAGCAGAATATTGGTCTGGTGCGTCATCTACTTTAGAGGGCACGCTGGTGCTTATGCTGAACTCTGAGGATACGACTTCTACTCGCACTGCGAGATGGAGCGAGATCCCGGAGCTTAAGGGTCATCATGCATATCGGGTTATTGATGCTTGGACTGGTAAGGATTTGGGCTGTGTGAAGACTAAGTATAATGCCTCCTTGAAGAGCCATGATGCGGCTGTGTTGTTGGTCAAGGGAAAATGCTAGGCAGAGATCACTAAAGCACAATGGCTCTGTTCTGAGTGGATAGTCTCGCAGTTATTGGGATAGACATGCACAAAATTTGAACTCACTACCCGTGATTCCCGAGGTCGTATAAAGCTGAAGAATTAGTCATGGCATGTTTGGGCAGACAACCTTCGAACCTTCCCTTGCAGGATCTTATTCATCCCCGTCAGATTCATTATAATTCTAGGCTGGATTGGTGAAGGGCTGGGGTCAAGGCTCGAAACGGGGCAAATTATATTTGTTCTGCGGCTAGTATGACCTAGATGTTGTTGGATAGATGCATATAAAATGCAATTGAAATATGTCAACTGGCAGGGTTTTGGGATCATGTATACATTAACGGTAGATGCTCATGGCTTTCACTCATTTTATTGATTTACCTTTGCTGTAACTGCCCTATCATATTCTGATGTAAAATCCACTTCGAGGCTTCCTCGAATGTCTTGAGCAATGGCAGTTTCCACAATGGCTGCAGCTTCCTCCAGTTGTGAATTTCCCACGTCAAATGCAGTCTGCCCATCTGTTCTCTTTTTCTCTCCTCGCGCAAATCTACCAAATCAAAGATAAGTACTATTTCCTTTTGATCTTACCTTTCCCCCCTTTTCCTTTATCGTGTTGGTCACCATGGTGTCCGACGCGATTAAGGCTGCCCTCATCACGGGTGCCTGTACTGTTGCTGCAGCGATAATAACCACACTAGGTAATGGAGTCACGCGATGCCTCGGCAAGAATCGGGCCGCAACCCGATCTGGCCGTAGTTCTGTCGGGGTTTTTCTATTTTGGCGAGGCTCTTCGCCGGGAGCCAACCCTCAGAAAGATCCTGATCCCGAGCTGGGTCTTGGGGAGAACGATGTGCCAATGGAAGACTTGACAAGATGGCGATCCGCTCCTCATTAATCCTCTTTCCTCCTCCCTCCCTTGCTCCCCCACCTCTTGCTCTCGTGGACCTTGGCTCTCTTCATCCCAGGATTGCGGAGTCGTGGTTCGGTTTCCACTATGTGGGCCGGATCATGATCCTAGCTATGACGGAAACGGAATGTGATTGCTACTAGACTTGATCTTGTTGGTCGTCGCAGCATTGCTTGACAGTTGCTCAAAACTCCCATCTTTCGGGGCGGCTGACTTTGATAGATGTGGAGTGCGAGCCACCAGCAACGAGCTCGCACTTCTTCGCAGTGCTGGTGACTAGTAACCTTCGGGTGAAGCTAAGTCGAGCTCATTTGTACATAGACCTTTTCATGAATCGACCAATCATCATCTTGATTAACACCTATTTGCTTTTGAGTAGTCTTTGCACATTCAGAGTATCTGCGCAGTCCACTGTTTCCAAGTCTCGTTTATGTAATTTAATGAACATTTCTCTCACTCTTCCCTGAAAAGTGATTTTAACTTCTGAATACATTACTACATCACCTTCAGTAGATACATGACCTTTAGAAAGTCCAGTGACAATTTGAGACGTCGTTTTACCGCCATCTTCTTATTTCCCTTCTATACATCTTTTAATATTGGTATATCTACGTGTCTGGGTCTGAAATACGTACGAAGACAAAGAGATCACACAGAATGATGACAGCTGAGAGGTACAGAGAGAAGATTGACACAAATTTCAGAGGTGATTTTGAATTATTCCCTAAGCTAAGAGGCAAATATATCTCTCATTTTGGGATACCTAGAGGATAGATATAGCTCAAACTTTCAGCTCCTTTCATTTCACAGTGATTCCAGATTATTGTGAGAGTTACCCCCTTTTGGTGCACTGCATCAACATTGAATAACCTGTCGCCCTGACCGAATATACAGCAACTCAGGACACTTCCAATACCGACTAACTATCATTATACCTAGCATTCGTATGGCGATTCAATAAATCTAAATAAAACTTATAATAAATCTTATTATATTCCTTAACTTAATTTAACCCTTTTAGATAACTTACTAGAACGGGCGATAAACTCACCCTAGATAATAATAGATTATTCCTTATATACGGATTAATATATATCCTAATAAAACTTAAAAACGAAGTGATTAAAAGATATCACGACGATATTATATATAGATATATAGGGGTAGAAAAGACTATCGAATAGATTTCGCGAAACTATTATTTTCCGGATATATATTAAAAGGTCCGATTCTATATTAGAGGATACGACACGTGCTAAAGAAATAAGCCGGTATAACACGCACCTTATAGGGAATTATAGCTATCTAAGACACTATCCCACCCTTAGGAATAGATCACTATAGACTTTATTATAAAGCTACTAGTTTTAGAGGGACACGATATAATTATAGTTATAGTCGATAGGCTCACGAAGTACGCCTATATGATTCCGACTATAGAAACTATTAACGCCGATTAAATAGCGAATATCGTACTACGGTATATAGTTATAAACTATAGAATACCGAGTAAGATTATATTAGATAGAGATACGTTATTTATATCGAAGATATAGTAATCATTTATAGATTAAATAGGTATTAAGCTTAGACTCTCTACTATATACTATCTATAAACTAACGGATAAATAGAAAGAGTGAACTAGACGTTAAAATAGTACCTATAACACTATATAAACTACTAGTAAGACGACTAGGTAGGACTATTACTAATAGTATAACTAGTATATAATAATATAGTACACTCTATAATACGAGAATCACTTATTACGGGCACTCCCGTCACCAATTAGTGGAGATCCACAAGCCATACCGATGGGCCACCGAGAGCCAACCAACCAATAAGTCACGTGACACACCACGGAAATATATGGTCTTTCCGTTGTACCCTTATGATACAGAATAACACACGGTGTTAGCGAACCTAAGACGAGTCATATCGTAAGGAACCACGGATCCTACGACATAGGCTACCGCACGATAGCAACTATCATAGAATCCCTAGGGATCCAACGAATGGGACACGTGACTAAGGCATATCGTAGGACTAGGCTTATCCTAGGATAGGACTAGTCGTAGGACAGCCGTAGGTCATACTTAGCTAAGTATAACCCCGGTACTTCATAGGAAGAGGTTGATCGTAGGATACGCCTAACTAAGCGTGACTCTAGGACCTACTCTATAGGAGTATACCTAGGAGTATACGGTGACTCTAGTATCTACCCCTAGGGGGTAGACTAGGGAGTAGGCACGAAGGATATATAAGGACACTCGTTTATATACTTAGTATAGTTCTTCGTCTTCAATCATATATTGTTACTTATATATACCTTTAGAACTTTAGTGACTCTTTAACTTGATTATAACTTAATAACACTTACGAGTAGACTAATACTCCGGTATAGATCTACTCGGCGCTCTACCTAGTATCGTTCCTCGATACCTTAATAGGACCCATCCTATAGTAAGGCCTATTAGGTAATAGTACGGTTAAGAGTATAGATCGTTAACGTTAGAAACCTAAGAAGTATAAGGTAAGTATAAACTAGAAACCTTCTAACCTAACTATAACTAGTTAGTAGTGCGTAATATATTAAAGACCGTCTCGAATCAAGCTTCGAGTCACTACACGATAATATATCTCACGTTAGTTCGGGTAAGAAGCCTATTAGGGAGTAGGCTACTCTACCTTAAGATAAACCTAACTCCGATATCGAGCGAGATAACACTATCGCTAAGTAGAAGAAGAAGATTAGCGAACTAGAGTATAATATCAAGAAGATAATAAGTCAACTATCCGACTTAGGCGAACGGAGCGGCACTAAGTTCGGCGAGGTAGACGAGTACCTCGAGCAGATTAAGTCTTAAGTCATCGCCTCTACACCTACTAGCGCTATCTAGGCACCGCGACTACCTAAGGCTAAGTGCTTCGAAGGAAACCGAACTAAGCTTCGAGGGTTCCTCACTTAAATAGATATACACCTCGATATAAATTAAACTAAGCTACCCACCGAAGCTAGTAAGGTAATCTTTATATTAACCTACTTATATAGCTAAGTATAGAGCTAGTTCGAACTATATATTCGAGATTACTACGAAAAGGAAACCAATAAGTAGTTAACCACCACTACTAAATTCTTCGGAGGATACTATAACTTCTATAAGCACCTTAAGCGAACATTCGGAGATATCGACGTAGTAAGAACGGCTAAGCGTAAGTTATAGAAAATCAGATAATAGACTAGCGTATTAGTATACGCCTCCGAGTTCTAGCAAATCATTTCGTATCTAGATCTACCTGATCGAGCGTATATCCTATACTTCGAGGTAGGACTTAAACTAGATATTAAGGACGAACTAGCTAGGATCGATAGGCTAGACACCCTAGATAAACTTATTAAGATCGCGGTTAAGATCGATAACCGTATTAACGAACGAAAGTACGAACGACGAGAAATAGATTAGTGGAAGCGCGGTAAAACGTATAGCTTTAACCGATTTAGTGGACGCCGCGATAGGGCACCACTATAAGATAGCGACCTATATAGCCCGAAGCTAATAGAGTTAGACGCCACTTAGGACGAGTAAAACGAGCGTTATAAGAAGAATCTCTACTTCACGTATAGGAAACTAGGACACCGTGTAAGAGAATATAAGTAGAAGAAACCGTATAAGAAACGGTAATATATACGAGCGATACGCGAAGAACTATATACGACTTAAGAATCTAGAAAGGACTACCTAAGAAAAGAAACCTTAGAAGATCTCTTAGTAAAATTAGAAGATATAAGCCTAGAAGAGATAATAGCGGGCAACCTATATATTAAAGGGTTAGCCGACGACTAATATATCGATTATCTAGAGATCGACTAGGATACTATAGAGAGTTAAGGGTGGACCTAGTATATCCCCTAGGAACTAAACTATTCCCTAGGATAGTCTAATAACTCTTAAGAATAATAAGTGATCCTAGAGACACCACTAGAAAGTCCTAGAAACTATCGTTAACTAAGTAACGATAAAGAAGCCGATAAGCTTATTAGTTATCTCTAGGATGAGATTTAGACTAGTAGATTAGACTAGTACCTTATTATAGCGATTGAGGAAGGCGACGACCTAATAGGATGCCCTTATAAAGATTCCACTTACGCGTGTAAAGGATATATACGACACCTAGGATATAGTAGAATGGCTAGTATTATATACTACGACGAGACATATATAACCTATAGGTTAGTAAAATTGGATTATAGTATCGAACCGAGACCACTATAGTGGATAAAGAAGCTATAATAGAAATAAGAGTACTAAGGGATTTAGTATAACGGAAGACAACTATACGATTATAAGAATCGTCTAACGGTATAGTTAGCCGCAACCTTATCGGGAACTTATATCAAACTATTTGTGATCCTACCTATAGGAAAGGCGTAGACCCTTATCGACTCGGGTGCCACTAATAACTTTATAAACCTAAGGTTCTAGGAAAACCGATAAGTATCAACTAAAAAGTTATTATAAGTGATACTAGTTTTAGGACTCGATAGAGAAGTCCTCTCTAGAGGAGTTAGCGAAGAAACTATCACCCTACCTATATCTATCTACGGACACCTAGAATTAATTAAGTTCAATATCTTAAAAACGGGAGACTATAATATCGTTTTAGGCATTCTATAGCTTAGGAAGTATAACCCGAGTATCGATTAGCAAACGGGACGTATCTTATTCGGTAGATACGAGTATACGAAATAATACGACGAGTACGAAACGCGTCGGAAGAAGTCTGCCCGACAAAATAATAGTAGTAATAACTAGCCCTATAAGAAAAGGGTTAGGGTATTAGTTATAGGCGTTACCCTAGACACGATAGAATAGTCACTAGATATATCCGACCACGAGTTGGCGGAATATATAATCGTCAAACACGAAAAGCTATATATAACTAGCGATAAACCTCGGATTCTAGACGAATACCGAGAGTTTAGGGA